AGTCCTGGGTCTACAGCCTCAGTCCTCCTTATTGTTGCATTTCTTGAGGTTGAACAGTTTGATTCTCTGATCTATGTTGGAAAAGCCACAACTTTTTAAAGTCCTCCAAGATAAATACTGTTTAGAGCGATTCACAAACACATTTGTTTTCTTTCCCTTTGCAGTAAAACCACAGTGGAATCCTTGTGCGAGAGCCCGCTGTGTGCATGAAAACAAACGTGTAAATATAAATGTATCATCGTTACCACGGTGACGGCGTCGTTCAGCAGCGACTCCCCAAACACCAGGATGTGCAGCAGCTCGTTGATGTGGATCTCCTCGAACACGGCCAGAACCGCCACCGGGTCCACGGCCGAGATGATGGTCCCGAAGAGGAGGCAGGAGAGCAGGTCCACCCTCTGCAGCTGCGCCCCCCCCACCTGGCACACGCCGAACATGGTCCCGCCGATGAAGAAGGTGTTCCACAGGGTCCCGACCACGGCGAAGGTCAGGATGGTTCCCAGGTTCTCGGTGAAGGCCCGGATGGGCAGGAAGTACCCGGCGTCCAGGATGATGGGGGGCAGCAGGTACAGGAAGAACAGCTTATCGTCCAGGACGGGGGGGTCTTCTCTGACGGCTTTGATGACTCCTCCCACCAACAAACCCACCACGATCAGGAGGCAGCTCTCCGGCACCACGCTGGACACTCGCGGGATGATGTGGAAGGCTGAAGTCAGGAGCTCAGGGTTAGAACAGAATCTAAGAACTGCTGCACTTTATATTTGGCCGTTGATAAAGTTCACTTTGTCATTTCTAAACAATGAGAAGATTATTCTCTACAGATTCTTTTTTATTGTCGTTGTAAAAAACAGGAAGTCACAAACTTGGAATTTGCTTTGGCTCATGGAGCAAATGGATTCAAACCTATGACCGCACAGCTCCAGGGTTTAATCTACTAACACCCGGGTCTGGAACCTTTTCATCAGAACCAAAACATCATTTCTGTGGTTGCAGCACATTTGTTACTGTGAAAATGTGGGACTTTTACATTTAGAGAGTATTATTGTATTCTTTTGTAAAGTATCTGTAGACCCAGGACTGAGGCTGTAGACCCAGGACTGAGGCTGTAGACCCAGGACTGAGGCTGTAGACCCAGGACTGAGGCTGTAGAACCGGGACTGAGACCCAGGACTGAGGCTGTAGATCCAGGACTGAGGCTGTAGACCCAGGACTGAGGCTGTAGATCCAGGACTGAGGCTGTAGACCCAGGACTGAGGCTGTAGACCCAGGACTGAGGCTGTAGACCCAGGACTGAGGCTGTAGACCCAGGACTGAGGCTGTAGATCCAGGACTGAGGCTGTAGACCCAGGACTGAGGCTGTAGATCCAGGACTGAGGCTGTAGATCCAGGACTGAGGCTGTAGACCCAGGACTGAGGCTGTAGACCCAGGACTGAGGCTGTAGACCCAGGACTGAGGCTGTAGATCCAGGACTGAGGCTCTAGACCCAGGACTGAGGCTGTAGACCCAGGACTGAGGCTGTAGACCCAGGACTGAGGCTGTAGATCCAGGACTGAGGCTGTAGACCCAGGACTGAGGCTGTAGACCCAGGACTGAGGCTGTAGATCCAGGACTGAGGCTGTAGATCCAGGACTGAGGCTGTAGATCCAGGACTGAGGCTGTAGACCCAGGATCGAGGCTGTAGACCCAGGACTGAGGCTGTAGACCCAGGACTGAGGCTGTAGACCCAGGACTGAGGCTGTAGACCCAGGACTGAGGCTGTAGACCCAGGACTGAGGCTGTAGACCCAGGACTGAGGCTGTAGATCCAGGACTGAGGCTGTAGACCCAGGACTGAGGCTGTAGACCCAGGACTGAGGCTGCAGACCCAGGACTGAGGTTGTATGGTGCAGAACTATACTTTTTAAGACCTTCTTTCTTTATTAAACTAAAGACAGAGGTTGTATTTCATTTGTGTTTAGAATGAGTCTGGTGTGTGTGTGAGTGGTTGGTGGTGGTGGGAGGGGCTTCTGTCAGTGTGCCCCAGGGCAGCTGTGGCTACAGTAGTTTATCACCACCGTGTTTGGAGAGAGAGGATAATGATGATTATAGATAGAGTCCAAAAAACCAATGCTTTATTATTATTATTATTATTATGATTATTATTATTATTATTATTATTATTATGATTATTATTATTATTATGATTATTATTATTATTATTATTATTATGATTATTATTATTATGATTATTATTATTATGATTATTATTATGAGTATTATTATTATTATCATGATAGTATGTAATAAACAGCTGTGTCTCGGTGTTATCAGCCTCAGAGGAAGTGGGACCAGCCCCGTTCTTTGGACAACTGCAGACTGTGATAAGAGCCATTAATCATCATTAGGACTTTAGAATGAGCTGAAAACACTGTTTTATATTTAATTAATTTACAGTCTCCATCTTTAACTAATGTTGAATTGTTTTTTAACAGTAACAAGTTTATTTGGAAAGTATTTAGTATTTAAACTCAAGATTAATGAGAAAGAATCTATTCTCAAAATAAAGACATAAACAAAACACAATGACATTTCTTCAGAGTTTCATTTAAAAACTATAGAAGTTATAAAAAACGCCTCCCTGGGGAGGTGTTCCGGGCACGCCCCACCGGGAGGAGGCCCCGCGGAAGACCCAGGACACGCTTGGAGGGACTATGTCTCTCAGCTGGCCTGGGAACGCCTTGGGGTCCCCCCGGACGAGCTGGAGGAAGTGTGTGTGGATAGGGAAGTCTGGGCGTCTCTGCTTAGACTGCTGCCCCCGCGACCCGGCAACGGATAAAGCGGAAGAAAATGGATGGATGGATGGATAGAAGTTATAAAACCTTATGGTCTCATTAGTGTTAAAGATGTCAGTTTATTTTCCAAAAAGAGTATTTAATAATAATTGCTGTGATATTAAATTAGTACTGAATTGTTTTAGTGTCAAAGGTGGATTTTAAATGTAGTTTTGTGACTTTGTCTTGTTCTATGTTTGTTGAATTGTCTTCTGTGTTAAATGTTCTTTATACAGAAGAATGTGGATGTTATAAAAAGCTTAGTAGCAGCTGCAGTGATCCTGATGGTTACAGTCTGATGATTTGATGACTTTGTAAATCTAAATATGAGCCATATAAGCATTGACCAATCAGATGCTTTCATTCATTCACAGGCGCCTGAGCAACCGCCTGAGCAACCGCCTGAGCAACCGCCTTAGCAACCGCCTTAGCAACCGCCTTAGCAACCGCCTGAGCAACCGCCTGAGCAACCGCCTGAGCAACCGCCTGAGCAACCGCCTTAGCAACCGCCTGAGCAACCGCCTGAGCAACCGCCTGAGCAACCGCCTGAGCAACCGCCTGAGCAACCGCCTGAGCAACCGCCTTAGCAACCGCCTGAGCAACCGCCTGAGCAACCGCCTGAGCAACCGCCTTAGCACCCGCCTTAGCACCCGCCTTAGCACCCGCCTTAGCACCCGCCTTAGCACCCGCCTTAGCACCCGCCTTAGCACCCGCCTTAACACCCACCTTAACACCCGCCTTAACACCCGCCTTAGCAACCGCCTTAGCAACCGCCTTAGCAACCGCCTTAGCACCCGCCTGAGCAACCGCCTGAGCAACCGCCTTAGCACCCGCCTTAGCACCCGCCTTAGCACCCGCCTTAGCAACCGCCTTAGCAACCGCCTTAGCAACCGCCTTAGCAACCGCCTTAGCAACCGCCTTAGCACCCACCTGAGCAACCGCCTAAGCAACCGCCTTAGCGCCCGCCTGAGCAACCGCCTTAGCAACCGCCTGAGCAACCGCCTGAGCAACCGCCTGAGCAACCGCCTTAGCAACCGCCTTAGCAACCGCCTTAGCAACCGCCTTAGCAACCGCCTTAGCAGCCGCCTTAGCAACCGCCTTAGCAACACGTCTGTCCTTGTTATGGAGTGAATCTAAAATAAAAATACACCAAAGTTGGCTCCAGCTTTGTTTAAAATCAGCTTCTCTGTCATTTGGCAAAAATTAAAGACACATTTAAAGAGTTTTGTGAAACATGGAGAGAAAGAGAGTGTGTTATTCCCTGAAGTGGCCAAAGCTCTGGACCTTTAATTAGAGTGAAACTGGATCCACGCATCAGGCTCTGGGTCCGAGCTGCAGGAACCAACAGCTGCTCATTTACCATTTGTCACGTTTGGAAACTCTGCCAACGACAGCAGAGCGAGGAATGACAATAACAGGTCCAGAACAGCAGAGGACTTGACAGGACATCACAGGAAAAGTAATAATAACAAACTCATAAGCCATTGGTCCAAAGGGAGCTCCCATCACTGGTCCCATCATGGTTTATGGTTCTAACAGGACAGAGAGGGTTCTGCCTTCAGTTGAAAGAGTAGTCAGTCGTCTCTCTTTCTATTGGAGGATGTAATGTAATGTAATGTAATCTTTATTTATATACTGCCTTTTCACTGCACATCGGAGTCTCAAAGCGGTTTACAATTGTTATTTTTGGGGGCGGGGCCAGTACAGGAGGCACATGCCAGACCTATTGTACATATTTTTAGTGGTAGGGGAAACCGGAGCACCCAGAGGAAACCTACGCAGACACGGGGAGAACATGCAAACTCCACTCAGAAAGGCCCTGGTCCAACCGGGATTCGAACCCAGGACCTTCTTGCTGAGAGGCGAGGGTGCTATCCACTCAGCCACCGTGCCGCCAAGGATGTACGGAAAGAACCGCCCTCTCCACTTCTTGAACAAACCCTCTGTTCTTATTGGACGAGCACGAATCAGCAGAATGATTGACACTTGGGAGGATCAATAGTCTTGATGATCCACCCAGAAGTAGAACATCCTCCTCAGGTCCAGATGAAGACAGTTGCTCTGAGCTACAGCTGAAGATCTGTCTCTCACTGTTTTAACAGATTATCTATGAGTTTATTTCCTGAAGTGATTTTTTATCATCCTCTTGTTCTGTAAAGCACTTTGAGTTTCCTTGTATAAAAACTGTGAACATGTTTGTATTGTTGTTGCTTCATTTTAGAAGCTGCCTCGCAAGATCCTTAAATCATGTAATTATTTAGCTTGTAGTTAATGCAAAAATAAAAGTATAAAAGAGGTGCATGTGAACAGACTGAGCTCTCCACAAACCAAACGTGTGAACTCCCTGAGGCACAAGTCCAGTTTCTCTCTGGGAAAAGCTCCAAACTATTTTAATGTAATCATGAGTGACCAGAGTTTGTCCTTAACAGCCATGATCAAGGCCTGTGTGGAGGAGGTCTCTGTCTGCTGTGGCTGTGGTTCAGACTGAACTACTGTCACAGATAAGAAGTAGAAGTTAGTAGTTAGTAGTTATTTCCAGCAGTATCATCAGATCAGAGTATTAGGCCTGCAACTCTCCAAAACTTATGCCAGAGTCACACGTTCAAGCCACATTCTTGTCTTTCTCGGTTTAGTTCTGCTTTAGTTTGTGACATGAGAATGAGACCAGTAATGTCCTGAACTCACCCAGTTTCATGAGCAGAGCCAGGAGGATCCACATGGAGATCTCAAAGGGTTTTCGGACATGGCTGTAGTTGAAGGACAACACGGGAAACGCCTTCTTATGAGTCCTGCTGTTGTTGTTTGGAAGATCCGAGACCTCTCCATCGCTTTCATGACTCGCGAAAGCAACGGAGAAAACCAGCAGGAAAAGGCACCAAAACACAGCGGAACAGCCGCGGGTCCGGGGGGGGCACCGCGTCACCCCACCGGAGGGAACAGCCATTTTAGAGGTTTTAAATATGAATAAAGTTACACTGACAGATTAAGCCCAATTAGCGACAGATCCGAGACGTGACGGGCGCTGGTCAAGGCACCGCTCTTTACGCACGACTTCCTCAGACATTTCCACTTCATAAAAACTATCAACAAGAGCATAACGGAGCCGTGGCAGTGTCCCGAGGGTGCTCCGGGTCCAGGGAGTGCATCATGCTCCGTGTCGTCCGGTTGTGGTGTAAAGGCATCCACTGGTGTCAGCTCCTCTCCTCCGCTTTACGCACGGTTACGCACGGTTACGCACGGGTTTGCTCATCATAATGGGATTCCCAAAGCTGTGCGTGAAACAGCGCTGCCTGGAGGAGGGATGACCAAACACGTCACCAGCTGGAAATAATCTGTCCCTGTGTCTGACTTCAGCATCAGTACGAGCTGTTTGCTTCTTTCTGATTTAAAATTAAACTTTGAATGAGGAGCAGCACAAGACAAATGAAAATCAAATCAAACTCTATAAAATAAATAAACTGTCATAAGAACTAAAGTATGTATTAAAAGTTTACACATCAGGTAAGTGCAGGGGCCTCAAACCCAATGTTCCTGGGGGCCACATGAGAGAGAGCAAAGGAAAATACTCTTATACATCTGTGAGTCTGTGACATAAATCAAGATTCAAGCCATTTGTTGCCATTTGCAGTAAAACTGTACAAGACTCCCTCAGGCAGACAGATTTTATGTGACATCAATCTGTAAGAATCTTTTTGTTTTATTTAAATCGGACGTCGGAAAAACAATAACATGGACGGACGAAAGCAAAAGGCAAATTTTTTGTTTAAGAATTTTAAAAAAAAATATGTGTTTAAATCACAGATGACATTTTTCCAAAACCGTCCAGATGATGTTATATATTATTCCAAATGTAAAGTTATGAATATTCCATCGCAACAGTAGTTTTATCTTTATCTTACATTAGTTTTCCACAGTTTGATCTCGGGGTTCTCTCTGGCTCAGGATGTTGGTCTTGTCTCTTTTGTCCTAAACTCTGTGTTTTTAGAGTATTTCAAAACTCGCTCTGATCCAACAAACAAATCCTGACTCTGCTTTTTCCCACGAGACTTTTCCAAACCACAGACACCATTTCACTTTCATTTATTTTACATCATTCAAACAAAACGACACATTCTAAAGGATTTATATTTACGTCCTTTTGATCCATTGTTCAGGAACAGACTTTAAAGGAACGTACAGAATGTTTTAATAAAAGACATTTCAGTAGAAGCTAAAACATGAAATACAGAAACAGCTGTTATTATAGAATAGACTTTTTAAATGAAAAATATGTTCTATTGTTATTAAAGGTCCACCGTGGGAGCGTTTCCACTGGACCTATTTAACCAGTACCAGGTCCTTCTTTAGTCCGTCTTGGTCCTGGTTCTATCCAGGCCGAGCTGGTCCTAAAGTGTTCTTACTGACAGTGATTGGACAGAGTGCTGCTGGAGGCTGTGGTTACCAAGGAATGTCCACAAATACTGGTTTGTTGTGAGTAGGTTGCAATGATAGGGTACCAGATACTACAGCGTAATGGAAACACAACCAGGTAGATTAGAGCCGAGTAGAGCCAAGTAGGACTAGTGGTAACGGGGCGTCTCCATGGTGATGTTTCTGGCTTTGATGTCCCACAATAAGGCATTAAACCAGACCGTGTGTGATTATTGAGTTTAAAGACCTTATGCAGGGTTTGATTGATTTGGAAACACAGTTTTAATATCATTTTATATTAGAAGAGAACTACTAAAGGTTTCAAAATCAATTGGGTTTTTTTTGTCTGATCCCCCCAAATCGAGAAAAGCCCATAGCAACCCCCTTAGAAACAAATACAATTCACAGCCTCTTCTACCTTGGTGACGTCAGAGCGGGTACGTTTCAACCGGCTGTAAGTTGTTTACAATTTGGTATTTGGTCTTTTTTCACAGATATTCAAGATGACAAGGCGGTGAATATAAGACTACTACTAGTATAAATGTTTCCTCATTGGCGCTGTGATAGTCCTGTGGTTGTGTCAATGCACCAATAACCCAGCAAAAGGGGATCAAATCTCACCTCAGTCACATTTTCACTCTCAAAACGGCATTATATGTGTAATGAGCAACTGACACCTGTAGAGGGCAGTATTGTGTCGGACATCAGTGGGGAGAGGATGGGCTAGTATCTGTGGCATAGATCCATGGCTTTCAATGTGTAGGCGTTATCCGCTATGACGACACACAGGTTAGAGCATAGACAACTTAAATTAATTAAAAACACATTCTTTTTATAAAATATAGGATTTTTCAGATCGACATTAATTGATAATCTGTCATGCAATTTTGATATCCACAATTTTTGAAAATAAAACCCTGCATAAGGTCTTTAAAATACATGGAAACACCTGCAGTTGTCCTTGTGGGCCGTGGAATGTGTCCTAAAGAGAAATATATTTAATAATAATAATATTAATTAAAGCCGCAAGCGGCGATGAAAGGCCTCGCCACTCTCGCAACCACCTCCCGGGCGGCAGCCCCACAAGCGTCACGCTGCGTACTCGCCGACAAATTGGCAGCTCGATCGAACCAGGATTACTTACATAAAAGCTCATTAGTAGGATAAAGTGCGCCCCTAGTGGTCACGTCCGGGACATGCACCCTCTACGTAGAGTAGTATTTTGCTGGTACTAGTGTAAAGATTTGCTTGTGCAACTTTGGTGAGTATCGGAAAAGTTTAGGTCAGAAGCCTTCCATAGGTGGCGCTGTAGAGTCATATTAGGTGTGTGTTTTCACACCATTACTCTCAGGCCATTACCAACTGTTAGTGATGTGAGTTTCAGCTCTGTAGGTCTGAGCCTGTGGTCAGGGGAGCATCAAACATGGAGGAAATTCCCCACCGCCTTGCATGAAAACGATGACGAAATTCTAACTTTTATGCGCTGATTGCATAACTTCAATCGGTCCAGATGGAGAAATGGCATGGTAGAAGTCTGTGCGATGAAAATCCAGGGACTAGTACGAAGCCAAAAATGCGACACTCTGAACTGCCTGTAGGTGGCGCTGTTGCACTCGCAATTGTGTGTTGCATATCGTTGTGTTCAGGGTCATACGCTGTATTTCTGAATTCATTTTTAGCCTCATCGGACAATTATTTCACCCCAAAAAGCTCATTCACATATTTTGTGGCGCCCCCAGTGGTCAGGTATGGGACTTACAACTTTTGCATAATGTAATGTTTTGCTCGTCTCAGTCCAGAGATTACACTCAGCGATTTTTGGGCCGATCCGAGCACTAGTGCCCTATTACTTTCCGACAGGTGGCGCTAAAGAGCTCATATTGGGCGAATATTACTGATGTGAGTCTCAGCTCTGTAGGCCTGAGCCTGTGGCCCTCAGGGCTCAGCAAAAATGGCCAAAACGAAGGCTTTATTCGCCATGACGAGGGACAAAAACGGTGAAGATGTTATAACTTTTTATTAATAATTGTATAACTTCAGTCCATCCTGATTAGGAAATGACGTTAAAAATTAAAAATGAAAAGTCAAATTAGCGGCGAAACTTCAGCCCATCATGGCCGACTTCCTGTTGGTCCCAGACATGTGCTTAAACCGGCTTTTATGCTCGTCTCATAGAGATCTATCACTCATCCAAATTTCGTGTACCTACTCCAAAATATGCAATCCTGGCTCCAATAGAAATGGAAAATTTTGAGTTTTCAAGGGGGAACTATCGAGTTGCCTTTTGTCGGACAAAGTTTATTCTTTAAATATAGTACAGTTTAAAAGTGACAAAGACAAGTTACATTTTAGGACAATGTGAACTAAGCTTTGAGGATGAATAAAAACATGTTCAAAAACAAACCTTTCCTTTCTCTCGACAGAACGTCCTCCGTCTGTGTCTGTAAATGTTCTAACGACACAGATCCTCGTTTTCACTTTCTCTGAAAAAAACCTCACATTTTCCTCCTGAAACATACTTTTACTTTCACAGACACAAAACCCTCTCCTACGTTCGACATTCAAGGACACACTTCCCTCAGTTTGATCTGTCAAACAGTCTCAGGTGCTGCAGCCTCAGGTGCTACAGTCTCCGGTGCTGGAGTCTCAGGTGCTACAGTCTCAGGTGCTACAGTCTCAGGTGCTACAGTCTCAGGTGCTACAGTCTCAGGTGCTGCAGCCTCAGGTGCTACAGTCTCCGGTGCTGGAGTCTCAGGTGCTGGAGTCTCAGGTGCTACAGTCTCAGGTGCTACAGTCTCAGGTGCTGCAGTCTCAGGTGCTACAGTCTCAGGTGCTACAGTCTCAGGTGCTGCAGTCTCAGGTGCTACAGTCTCAGGTGCTGCAGTCTCAGGTGCTACAGTCTCAGATGCTGCAGCCTCAGGTGCTGGAGTCTCAGGTGCTGGAGTCTCAGGTGCTACAGTCTCAGGTGCTGCAGTCTCAGGTGCTGCAGTCTCAGGTGCTACAGTCTCAAGTGCTACAGTCTCCGGTGCTGGAGTCTCAGGTGCTGCAGTCTCAGGTGCTACAGTCTCAGGTGCTGCAGCCTCAGGTGCTGCAGTCTCAGGTGCTGGAGTCTCAGGTGCTACAGTCTCAGGTGCTACAGTCTCAGGTGCTACAGTCTCCGGTGCTGCAGTCTCAGATGCTACAGTCTCAGGTGCTACAGTCTCCGGTGCTGGAGTCTCTGGTGCTGGAGTCTCAGGTGCTGCAGTCTCAGGTGCTACAGTCTCAGGTGCTACAGTCTCAGGTGCTGCAGTCTCAGGTGCTGCAGTCTCAGGTGCTACAGTCTCAGGTGCTACAGTCTCAGGTGCTACAGTCTCAAGTGCTGCAGTCTCAAGTGCTGCAGTCTCAAGTGCTGCAGTCTCAGGTGCTACAGTCTCAGGTGCTGCAGTCTCCGGTGCTGCAGTCTCAGGTGCTGCAGTCTCCGGTGCTGCAGTCTCAGGTGCTACACTCAGGTGCTACAGTCTCAGGTGCTGCAGTCTCAGGTGCTACAGTCTCAGGTGCTGCAGTCTCAGGTGCTACAGTCTCAGGTGCTGCAGTCTCAGGTGCTGCAGTCTCAGGTGCTACAGTCTCAGGTGCTGCAGTCTCAAGTGCTACAGTCTCAGGTGCTACAGTCTCAGGTGCTGCAGTATCAGGTGCTACAGTCTCAGGTGCTGCAATCTCAGGTGCTGCAGTCTCAGGTGCTACAGTCTCAGGTGCTACAGTCTCAGGTGCTACAGTCTCAAGTGCTGCAGTCTCAAGTGCTGCAGTCTCAGGTGCTACAGTCTCAGGTGCTGGAGTCTCAGGTGCTACAGTCTCAGGTGCTGCAGTCTCAGGTGCTGCAGTCTCAGGTGCTACAGTCTCAGGTGCTACAGTCTCAGGTGCTGCAGTCTCAGGTGCTACAGTCTCAGGTGCAACAGTCTCAGGTGCTGCAGTCTCAGGGGCTACAGTCTCAGGTGCTACAGTCTCCGGTGCTGCAGTCTCAGGTGCTACAGTCTCAGGTGCTACAGTCTCAGGTGCTGCAGTCTCAGGTGCTACAGTCTCAGGTGCTGCAGTCTCAGGTTCTGCAGTCTCAGGTGATACAGTCTCAGGTGCTGCAGTCTCAGGTGCTACAGTCTCCGGTGCTGGGGTCTCAGGTGCTACAGTCCCAGGTGCTGGAGTCTCAGGTGCTACAGTCTCAGGTGCTACAGTCTCAGGTGCTACAGTCTCAGGTGCTACAGTCTCAGGTGCTGGAGTCTCAGGTGCTACAGTCTCAGGTGCTGCAGTCTCAGGTGCTACGGTCTCAGGTGCTACGGTCTCAGGTGCTACAGTCTCAGGTGCTACAGTCTCAGGTGCTACAGTCTCAGGTGCTGCAGTCTCAGGTGCTACAGTCTCAGGTGCTGCAGTCTCAGGTGCTACAGTCTCAGGTGCTGCAGTCTCAGGTGCTACAGTCTCAGGTGCTGCAGTCTCAGGTGCTGGAGTCTCAGGTGCTGCAGTCTCAGGTGCTACAGTCTCAGGTGCTGCAGTCTCAGGTGCTGCAGTCTCAGGTGCTACAGTCTCAGGTGCTGGAGTCTCAGGTGCTACAGTCTCAGGTGCTACAGTCTCAGGTGCTACAGTCTCAGGTGCTACAGTCTCAGGTGCTGGAGTCTCAGGTGCTACAGTCTCAGGTGCTGCAGTCTCAGGTGCTACAGTCTCAGGTGCTACGGTCTCAGGTGCTACAGTCTCAGGTGCTACAGTCTCAGGTGCTACAGTCTCAGGTGCTACAGTCTCAGGTGCTACAGTCTCAGGTGCTGGAGTCTCAGGTGCTACAGTCTCAGGTGCTGCAGTCTCAGGTGCTACAGTCTCAGGTGCTACGGTCTCAGGTGCTACAGTCTCAGGTGCTACAGTCTCAGGTGCTACAGTCTCAGGTGCTGCAGTCTCAGGTGCTACAGTCTCAGGTGCTACAGTCTCAGGTGCTGGAGTCTCAGGTGCTACAGTCTCAGGTGCTGCAGTCTCAGGTGCTACAGTCTCAGGTGCTACGGTCTCAGGTGCTACAGTCTCAGGTGCTACAGTCTGAGGTGCTACAGTCTGAGGTGCTGCAGTCTCAGGTGCTGCAGTCTCAGGTGCTACAGTCTCAGGTGCTGCAGTCTCAGGTGCTACAGTCTCAGGTGCTGCAGTCTCAGGTGCTACAGTCTCAGGTGCTGCAGTCTCAGGTGCTACAGTCTCAGGTGCTGCAGTCTCAGGTGCTGGAGTCTCAGGTGCTGCAGTCTCAGGTGCTACAGTCTCAGGTGATACAGTCTCAGGTGCTGCAGTCTCAGGTGCTGGAGTCTCAGGTGCTGCAGTCTTAGGTGCTGCAGTCTCAGGTGCTGCAGTCTCAGGTGCTACAGTCTCAGGTGCTGGAGTCTCAGGTGCTACAGTCTCAGGTGCTACAGTCTCAGGTGCTACAGTCTCAGGTGCTGGAGTCTCAGGTGCTACAGTCTCAGGTGCTGCAGTCTCAGGTGCTACAGTCTCAGGTGCTACGGTCTCAGGTGCTACAGTCTCAGGTGCTACAGTCTCAGGTGCTACAGTCTCAGGTGCTACAGTCTCAGGTGCTGCAGTCTCAGGTGCTACAGTCTCAGGTGCTACAGTCTCAGGTGCTTCAGTCTCAGGTGCTACAGTCTCAGGTGCTGGGGTCTCAGGTGCTACAGTCTCAGGTGCTACAGTCTCAGGTGCTGCAGTCTCAGGTGCTACAGTCTCAGGTGCTACAGTCTCAGGTGCTACAGTCTCAGGTGCTGCAGTCTCAGGTGCTGCAGTCTCAGGTGCTACAGTCTCAGGTGCTACGGTCTCAGGTGCTACAGTCTCAGGTGCTACAGTCTGAGGTGCTACAGTCTGAGGTGCTGCAGTCTCAGGTGCTGCAGTCTCAGGTGCTACAGTCTCAGGTGCTGCAGTCTCAGGTGCTACAGTCTCAGGTGCTGCAGTCTCAGGTGCTACAGTCTCAGGTGCTGCAGTCTCAGGTGCTACAGTCTCAGGTGCTGCAGTCTCAGGTGCTGGAGTCTCAGGTGCTGCAGTCTCAGGTGCTACAGTCTCAGGTGATACAGTCTCAGGTGCTGCAGTCTCAGGTGCTGGAGTCTCAGGTGCTGCAGTCTCAGGTGCTGCAGTCTCAGGTGCTCCAGTCTCAGGTGCTGGAGTCTCAGGTGCTACAGTCTCAGGTGCTACAGTCTCAGGTGCTACAGTCTCAGGTGCTACAGTCTCAGGTGCTGGAGTCTCAGGTGCTACAGTCTCAGGTGCTGCAGTCTCAGGTGCTGCAGTCTCAGGTGCTACAGTCTCAGGTGCTACAGTCTCAGGTGCTGCAGTCTCAGGTGCTACAGTCTCAGGTGCTACAGTCTCAGGTGCTACAGTCTCAGGTGCTACAGTCTCAGGTGCTGCAGTCTCAGGTGCTACAGTCTCAGGTGCTACAGTCTCAGGTGCTACAGTCTCCGGTGCTGCAGTCTCAGGTGCTGCAGTCTCAGGTGCTACAGTCTCAGGTGCTGGAGTCTCAGGTGCTACAGTCTCAGGTGCTGGAGTCTCAGGTGCTGCAGTCTCAGGTGCTGCAGTCTCAGGTGCTACAGGCTCAGGTGCTACAGTCTCAGGTGCTGCAGTCTCAGGTGCTACAGTCTCAGGTGCTACAGTCTCAGGTGCTACACTCTCAGGTGCTTGAGTCTCAGGTGCTACAGTCTCAGGTGCTGGATTCTCTGAAGGCCATCTGTGTGGTGCTGTATGCAGAGAGGCCTAGGCCCGCTGCAGCCATCGTCATGGCGATGGGCTCCACGAGTCGGGTCCGTGGCTGCAGCTGCACCTCCCCCGTGACCTGCCGCTGGGAACACACACAAAATTCATGTTTTTGAGGAACATGCCACAAATGAAATGACTAAAAATTATGTTAAATCTTCAAGAGTCGCGGGTTCTTTGTGGGTCTTTTAAAAACAAAACTTTCTCCAAATGGAAAATGGCAACTTCTGATTTGTTCTTATTTTGGTTTGGAATCCATCCATCCATCCATTTTCTACCCTTTAATCCATATCTGGGTCAGGGGGGTGGCAGTCAGAGATGCCACCCAAGTCTCATAGCACCAGCCCCTCACTGACCCTCTGCAGGTGGTGAGTCCACAGGAGGACGGCTGCTCTCTGACTGTGAGCATAGCCTTGATCTTTCAGTGGGGGCTTTGGGCAAAGTGGGGTTAAGTGTCTTGCCCAAGGACACAACGACAGCAGTCATCAGTGGGAGTCGGTGGAGAAGGTGTAGAGGTGGGAATTGAACCCACGACCTTCTGGCCTTAAGGCCAATGCTCTACCAACTGAGCTACTGTCGCCCCATATGTATATGATATATAATATATAATTAGGTTTGCCTGGATCGGTTTGCACACCTGGTGTGTAATCCATGAATCTCTTTATTCAAGGCTAGGTTTAAAACAGTCCTCTTTAGTTTAGCATATGGCTAGGAAGGTAAGACTCAGGGAAGGCTAAACTCCTCAGACTGTCAGTCAAGCTGCATAGGGAGCCCCCTGCTGGAGAAGTATGGTAACTGCACTATCCTCTCCTCCTTCCTACTTTATCTGTTTAGCATTATTAGGATTCTGACTGTAGTTTGTTCATTGCTATTCACCCGTTGTCCCATTGTCTGTTTCATGGTACGATGACGGGATCTCTGAGCCTGGCCTCCTCCATCTACACCTGCGGACTGCCCCGCCCGACCCGCCTGGGAGTGCTTCAGTCCTGCACCGGACCTGTCCACGTTCAGCGTCCACTGGTCCACGTTCTGTAGCTAGCTTAGGTCCTAGATCATTAGCCTGTCCGTCCAGAGGAGCGGATCCCTTTCTCAAATGGGTCTCCCTCCCTGTGGGTTTCCCTAGTTCTCCCCAAGGTTTCTCACTTTTTCCCACTGGGTTTTTTAAGAGTTGTTCCTTGTGGATGCAGGAGGGTCTTGTTGGACAGTTAGTGTCCAACAGAAAGGATTGGTGATGATCAGGACACTTTAGCATTCTACAACATGTATGGACATTTTCTTCTGTGTGTGCTTTATACTGTATTCTTCATGTGTTTTAACTGTTGATTCTCTGACCTGTGTTGGTGATTTCAATGGTTTTGTTAAGTCCTCTGAGATGACTTCTGTTGTGACCTAGGGCAATACAAGAATAAACTGTATTGTATTGTATAGCTCCTGTGGACTCACCACCTGCAGGAGGATCAGTGAGGGGCTGGTGCTCTGTGGACTGGGTGCAGCTCTGACTGCCACCCCCCCGACCCAGAAATGGATTAAGGGGAAGAAAATGGATGGATGTATTGTATTGTACTGTAAAGCACTTTGTGTTGCATCTTTTGTATGAAAAGCGCTTTATAAATAAAATTTGATTGATTGATTGAGATCACCCTTCGATTTTATTTATTCCATATTTTTTAGAAATGTACAAGTCCCACATCAAAAAGAGAAACATTATTTTATTTGGGTACATGTGGTCTCAAATGATTCTTTTTACAATTAAGCTATAATCTGCAAAGAACATCATGATCTTAGTTTTTGACCAATTTTTGAGCGATCTGTCAAAAAATGTAATATTATGAAATTAAATTCAAAAGGTTTCTACTCTGTCTCGAGCTCGAGTGAAAGGTACCACTGTACCATCGTCACACACGAGTGCGAGCAGCGGAATGGGCTCAAAGCAGCAACTTTTGCATCACATGAAAAGTTTTAGCTGCCATCTCCATTGTTCAAAGGCATTTCGATATAAATCCTTGTTTTGTCATTAATGATTTGAGAGTCATAACAAGACTTTTTTAGTTTTGCGGCCACAAGTTATTTAACCTGTGAAGATTAGCTAGCCGCGCGGAGTTCTGGCAACCCGGACCACGGAGGGCAGGCCGCCAAAATGAAAACAATAACAACTTTACGAGTCGTAAAACTAATTTTGATAATCAAATATCTCTGAACTACTGTTATCAGTTAAAGATGTGTTTGAAAAGAGCATGATTTAATATCGGCGTTTGAAATATTGGGGCCATTTAATGATGACTTGACATGTAAATATCACATACTGCTACTTTAAACAAAGTAAAGTTACTCAGAGGCACAACATTATCATATCACCCACTCTGTCATCATGAAGCAAGATAACTGTGGCTTCATGAAGTGTTGAACCTTTCCATCCAATGGTTTGAGAAAAGGTTCATTTCTTCATATGCTCACAAACCCTGTTGGTCAAAATCTGTATTTACATTTGAACAAATAGATAGAATTAGAAAATTATACATTTACAAAACGGTAACGGATACAGTTGTCTGCTTTAATACACACACACACACACGCACAGATAAATATTTAATAATGATTATAGCTTGTCAAGTCAAAATCAATTAAATAAATCCAATAGGACAAAAGACAGTGAAGTGCTTACACTCATCAAAGGATGTGTATATATATATGTATATATATATATATATATATACATATATATACATATATCCAATTGTGCAAGTTCTCCCACTTAAAATAATGACAGAGGTCTGTAATGTTCATCATAGGTTCACTTCAACTGTGAGAGACAGAATGTAAAGAAAAAATCCAGGAATTCACATTGTAGGATTTTTAAAGAATTTATTTGTAAATGATGGTGGAAAATAAGTATTTGGTCAATAACAAATTCAACTCAATACTTGGTAATATAACCTTTGTTGGCAATAACAGGTCAAACGATTACTAAAGGTCTTTACCAGGTTTGCACACACAGTAGCTGGTATTTTGGCCCATTCCTCCATGCAGATCTTCTCCAGAGCAGTGAACACGGACTTTCAACTCCCTCCACAGATGTTCAATGGGGTTGAGGTCTGGAGACTGGCGAGGCCACTCCAGGACTTTCAAATGCTTCTTACGGAGCCACTCCTTCGTTGCCCGGGCGGTGTCTTTGGGATCATTGTCATGCTGGAAGACCCAGCCACGTTTCATCTTCAAAGCTCTCACTGATGGAAGGAGGTTTTGGCTCAAAATCTCACGATACATGGCCCCATTCATTCTTTCCTTAACACGGATCAGTCGTCCTGTCCCCTTAGCAGAAAAACAGCCCCAAAGCATGACGTTTCCACCCCCATGCTTCACAGTAGTGTAGAGATTTCATGACACTTTGAAACGACTGAAGTTAAAGTTAAACTCATCATTCTAATATGCACGAGACAGTCACAGTACTTTTCCACTTGATGTTTTGGCTATCTCTGCTGATTGGAGGTCTCTGTTTCTCCTGAGTATATTATCACTTTCTGTCTGTAACATCCCTTGTTTGTGCTTTGTTCGTGTGTCTACCATCAACAATAAAACATGTCTTCTGTCTGAATTAAAGACACGATCCCAGACTTTGGCTGATTCCTAACAGTAGGTATGGTGTTCTTGGGATGCAACTCAGTATAACCCAGGGTTAAAATCCAGTCCAGGTTTTCCCCGCACTCCTGGTTCATTCCTGGTTTTCTCTGCAGGCTGCATGACATGCTCTTGCTCACACACTGCCCTGGCTCCTCTCTGTTCTCTGAGGTGGGAGAGAATCCAGGAGACAGCAGCTGCACGTCAGAAACCCAACTTTTGAATAATACAATTCAAACTTCACTCATGTATCAATTGTTCATTTCCAGAGTCCATAGTGTTTGTTGTTTGTGGATTGGTTACTGTTCATGGGCAGGGATTTGAACTTAACTGGTGAGATGAGAGTTGTGTTTGTCATGTACATTTAGTTAGCTTGGCTACATGCTAACTAGCCGACTAAACTGTTTTTAACAAAGTTTTAGCGGTACGATCATGTGTTTTGGGTTATGTAATGAGCCAATGCTAATTAGCATTAGCATGCTAAAATATTAATTAGCATGCTAACATGCTAATTAGCATTTAGCTAACCCAGGATTATTTTTTGTTGGGAACCATGCTCTCCTTGTTTTGAGCGTTTCCGGGATGTTTTATTAGCATAGCTTATGCTAGTTTTTTGTATTTGGTACCATTTTTGATTATTTTGTATGTACAACTTAAGTGGCCTTGTTTGTACAGGCCAGGTGACCCAACTCCGGGTCAGGTGATGGCGAGCTAGAGAGAAGTGCCTGGAACAGTCCATCGTATCATTGGTCAACACTACTGGTCTGGTAGGAGGCTCAGCCTGTCTCCTTCTCCCACACGTCGTGGGTTTTACACCACTCCATATTCAAACTCTACAATACAACCGCCCTTGGACATCACTTTCTGCCAATAACAATCACTGGACTTTCTGTGGTGCGCCACCGTGTGGGCAGTATGGTACCGCTCAAAAACCCTGGAGTACGGGTTGGACAAAGGTTATAGTTCTTTTGATTAGTTGGACTTTCAGTTGTTACCGGTATTATTTTCCTGCACTGTAAATATTTGGTTATTGTTCACTTTTATATATTTTGTAAAATACACTTACTTTAAACTTACCTTTTGGTTCCTGGTTGGTTTTTCACTGTTCCTATCCTCCAGTAGCGTACCTACTCTTCCGATCCCACTAGTCTATACTTACAAGTCAACTCCATTATTGTATTAAACATTAATAACCAGTTGTTTCATAATTTGGCGAGCTAGCCAGGAGGATAGCAATACAATGAATACCTGTTATTGATTTATACTCACCAGTTCATTTTGAAAAAAAATGGAAGTTTTCCATAATCTATCTGTCTACGCAATGCGGTAATCATCACTGGTGCCACTAATCGGACATTACGATGCGATGAAGTTATTGGTTTTCTGAAGCAACACGGGGACATTAATCAAGATGTTCGAATTGATGATGTAGCTTCAGATTTTCATGGTCGTGTTGAGTTTACTTCCGGATCTGCGTTGACAACGTTACCTCCATTACCTTATACTTGTGATTCAGAAGGGGGAGATAAAATTTCCGTTGAGCGCTTATCCGATATTTATGCATCCAGAATTTGTGGTTTGAAGACTAACTCATATTTGGCGGAGCTAAAAGACGTTGCAAAGCAGTCAGGGAAACTATACACTGACGTGCTGAAGAACTGGCTGAGTTGGATCAGCATATTCTTCAATCTATCTCTGAACTGAGTCACCTGCCACTGCCAGCGATCCGGCTATATCATCAGATATTAAAATGAAACAGTCCTCAATCAACAGTCCTTCCACCCTCTGCTGCATCTAACTTTTTTGCAGAAGGTTCGCAGGAGAGGCGATCAACCATCCACATGACGCACAGTGACGTAAATCCCCCTGAAGTCCAACGCTATGTGGTGGAACATGCTGGTCTCCACTGCAGGTGCAGTACCATCCATCTCAGCGCTTGAGGACATTCTCGGGAAAGGTACCACGGCCGACGCACGAGACGGATTATGACACCTGGAGGTGTACAGTGGAACTGATTCTGCAAGATCCTTCTATGTCAGATCTTCAGCGCACCAGGTCGATCCGTGATAGTCTACTGCCTCCTGCTGCTGACATGGTTAAACACCTTCGTCCTGACACTACCCCCGAGACATACCTACAACTGGACTCGGCGTATGGAACAGTACAGGATGGTGATGAACTTTATGCCAAGTTTTTGGACACTTACCAAATGAATGTCTACTTACCTTCAACGTCTCAGTCTCATTGCAACACGCAGTGAAGAGGGGAGGAGTTTCAGTAAGGGATGTGAACAAGTGTCTACTGACCCAATTCTGTCGAGGATGTTGGAATAATAATCTCATTGTTGAATTACAATTAAAACAGAAGAAAAGCAACCCACCATCATTTACTGAACTTTTAATGCTGTTACGCACTGAAGAGGATCAAGATGTTGCAAAAACTGTCCGCATGAAACAACACTTGGGTGCTAAGCAGAAAGCTGCTAACCATGCACAACGAGTTCAGACCGAAGAACCAAATCTGTGTGCAGCGTTGACAACATTCACAAAACAGTTGACTGAACAAATGTTAAACATCCAAAAGCAATTGGCCACGCTAACTGCCAATCAGAGCCCACAGTTGTCATCCCCAACTCTAAAGGCTGGGACAAAGTCCACTTTCTCCCAGACAAGGTTTTTGTTTCCGCTGTGGAGAAGAACCCATCTTTAGTGAATTTAAAGACAGTTCCAGAGTAAACAAGACACTCGACTAAGCCAAAGCACTAACAGACATTTAAACTAGTTCGAGTTCCTGATGAGGGACACTCAGGAACTGTACTGGACCAAATCCGTCCCGTCAATTGGCTCAAGATGTACAGCAGAAGTGACCCTCGCCGGCCACTAATGTTTCCAGAGGACTTTCTTGGGAGCAGGTTTGAACTTCAAACCCTTGCACTTGTTGTTCCTGACTTCCCTTCTAGTATACAAACCTTTGTATTAATTGGCATGAATACGCTCGAAGCTCTGTACAATTCTTCTTCCAAACACGACGAGTTGCGTTAATACCAAACAGTTCTACTTTGGTTTCATCTGACCACATGACATTCTCCCAATCCTCTGCTGTATCGTCCATGACCAGGATGTGCAACAAGTAAATTGTGAAAAAATCAGTGGATGCATAAAAAGCTTTGATGCATCTGGACTCATCTGGGGACGGATTCCCCTGAATTTAGACAATCTACATTTTATGCATTTGATCATTTTAGAAATGTGCGTTTTAAAAGACAGTGGGCCTCATGTATGAAACATGCGTACGGCAAAATCAGGGTGTAAATGATGCGTACGCAAAAAATGTACACTTTTCAATCTGGACGTGAGCGAACGGTTCGCACAGAATTTACACCAAGTCAATAGGTGGTGTAAATGTGTACGCTCATTTCACCCTTCGTCACAACACGCCAAAGCACGCACGAAATTTAAGATTTGGACAACAATAAACATGTTCAACATTATAAACTGTTTTCATGGAGCATCATGTTTCGGAATTTGAATTTGAGCATCAGAAAAAGTCTAACACTTTGGAAACACGCAAACTTCGACTAAATCACAGATCATGAGGAGGAGCCTCTTCTGTTTCTATGATTTTAAATCTGACTTGTGTATCATTTTGATCTGTATGTTTTTAACCCTTGTATTATGTTGAAAAAAAATGACATTGATTATGTTGCGGGTCATTTTGACCCGTACTGTGTAAATGCACTCAAAACAGTCAAGAAAACAGGTTAAACCAATAACAACTTTATTTTAGGTTATATAAATATTTAGAAAAGTGACATACAATACATTTTTAATTCCAACGCTATATTTAAGAAATATTTAGTCTAATCTTCTTGTCCTCCTCTCGGGTCAAAATGACAATTCTTCCTTCCTTCTTTCCTCCTGCCATGCTTTCTCCTTCCTTTTTCTCATCCTGTTTTCCTTCTCTCTGTTCATCCTCCTCTATTCCCTTCTTTTCTCTTCCTTCCTTCCTTCCCTTCTCCCTTCTTTCCTTCCTACCTTCCTTCCTTCCTCCCTTCCTCTTACCTTGACCAAAGATTTGTACTCTGAATCCTCCTTATCGTAGGAAAATTGACAATCTGGATCAGCAATAACACTGTCCTCTGTCAAATCCTCTGTTTCTCTTCCTCTACATCATTATCCCAGTTAAAATTCTGTGATAAAGCCTCCTCAGATGTCATGCTTCTGGAGCTCATTTTTGGTGAGTTTGTCTAAAGCCTAGCGTACATCGACAGAGTAACTGGAGACTAGTTGCAAACTAGTTGCAAGGCGGCAATGATGGAGATGATCAGTTGCCGAAATCGGTCGATGTGAGCGCTCTTACAACTGGAGATAAACAGTCGATCTCCGGATTCAGTCAAATGCCCGTGTTCTACTTTTCGGCAACTAGTTGTACTCAGATCCAGAGATATCACCCGATGTGCGCGCTCCGTGGCACGCTCTAACAACATGTGTGTATTGCGCGCCCTCTACAGTTTATGTCAGAAAACACACTGTAGTTGAGGCCAGTTGCTGTCGATGTACGCGCTGTTATTCCCAAGACTGGTCTGCTACTAGGAGTTGCCCGTCTTTGCCAGATTGTTGATGTGTGTGGGGCAGCAACTCAAAGGCGACGAATATAATCAGGTGCCAGTCCGATGTACGCTAAGCAAAAGAGATGACATAAGAACAGTGACAAGGACAAGTGTGAGAAAGTTCCCTCTCTTCACACACCTGGCTCTGGGTCTCAGAGGCAATCAAAATACAATGTCAAAGAGACATGTTTTTTTGGATCTGAACAACTATTTACCCACATTTAAGTAAAAACTACAACTCCGTGACCTGTCCGTTGGCACACTCTGGATCATAGGTCACTGGCGGCTTTCTGTCCGAGGGAGGTCCGTAGCATAGACGGTTAATGTGTGTGGTTCTGTACTTCCGCGTCTCGTCTAACCGGGACTGCAGCTTCGCGCAGAGTTCAGAGAGCTCCGGTTTTCGAAATGACGGCGACCGCACAATCCAGCCAGAGACACCGTCCACAACGCCTTCTTCTTCATCGGACATTAGGTCTACGGTGGCAGACTTCCAGAGTTCCACCTCGTCCTCTGCTAGGACGCTCTGTCTCGATTCCAGCAGCTGTAAAAAACAATGAATCAGTCCAGTGCAATGCACTGTGTGTGAACACAACACATCTAACACCTGAATAAAGTCACAATAAAGTCTTACCCTCTTTCTTCTCGCTCGACTCCGAGCTGAACTCTTCGCAGCTTCCGCCCGCGATGAGTTTTCTGGCTTGGCATATATAAAGCTCCTGCGTACCGTCTCGTAATAGGTCTTACAGGCGGCTGGAAAACAATTTAATGAGTGGTATGAATAAAATCAAACACAAGTCACAGTAACATTAAACACTTACACACAATGCGGTCTTTATCAACATTGTGTAAATCATGACTTTCAGATACTGCTTTGAGCAAATAGGAGGTCACTGCCTCATTATGAGGAGAAATTAGTCTGTGAAAACAAAATGTACAGTTAGATCGGTATCTATACATATCTAGTTCCTTATACCACAGAATGAAAGCACATTCTTTAAATCTTACCCTTGCTCTGGTTCGTAGCGCCTGGGATTAGTCTTTGAGTTGTGAAGACGGCGAACTGCTTCCTGTAAATGACAAACACTTTAATAAAGCTAGTGCTTTTGCAAAGCTACTCTTAGCTTTGTTTTTAGGCTAGGCTACTTAGCTTAGCTAGCAGTCATAGAACATATTCTTACCGCAAGCTTGGGATTGTGCACCCGTCTTCTCCTCTTTGAGTATGTTTCTCCCGCACAGTCGTTCGACTCCAGAGCCGCCACCTTCTCCTCGATGGAGTTGACTGAATTCAGCAGTTGAGTGAAGCGCTCGTTTATGTCGGCAGCATGTTCATTAAGCTGATCAGACAGTCCACAGAGAGCAGTCAGCACTTTGTCCTCAGTCTGTGGACTGGCTGAAACTTGTGGATCGGGTCCAAGAGGAGTTGAAGGCGGGTTGATTGACACACTCTTTACTATTGGATTGACATGCTCTTTAGCGCAAGAAGATTTTTCCTTTCTTAGCAAGGAAGAGCCACATTTGTTCCTTAATGCAGACTTCTGCTGTGGGTGATTGTAGAACGGTATGTGACCACAAGTCTTACAAACCTTTGTACCATCGCGTATGGGCTCGTAGGTTTCAGTACGCATGTATACGGTCATACATTTTGGACAAACTGCATACTGTAAGAAGTCGTCACGGAGGACACCAGTCCATTTCCTCAAGGACACTAAAGTCTTTGGAATATCATTTGCAAAGACAGTGAGGGAATTAGCACAGACAACATTTCCAAGTATCCACATGAATTGTTTGATGCACAGAAGTAGCGATGTGAGGGCGTCGTCAGAAATCTTGAAGGTTGATTGCCATGACAAAAGCATCATGGCCAGAAGTTTCATCAGCAAGATCTGTTGTTTTTCACTTCCATGCCCCTCCCCATCTTGTATGTGAGGATTGGCTTCACTCTGCTCCTCTTTGACCACTTTCTCAACCTATGCAAATGTAAAGTAGGCTCATTAAACATGCAGGCAGCGCCCATACTCAGCAGCTCAAACGACCGTGCTCAGTGCATGAATGTCCATTTGAGAGTGAAAAGACCATCATTAATACCACCATTTGAACATGAAAAGATTTTACAACTGTAGTTTGACAAAAATCAAGTTCATCTCAAACAGCTCGCGGTGTTTGTTTTAGTGTTTAGTTGCTTTGATTGTTTAACAGAAACTGTACACTGAGAGTAGCAGTAGTAGTACTGAGACTGGAGAACTGTTTGAGCTCTGGATTGCATGTATAGCTGTATACATATATAAACTTGTATGCTATATTCTAAGGTAATTTCATGCCTTACCTCATGACAGGAGAGGTCTTCATCTTGCACAGACTCTGAGTCACTATTTGATTATTAATGATTATTACAATAATCATTACCATGGGAAGCAAACACATTTTACTGCACACTAACTATTACAGATTTGCTGCTCACCGTTGTCTTCATGTTCTTCCTTCACTTCTTTCCCTGGGTGCTCGGTCTGCATCTCACGCTCATGCGTCTCTCCAGCTCCAGGACGCACAGACCTCCCTCCGGTGTGACGGGATAACAGGATCTGTGCGTTATCGGACCGAGTCCTTTGGAGATTTTTCTCCCAAACTCCATTTCTGAAATAGCGCCTCCTGTGGTCATAATACTGTGCATGAGAGAGTTCAAGGCTGCAATGTTCACAGAAGCGCCGAGGTTTCTTCTTCAGGTGGGGTTTTTCCATCTCTGCACAGTCAGCTTCACTGTCAGCTTTAAAGTCAGCTTTAGAGACAGCTTTAAAGGCAGCTTTAGGCGGACACACGGAATAGAGCGGGAATCGCGAGTCCTTCCGTATAACAATAACCTCGTCTGTGATTGGAGGAGCCTGAAGCGCCTTCGACTCCTCGTCCAATCACGTGTGAGGCTTTGTGCATGACCCACACACAGCAGTACTTGCAAGACCAGCGCATACACCATAGACTGCAAATATGAATGTTTGTGTTCCTCAGAAGAACCCTGTCAAAGGGTACCGCATTTAAACATGTTATTTTACAAGTTTCTTTGTTTCATCCCGTTATTATAATAGATCCATGCTTCATCCCCACCCGGACAGATATTTTATATGGAAAGCCAATAGAAGTTTGGGGCTTGCAGGGAACAGACCTAGTGTAAAGTCTGTACTTGTAGCTTATCGCGTCTGTTGCATTCCTCCTGCACTTATAAGTAGTTTGTTTGTCTCAGATATTTACCACTTATTCTTTTGCTGCTTGTGCTGAAAACACTTTAATAATAACTATGTTTCCAACTAGAACTGAGTCTTTATTCAAAACATCAGTTGAAATGACTTTTGAAATGAAGAGTCCATAGAACTACCACATAAAACTACAGTAGAAACACATGTAATGATCTCAAACAGCTCGGTTTGTTCATGTTTTGTTCTGAAGAGGAGAAAGAAGCAGCGTAAATGAGGCCGCTTTGGTTTCTCAAGCAACTCCTGTGAGATCGCCATCATGTGGTTGGTTGTGGGATTACAACATTCTCTTCAAAACAACATCAACAAAAAAAAGTTAAACCAGAAACACTGCAAACACACTCACAGATCACAGACCTGAGAGATTTAGTGAGGATGTGTTTTCCGTACGTGGAGCCCCCTTTGTCTGCCGAGGTAGCTGATTCCTTCAGACGCACACACACAGACGCACACACACACACACACACACACACAGACACACACACACACACACACACACACACACACACACACACAGAGACACACACACACAGACACAGTCAGTCTGCCTGGAGGCACCAGAGAGTGGAACTCACTACCACAGACTGTTAGACAGCAGAGCACATACAGGGCTTTTACACAGCACCTAAAACAATGGATGGTAAACACATACACCTGCCCACATTAACTGATGTATGATATGCTTATGCAGTCTTGTAAATAGTATATTTTTGAATGTGTGAACACAATGTTAGTCTTGAATGATGTTATCTTTGTCTTGTAATTTTGTCATGTTAATGTATTTTAATATCTTTTTAACATCACAGCCAGGGGACTACAGATGAAAAATAGCCTCCTTGGCTAATTCTGGCTTTTTTAACTCATGTTTTATCATGTGTTTTATTAAATTGCATTGTCCCCCTTTGAAATAAACTAAACTGAAACTGAAACTGAAACACAGACGCACACACACAGACACAGACACACAGACACAGACACACACACTAATACTGATACTGAGAGCTGATTGGCTGAGTGTGGGCGGGACCCTCTCCTCCTCGAGCCTGACTGAGGCCAAACATGAAGTGAAAACTAGAACTGAGCTGTTTTAGCAGAATTGTAGTATTTTCGTTATAATAAAAATACATCTTTACTAATGATGTCATGTCAGCCTCAAACACATTATGGTGATCCTACAGCGACACCTGGTGGAGACTTTGGTGCAGTTACTTTTGGCAGATTTTAACCAGGTAAAAAGTTATTCAGAGTTCAGAATCAGCGTTGGTACAAACTGTACTTTATCAGGAAGGACCAAAATAAATGAATAAATAAATTATAAATACAATTATATAAAAACTATAAACAGAATATTCAATATTCTGATGTTGTAGAAAGTCACAGATTATGGCAGAAAAACTAACTTTACCACTGTGTTGTACATTTATGAACGAAGCAAAGGGACGGCTGTTTGTTAATGAAGCAAAGGGACGGCTGTTTATGAACGAAGCAAAGGGACGGCCGTTTATGAATGAAGCAAAGGTACGGCCTTTTAATAATGAAGCAAAGGGACGGCCGTTTAATAATGAAGCAAAGGGACGGCCGTTTATGAATGAAGCAAAGGGACGGCCGTTTATGAACGAAGCAAAGGGACTTTAGTTCCTATAAAAGATATTTATTGTCAAACAAACATTGGTACATTTGGATGTTGTTAAAAGTAGAGCTTGGCCATGGCCTGCAGGAACCTCTTCTTCCTCTTCTGAGCCGCGAGCTGCAGCACCTCCTCAGGGTTACTCGTGTTCAGCTCACTCTGTCCGATCGCTTTGACCTGAACACAGGAAACAGACAGTCAGAGAGAACAGTCAGAGAGAACAGTCAGAGAGAACAGTCAGAGAGAACAGTCAGAGAGAACAGTCAGAGAGAACAGTCAGAGAGAACAGTCTGAGAGAACAGTCAGAGAACAGTCAGAGAACAGTCTGAGAGAACAGTCAGAGAACAGTCTGAGAGAACAGTCTGAGAACAGTCAGAGAACAGTCAGAGAGAACAGTCAGAGAGAACAGTCTGAGAGAACAGTCAGAGAGAACAGTCAGAGAGAACAGTCAGAGCAGAGAACAGTCAGAGAGAACAGTCAGAGAGAACAGTCAGAGAGAACAGTCTGAGAGAACAGTCAGAGAACAGTCAGAGAACAGTCTGAGAGAACAGTCAGAGAACAGTCTGAGAGAACAGTCTGAGAACAGTCAGAGAACAGTCAGAGAGAACAGTCAGAGAGAACAGTCTGAGAGAACAGTCAGAGAACAGTCAGAGAGAACAGTCAGAGAGAACAGTCTGAGAGAACAGTCTGAGAACAGTCTGAGAGAACAGTCAGAGAACAGTCAGAGAACAGTCAGAGAACAGTCTGAGAGAACAGTCTGAGAGAACAGTCTGAGAGAACAGTCAGAGAACAGTCAGAGAAACAGTCAGAGAGAACAGTCAGAGAGAACAGTCAGAGAGAACAGTCCCAAACAAAGAGAAACTAAAAAAGGCAAATAAAGCACAGATTGTAACTCACAGCAATCTGTCTCTTCTCGGCCTCTCCTCGTTTATGGTGAATGTCTGAAGTGTGAGTGAAGGAGAATGTTTGCAGCCAATCATTTTCAAATTCAAAACAAATAAATCCAAAGTAAACTGCTCCCTCTGGTGGCAGAACAGGGAGTTACAGGTAGAAAGCATGTTTTTTAACCTTCAGACTGATATTTTACACTTAATGATAAGAATATTATTATGATATTATTGTTTCATTTTAAATATATTATATATAGATAAAAACAATGAAAGGTTCTCCTGCAGAAGGATACGTGTGAGGTACTCCAGGATGGTCACGTCCCAGATGTAGTCGTAGAACGAGTCCATGGCGTCGTGGCTGAAGACGGACAAACGTCACCATGAACTTCAGAAAAACTCATCTGAATTTCAGCTTTTACCTGTTCTGCTCCTGCAGCGCTTTGAACGCAGTCATGTAGTCCACCTCTCGCAGAAACTGGCAGAGAACAGCCACCTGGGAAATGATGTATTATTACTAGGGCTGTCCAAAATAGCGCGTTATTAACGCGTTAACGCAAATCAATATTAACGCCGTCATTTTTTTTATCGCGCGATAATAAAAAAAAAAAAAAAAAAAAAAAAAAAGATTTTTTTTTTTTTTTTTTTTTTACTTTTTATTGCAGACAAACACACATACAGAAAAAAAATAGAAACAAAGAAAAGGACTAGTTCAGATACATTGTAGACAGAGATTACAAACAATATGTAGTTGGAGATACAGGGGGCCAAAGAAGAAACCCAGAAGGGCACATAGGAGGGGGGGGGACATGAAGTGGGAGATGGGGGGAGGGGTTAATAAAAAAGGCAATACAAGCAAACAGTATACAGTCATAGATATACCGAAGGTAAACAGAGAAACAGCATAGAGTATTTACATGAACCAATTTACAAAATATTTACAGATTGTTTATCATCATCATAATGACACCATGATGTTTCTATACAGTCTATGGTCTATACCCACACATACACACACACACCCACACACACACATTGAAGGGGCTTTTTGTTACCAATTATTTATTTTGTCATCCATTTATTGATGATTTTGCATCAAATGTTAGTGTGTAATATAACACTACACATTGTTTTCAATAAAAAAAGCAATTGCACACAGCACGCAAATGTGTGACTAATTTGCGATTAATCGCGAGTTAACTATGAAATTCATGCGATTAATCGCGATTAAATATTTTAATCGTTGGACAGCACTAATTATTACATAATAATAATAATATATTAAATTATAATGTGATGATGTTAAAGCACAGACCTGTGTGTGGCAATTCATCATGGAGCAGCATTTGATCATGCGTTTAAGAACCTGCAGAAACAACACTTATTATTTATTTATACTTTGTTAAGGACTGTTCTGCAGAAACAGGATCCATAACTCGCTACAATAATGGAACTATAAGTAAAACAAACCAGAGAAGACTTTAATATCCAATCCTAGTCTGTTCTGAGTGTGGCCTTACTCCCACCTGATCCGTGTAGACGTCCGACGGAACGTGTTTAGTGAAGAAATCTGAGGCCACGGCTCCGGCCTGAAGGTAGAAGTTCAGAGCGGCAGAGTAAAGGTTCGTCACTGCAGAGACACATTAAAGCAGCAAAATGTCATTTTATCATCACCCAAAAATGTTATTGTCTTTTTGTTGTTGTTGAACAGAATCTCTCTCTCTCTCTCTCTGCTGCAGCATCAACAATAAATAATACATTAAACCTAGCCTGGTCTTATCCATCCGTACACTCCGCATGTCCTGCAGGTAATGTCTGGGTCTGGTCCCTGTGTTTGCGATTACTATCAGATGAATTCCATCCGACCAATCAGAGAGCGCGGGAGGCGGGTGTTGTAGTTAGATGTGGGTGACGTCGAGAGTTAGCGCTGAACGAGCAGGTTGTAGTTTGGCGAAGAATGCGATAGTAAAGTATTCTGCTCTGGTTCTATCAAGAAACTGAAGCTGGAGCAAGAGGAATGTTTAACAAATGTAATCTCTGGAAAAGATTGTGACGCTACTCCCCACGGGCTCCGTTAGCGGCAAAGGAGATGGCTAAAGCTAGGGCTAAATGCTAAATGCTAACGACTCACTCGGGCTCATTACATAAGTCACGATAAACTCAGATCCAATTGTTTCAATCTGCAAAAGGAGTTAGCCCCTCCCACCTGTTAACGGAGTCAATGGAGACAATCCAGACCTTAGTATGAAATTAAATTTGTACTATGGTGTGGTACGACCAGGCTACTTAAAGCCTAGCGTACATCGGACTGGCAACTGATTATATCCGTCGCCTCTGAGTTGCTGCCCCGCACACATCGACAATCTGGCGAAAACGGGCAACTCTGAGTCGCAGGCCAGTCTCTTGAATAACAGCGCGTACATCGACAGCAACTGGCCTCAACTACAGTGTGTTTTCTGACAACAAACTGTTGCGGGCTCGCAATACACGCAATACACACACGTTGTTGGAGCGGCGCATGGAGCGCGCACATCGGGGCAACTGAGGACAACTAGTTGCCGAAAAGTAGAACACGGGCAACTGACTGGAACTGGAGACCGACTGATCATCTCCAGTTGTAAGAGCGCGCACATCGACCGATTTCGGCAACTGATCATCTCCCACCATCTCCTCTCAGTCGCCAAAAGCCGCCTTGCAACTAGTTGTCCCCAGTTTCTCTGTCGATGTACGCTAGGCTTTAAATATGACGTGACATAAAGAAGATAAAGAGGAAATGTCACCAAAGTAGAAGTAACTAAAGTACTCTCACCAAAGTAGAAGTAACTAAAGTACTCTCCAAAAGTAAAAGTAACTAAAGTACTCTCACCAAAGTAGAAGTAACTAAAGTACTCTCACCAAAGTAGAAGTAACTAAAGTACTCTCACCAAAGTAGAAGTAACTTAAGTACTCTCACCAAAGTAGAAGTAACTTAAGTACTCTCACCAAAGTAGAAGTAACTTAAGTACTCACACCAAAGTACATGTAACTAAAGTACTCACACCAAAGTAGAAGTAACTAAAGTACTCTCACCAAAGTAGAAGTAACTAAAGTACTCTCACCAAAGTAGAAGTAACTAAAGTACTCTCACCAAAGTAGAAGTAACTTAAGTACTCTCACCAAAGTAGAAGTAACTTAAGTACTCACACCAAAGTACATGTAACTAAAGTACTCACACCAAAGTAGAAGTAACTAAAGTACTCTCACCAAAGTAGATGTAACTAAAGTACTCTCACCAAAGTAGAAGTAACTAAAGTACTCTCACCAAAGTAGAAGTAACTAAAGTACTCTCACCAAAGTAGAAGTAACTAAAGTAAAGTACTCTCACCAAAGTAGATGTAACTAAAGTACTCTCACCAAAGTAGATGTAACTAAAGTACTCTCACCAAAGTAGAAGTAACTAAACTACTCTCACCAAAGTAAAAGTAACTAAAGTACTCTCACCAAAGTAGAAGTAACTAAAGTAAAGTACTCTCACCAAAGTAAAAGTAACTAAAGTACTCTCACCAAAGTAGATGTAACTAAAGTACTCTCACCAAAGTAGAAGTAACTAAAGTACTCTCACCAAAGTAGAAGTAACTTAAGTACTCTCACCAAAGTACATGTAACTAAAGTACTCACACCAAAGTAGAAGTAACTAAAGTACTCTCACCAAAGTACATGTAACTAAAGTACTCTCACCAAAGTAGAAGTAACTAAAGTAAAGTACTCTCACCAAAGTAGATGTACCAAAGTAGATGTAACTAAAGTAAAGTACTCTCACCAAAGTACATGTAACTAAAGTACTCACACCAAAGTAGAAGTAACTAAAGTACTCTCACCAAAGTAGAAGTAACTAAAGTACTCTCACCAAAGTAGAAGTAACTAAAGTAAAGTACTCTCACCAAAGTAGATGAAACTAAAGTACTCTCACCAAAGTAGATGTAACTAAAGTACTCTCACCAAAGTAGAAGTAACTAAAGTACTCTCACCAAAGTAAAAGTAACTAAAGTACTCTCACCAAAGTAGAAGTAACTAAAGTAAAGTACTCTCACCAAAGTAGATGTAACTAAAGTACTCTCACCAAAGTAGAAGTAACTAAAGTACTCTCACCAAAGTAAAAGTAACTAAAGTACTCTCACCAAAGTAAAAGTAACTAAAGTACTCTCACCAAAGTAGAAGTAACTAAAGTAAAGTACTCTCACCAAAGTAGATGTAACTAAAGTAAAGTACTCTCACCAAAGTAAAAGTAACTAAAGTACTCTCACCAAAGTAGAAGTAACTAAAGTAAAGTACTCTCACCAAAGTAGATGTAACTAAAGTACTCTCACCAAAGTAGAAGTAACTAAAGTACTCTCACCAAAGTAGATGTAACTAAAGTACTCTCACCAAAGTAGAAGTAACTAAAGTACTCTCACCAAAGTAGAAGTAACTTAAGTACTCTCACCAAAGTAGATGTCGGCCTGAGTGATGAGCCAGGACTGGTTATTGGGGTTCAGAGTGAGAGCGTAGGACACCAGCTCCTTCACCGTGACGGCCACAGCCTCCACGTCCACAGCCTGGATACTGCAACACACACACACACACACACACACACACAGATGGCACACACACAGACGACGACACACACACACACACACACAGACACACACACACAGACACACACAGAGATAACGACACACACACACACACACACACACACAGATGACGACACACACACACACACACACAGATGACACACACACACACAAGACAACACACACACACACAAGACAACACACACAGATGGCACACACACAGACGACGACATACACACACACAAGACAACACACACACACACACAGATGACGACACACACACACACACAGATGACACACACACACACACAGACACACACATGTTTACACTGCCTTTCAAAAGCCTTCGTCCTTATTATTGAGAAAAACATGATTTCTGAGTTTGTGGTAGTTAGGGTTAGGGTTGCTGTAAATATGAGTGTGTTTTTATGGTTGTTATGGAATTTAAAAGTCAAGTCAAAAGCTGTTTGATTATTAGAAAACTGTTTTGCCAATTGGAGAAGCTATAACTTCCTTTAAGCATTTTGAACAGATCTACAATAAAACGGTCCTTTCTTTGAGAATTTTGACTAGATTTATATTTGTGGGTGTGGTTTAAGCTGAACGTCTTATGGGACATTTCTCACACCATAGATCAGTGTTTTCCAACCAGTGGGCCGTGGCACGTTGGTGTGCCTTGGAAACAGTCCAATATCACCTGATTGGTCCAAATCATGTGAAAAGAGAATAATGAAATGAGTAGAAAGATCTTTTTGTGCTCGTTTGATTTGCTGAATAATACACATCGATAGGAATGACTTTCACTTTGGTATGAAAACCAGTTGGTGGTGTTCCTTATTATTTTTGGCAATGACAAAGCCACGGCTCAGAAAGGTTGGGGACCACTGCCATAGATGAGTCCCAGCACCAGTGTGTGTGGACTGTTGTGTTGTGCGTACTTTGCCAGAGTGGACGGCCAGATGGAGAGGTGTTCCGCCGTCACCTCGTTCACGATGTCGTCCTGTTGGAATTATATTTAAAGTTATTTCAGAAAAAGTTTTATACATTTCAACGATTGTGTCCTTTTCTGTACGTACTCGGACAATACTGTGAAGTCTGACGAACAGAGAAATGAGCGACGTCAAGACCAGAGGCTCCTGGAGAGAGAGCAATGTGTAAACAAGGGTGTGTGCGTGTGTGTGTGTGTGTGGGTATGTGTGTGTGTGTGTGTGTGTGTGTGTAGGTATGTGTGTGTGTGTCTGTAGGTATGAGTAAGTGTGTGTGTCGGTGCGTGCGCGTAGGTATATGTGTGTGTGTGTGTGTGGTGTGTGTGTCTGTGTGTGTGTGTCTGTAGGTGTGAGTAAGTGTGTGTGTCTGTGTGTGTGTGTCTGTAGGTGTGAGTAAGTGTGTGTGTGTGTGCGTGCGTGTGCGTAGGTATATGTGTGTGTGGTGTGTGTGTCTGTGTGTGTGTCTGTAGGTGTGAGTAAGTGTGTGTGTCTGTGTGTGTGTGTCTGTAGGTGTGAGTAAGTGTGTGTGTACGTGTGTGTGTGTGTGTGTGTGTGTGTGTGTGTGTGTGTCTGTAGGTGTGAGTAAGTGTGTGTGTACGTGTGTGTGTATCTTACTCGAAGTTTTTTGATGAATGTAATAAATTTGTTCCTAAAAGAAGAAGACAGAGTCATGAGTGAAGCAGAGTATAAAACGCTGTTGTGTTTCCCAGAGTAGGTCTGAGCTGAAACTCACTGCTTTTTAATCTGACTTCAGAGCGTTATGTTCTGGCTCCGGTAAACTCTAACAAACAGACTCTGTCTCGACATAAACATGGTCGGATCAGTCCTCTCAATAATAAATGGTTCCAGTCCCTTCAGCTGTGTGATTTGAACAACTGGCTGAAGCTTTGATCTTTTACAACAGAATAAACTGCTGAATGATATGTGCAGCCATCTTTGTTTCTCTGAGAGCTCCTGACAGAGGGCAGGGGGATCTGAACCCAGGGGGAATATGGAACCTATGAGCAGACTGGATCCAAGGCTAAACGTAGCGACGGTAGGGCAAGTTTATTTAAACAGCACAACTGAAAGGTGTCCACAGACAGATGGTCACCTCTGCAGGATGCCCATGGAGGACTCCCGGTGCTTGATGAGGCCGACTCTCCCGTCGCTGCTGCGTTTGTGCTGCACAGAGACGCTGCAGACCTGGACCACGGTCTCCCACAGCTCTTTGGCCGTGCGCCTGCTCTCCTTAGGTCCAGGCAGCTCCTTACAGGTGGAGGCCAGTAACTGACCCAGCTGCAGCGGAACCAGAACCATCCACATCAACATCACTGAAGTCAAACACCAAAGAGACAGTGCAGAGAAAAAATCAGGTCCAGGCACTCATCATTTGCAAAAGTAGATGGCTTTATTTATGGGCCAGAAACATTAAAAAGCACACCAACGCGTTGGTGTGCTTTTTAATGTTTCTGGCCCATAAATAAAGCCATCTACTATTGCCTCCTTCTATTGCCTCCTTCCATGAGCACCATCTTTTTGCTGGATACCAGAAGCTCCCTGTCCTAATTTCTGTTAACCAAAGAGACAGTTCTGATATTGTCAATAGTTTAAACAGTTTTTAGTTGTGACCTTGATGTAGGGGTTGTTCATGACCAAAGATGGCGGCACTTGTAGAGTCAGGTAATCGTTCTCTCTCCAGTTCAACATGAAGGCGACGCACTCCTCCCCCACCACCTGACGGAGCGGTAGATCTGCGGGAAAGAAAGTAATTATTAAAGCTGGGGAACCTAACTTTCAAACCACATTACATTTTATTATGCTGCAAAATCCATGTAACGATTTCCTAGCAATCATGTCTCTAAAAACTCTGGCCTCTGTCACGACTTTAGATCCTGTTTTTTAGACAGACTCAATGAGCTCTCGGCCCAGGGCTAAGTTATGTTTACGATCAAGATAAACACAGCAGGTCGTGGTCCGATTTGTTCACAATATTTTATTATGACAAGACATGTCCGTTTGGAAGAAATATATTATTTAATCAAACTAAAAGCTATGTTCCCCAGCTTTAGAGGAGCAGTGTTTAAACATGTGGCCAAAAGTGGTACTGCAGCCTCTCCCACTCTCCCTGACTTGGGTTGCCAGATATGCATCTCATAAAGACACATTTTAATGCTAGAATCTCACAAACTTAAAAGGCAGATCAGATTTAGTCTTATTTGATGGGCTCATGTCACCAGAATGATTGACAGTTGGGAGGACCAATAGTCTTGATGATCCACCTGGATATTCTATGAACCTTTAGGGCTTTTCAGGCCTTGAAGCTTCATCAGGTGTAATACCCTCTCTCAGACACTAAAACCCAGACAAATCTCTGAAATGGTGCAGAAGTGAATGAATACCATGGATCCTCATCTCCAGGTACCCTCTGACCCGGCTGACCAGGTCTGAGGGCGGCCGCTCTCTGCTGCCCCCTACAGCCTGCGCCTCGTGAGCGCGCACGTCCAGCAGCAGCATCTCGTTGAGCATCACCTGCCGCAGTTTAGGAGAGAACTCTGTGACCAGCTCCAGACTCGCCGAGAACAGCTGCCGAGCGTGAGCGAAGTCCTGACGGAGAAAAGACAAGATAAAAACATCTGTCACATTTCACTGAGGCTTCAAACTGCACATTACAAACACGGTTCATCAGTCATCGTTATGGGCTGGGATTAAGTCACTTCTTTCTTCACAACTAAATACTCTTAAACTTTTAAAGAGTGGAACTGTTCCTTTAACTTAAATGCTGTGATAATCATATTTAAAGCTAGGGTACCCAACTTATTGGGAACAGCTGACGACAGACCACAACATTCTTTATCTCACAAGAACATATCAGCGTTTCATTTATACAGTATAGTATGTCATCTTTAGTGTACTGGGCCCGCTATGTTATGTCAGAATGAAGTGGCGGCTCCCTCAGACCTTTATGGAGATGCAGTGCAGTCCTTTGGCCATGAGGATGAAGACCAGGTCCTTGGTCAAACTGTCTTTGATGCTGAGAATCACATTGATGTAATCTGCAGGAACCTCCCACTGGAAACAACTCAGAACATTCAGTGGATTTTCTCTAAATGAGACTGAAGAGAGTAAGGTGTGTGCGGACCTTGTTGTTGACCCTCCAGAAGGGGCGCTCTGTGATCCCGTGGAGCTCGATCAGGATCTGTCGGATCCTTCGCGGCTCCAGCGACAGATTCAGCTGCTGCTCCAGCTGCCCAATGTTCACTGAAGCCGAGGCTGAAAGAAGATCACACAAAGTACACTTTAGAAAGGTGAAAGTCTAAATACTGCTGTTTACTGAAGGTCTGTGAGGCTGGAGTTGAAGAACAAATGGTACAGCTGCTGAAGTTTAGTTAGTTACTGCTTTAGCTACATTTAAATCCAGCTCAAAGGTACTTCCAGGTGGATCATCAAAACCATTGGTCCTCCCAGCTGTCAATCATTCTGCGGATACGTGTTCGTCCAATCAGACGATAAGAGGAGAGAGCAGTTCTATTGTTGTATTTTAAACCTTTAAGATTCTCCCACTGTCACAGTAAAGATGATGAGATGTCAGTCCTGTGTGGACTTCTCTGTAGTTATACATTATACATAACATTCTATTAGGGATCAATCCATTCAGTTTGTGATTATTGATTTTGGATGAAGTAATGGTTGGACTGACCATGGAAGTGGATCCAGAACAGAGAAGAAAATATAATTTATTATTATTAGTCATTAAAATAATAATGAGACTAGTTACTTAGTTAAAATATATAATCAGAGAAATGTCAATAACTGAATTATGGGCAAACTTTGGTAAAGTCACAGTGTTACAACTACAACATACTATTACACTAACCCGGAGCTTTTAGACAGACGCAGAAACATCTAAACTCTGGGTTCTTTTGATAAAGAACTATGTAGTTCCTGTTGGAACATCTGTAGCTCCTTGTTACCTGGGATGTCGTAGAATGAGGGCAGGGGTTTGGAGCAGAGGCTGACCGTGGCCGACCTCCTCCTCATCTGCTCCACCAGGACTTTCCTCTGCTCCTCACTGAGAAGCTCCAAGAACAGTTTATGAGACGAGACGGAGAAAGCCAGAGACAGATCCTCCAAACTCTCACACAGAGTCCTGGATCAGACCAAAGCAGAGGAAACATTCAGCATTTACAACACAGTTTCTGAAACACAGGGACATGTGGATGGAACACATTATTCATCCATTACTACGGTCATTTCTGGATAATGAGCTAATTTGTGTATCTTTATAGTGGAGACAGAGTTTATGGACTTTTTGGACTCCATGTATCTTTTAATGATCATTTCATTTGCTCCGTTTGTGTGGATGGGTGTGTTTTGGGGATCAATAAAATATCTGTCTATCTTTAGTAGCTATAGGACTCTCAGATGAAGGTGAATGAGCACTAGCATGGAAGCTAATGGTTAAGCGGCTAAACAGTCATTTAATCATGTTGTGACCAGTTAAAACAGTTATCAGTCAAATCTACAGACAGTAGGTAATCCAACCTTAACAAATGTCCCATGTTTCTTCTGTGTGTCTCTGAGCTGTTCTTTTCCAACGATCGTGTGCAAACCTACAGAAGCACAGACCATGAACATAACATGAAGACCTGTGATAAAGACCTTCTCCATGTGCGATGCTTGCCTCTAACATGAAGTCCACGATGGGTTTGCTGGGCCTCAGGAGCAGCTGTTGGAATCGCACACTGAGGATGTCTCCCTCCAAAGTGTCTCTGACGGCGTTACACACACACAGCTTCTGACACACCTCCTGCAGACCCGACTCCCTGCATCACGGAAATTCATAAGTATTTACTTTACTGCTGTCATTATCCACACAAACACACAGGGAAACGTGATCAAATATGAGGTAATTAATGCTTGAATAGAGTGGTTTTAATCTTAATCATTAGACATTCTGATTTAAAACCAGATTCGCCTAAGGGACATTTAGTAATATTAAGAACAGTTGCTTTAAAACACGGCCATTATGCTTTGTTCCAGTGGAGACTCTAGTGTTAGGGCTCAGTCAGAATGTGTCAGATTAAGACAGATTTTGTGATTGTATGTGATTGTAAATGTAATGTCCTGGAATAATAAGAACACAGAGAAGTGCTCACCCTTGTTGGACTTTGTACATGAACTCTCTGAGCACAGACCTCCTGAAGTGAGTGGGCAGACTGCGGCTCACGTTGTCCTTCACGAACGCCTCAATCACAGCCTGAACACACACACCAAACTCTTTACATTCATAATAATAATAATAATAATAATAATAATAATACATCATACTTATATAAGGGTTAGGGTTAGGTGGTGGGTTTGGAGCAGTGATTTAAGGTTCTGTTGTGAGTCCCAGTTCCTACGTTTGAGATTATGGACCATTTCACTTCAGTTAATGTCTAGAACAACATCATAACGTTCCTTCAGCCCAGGGTCTGAGTCCAATCACACTTGGACCCAACATTTACACTTTTATCAGAGTAAACTACTTTAGTAATCTTTATTTATATTTACTAAAGATTACTAAAGATTACTAAAGTAAACTACTGACTGTGGGAGATAGACACACACATCTACACACATCTACACACTTTGTTTAATATATATACAGTATATATACATACAGTATATATGTATATGGTAGGTGTGTGTGTGTGACCTGGTAGTTGTGTGTCCGGATGTGGCTGTTGATCTGGTTGTATGGGGAGGTGTGTGTGTGTGTGACCTGGTAGTTGTGTGTCCGGATGTGGCTGTTGATCTGGTTGTATGGGGAGGTGTGTGTGTGTGTGACCTGGTAGTTGTGTGTCCGGATGTGGCTGTTGATCTGGTTGTATGGGGAGGTGTGTGTGTGTGTGACCTGGTAGTTGTGTGTCCGGATGTGGCTGTTGATCTGGTTGTATGGGGAGGTGTGTGTGTGTGTGACCTGGTAGTTGTGTGTCCGGATGTGGCTGTTGATCTGGTTGGTATGGGGAGGTGTGTGTGTGTGTGACCTGGTAGTTGTGTGTCCGGATGTGGCTGTTGATCTGGTTGTATGGGGAGGTGTGTGTGTCCACTGAGCCTCCGTCCCCGGTCAGAGCTCTGCAGGCGTTCCAGTATCCGGTCAGACGCTGCTCGTCCAAGTGCACGTGTACGGGACGCTCCAGCTGAAGACAACAAACAAATATATTAGAATAGATACAAAGATAAAAGGACAAGATGGAGTAAAAATGTCCAAAAGTACACACACACACACACAGTCACAGACACACAATTGAGATCATTAGAATTGTGACACATTTTTGCCATTAATGTTTGGATAATAGAAAAGATATAAAACAATATTTGAAAAGAAACCTTAGAGCAGATTGTTCACTTTGCCAAAAGCGATAAATTAAAGTAGAAATATGTAAGATTTTTATGTCAAGGTAAAGTACCATGTGGCGCAGAACTAAAAAAGGTCTCGTTATGATTCTCAAATCATTAACGACAAAACAAGGAATAAAACCAGGATTTCTATCTTTGTGAAAAAGGTGTTGGTTATAGATTTGTTGTTGACAAAACTCTTGTCTATTCAGCTGTTATGGTCCCAGCTGGATTCGTCTGCATATCTGGCAACCTGAGTCAGGGAGAGTGGGAGAGGCTGCAGTACCACTTATTGTCCCCAAACACGACGTGAGACGAGCAGCTGCACAGAGGAGTAAACGTTACCTTCTGGAGCAGCTCTTTGGTTTGTCTGAAGTGATCTCTGGCTTTCACGTACGCAGACTGCTCCGTGCTGCCTTGTTGGAAGAAGATGCCTCCCAAATCATAATGAACCTAAACCATAAAAACACACGATTATTAGGTCACAGTTATGTGTAAAAAAACTAAAACTATAGATATGATAGAATTAGCACAAAACAGAAGTATTCAAACTGCAACAGAACCAAAACATCCAGGTCACATTGTTTTCTTTTGTCAACTGAAAAACTGAATCTTTCCATTTCATGAAAGTGTGGATCTATAACTTCAAAGGGAAGCATGAATAACTTTTTAACTCCTTAAAGACCATTTGAACGTTTATATCTGTGTCTCTGTGTCTCTGGTGATTTCTCTCCGGGTAAGAGAAAGTGAATTACCCTGAGATCTAAGAAGTCTAATTAAAGCCATGTCTTAGGAATGACTCAGATCTCACCAGTTTGTTTAATGTGAGATTCTTTTCCAGAGTTTTTAATTCAAATCATTCTTAAATCAGAATTCAGAGAAACTGGCTCATAGTCTAAAAGAAAAGGCCTAATTTGCAAAGTCTATGTTTTTTTTAAATGTGTTGAATTCTGTAAATATTAAAGGTAAGTAAGTAAGTAAGTAAGTAATCTTTATTTATATACCGCCTTTCACAGACCAGAGTCACAAAGCGGTTTACAATTGTTATTATTTTTGGGCATTTGTCTCTCACTCCACACAGAGATGGGAGCGGGGTCGCCAGTACAGGAGGCGCATGCCAGAACTATTGTACATATTTTTAGTGGTAGGGGAAACCGGAGCACCCGGAGGAAACCTACGCAGACACGGGGAGAACATGCAAACTCCACTCAGAAAGGCCCTGGTCCGACCGGGATTCGAACCCAGGACCTTCTTGCTGAGAGGCAAGACTGCTATCCACTCAGCCACCGTGCCGCCCAAAGGAACCTGTCGTCCCAATAAACAAATACAGAATGTCACATTATTATCTGTGGTTGGTCAGAAGTGTGTTTTTATTGATCTTAAAACTGCTTTGGTCACTGAGCCAAAGCCATTTCCTAGTTTGTGACTTCCTGTTACTCACGTGGCAATAAAAAGGATTCTGATTCTGATTGTGTCGCCTCAACTCATTGGTTAAATTTTAAAACTTAGAAACACATTGAGGGCACGACACATTTCTGTGTTTCTGGATTGTCTCAGCTCTGAAGGAGACCAAAAGATTTAGCAAAACAGTTTCTCTGTAAAATAATATTTGAGTAGTTTTATTTTGAATATGGAATATGGAATATGAAATATGGGTTAAACATAAATAAATAGATAATAAACAGCAGCAGAGCTAGTTTTTAAACCTCCCTCTGGTGGGGGTGTACCCGGAAATAGAATTACCCAATGCTTTTGTATGTCGCCTTCTTCCAGATGCAGTCTGAGGGGAGTTTATGTTTTTGGACCAGTCACGTTTAGTCGCTGTGGACTTCAGAATGCACTTGTTAAATGAATGGGGCTAATGCAGCTAATGCACACATTTTCGTGTGTGTGTGTGTGTGTGTAAGGGGGGGGGGGCTGCCTGCGGCCATTTTGAAAGATTTTGACAGAAGTCAAAAGTGATGTCGCACTCTCCGCACTCTCCGCACTCTCCGCACTCTCCGCACTCTCCGCACTCTCCGCACTCTCCGCACTCTCCGCACTCTCCGCACTCTCCGCACTCTCCGCACTCTCCGCACTCTCCGCACTCTCCGCACTCTCCGCACTCTTCGCACTCTTCGCACTCCCGCACTCTCGCACTCCCGCACTCCTACCCTCCTACCCCACATGAGGAGGTGGAAACAGAGTGTCAGACCTGGCAGTGGAACTCGTCGGCGCTGATGCGGAGTCCTGCCGTAGATGACTCCGTTTCTCCGTTGGCGGCGGCGTCCGAGGCCAGCAGCTCCAGCGTCCTCATGGTGTGGACGTAAAAGTCCTTCTTCAGACACAGCGCCCCCTCCAGGACGCTGATGGAGTCTGCAGACTGCTCCTTCAGCTAAAACAATGGATTTAGTTCATGCTCAGCAGAATGACTGTTTTATTTTATTGACTCACTACAGTCAGAATGTTATCTGTCATCTCCTTCTCCTGCTGCACGATGCTCAGCCTGAAAACATGTAAATGTGAGCTCACTGAGAACAAAGGCACAGAACAGGCAAATAAACCGACACATTCACTATTTGGAACTAGGTTTCATGGACAAGACAAAACACTGATAAAACAGTGAAAGTAAATGAGTATATATCATTTTAAAAGAGTTTAGAATAATAACAATAAGTAAAACAGTTTAGATAATACTTACATGTTCATTTGATGAGGTCCAGGTCTGTTTGGTTTCTCTGGGAAACTACTAAGGACAATAGTTCTGATAGCCCTACAAAACGGTCATAAATGTGTTCATTTGCAAGAATCAAATGTAAAATAACTGTAAGAGATGTTACAATAAGGATAAGTACTAAGCACCAGCGGTTGTAGATGATGACGGCCATGGCAGTGGTGGGAGGCAGAGTGGACAGGTCCAGCTCCACGTGTTTCACTCCTGGAGGCACTTTACTCACACACAGCAGCTCGTTCAGCAACATGTTCAACACTGGACTGGTCAGTCTGAAAGGACAGACATAAACACACTGGTCAGTCTGAGAGGACAGACATAAACACACTGGTCAGTCTGAAAGGACAGACATAAACACACTGGTCAGTCTGTGAGGACAGACATAAACACACTGGTCAGTCTGAGAGGACAGACCCATAAACACACTGGTCAGTCTGAAAGGACAGACATAAACACACTGGTCAGTCTGAAAGGACAGACATAAACACACTGGTCAGTCTGAAAGGACAGACATAAACACACTGGTCAGTCTGAAAGGACAGACATAAACACACTGGTCAGTCTGAAAGGACAGACATAAACACACTGGTCAGTCTGAGAGGACAGACATAAACACACTGGTCAGTCTGAGAGGACAGACATAAACACACTGGTCAGTCTGAGAGGACAGACATAAACAGACTGGTCAGTCTGAGAGGACAGACATAAACACACTGGTCAGTCTGAGAGGACAGACATAAACACACTGGTCAGTCTGAAAGGACAGACATAAACACACTGGTCAGTCTGAGAGGACAGACATAAACACACTGGTCAGTCTGAGAGGACAGACATAAACACACTGGTCAGTCTGAAAGGACAGACATAAACACACTGGTCAGTCTGAAAGGACAGACATAAACACACTGGTCAGTCTGAGGACAGACATAAACACACTGGTCAGTCTGAGAGGACAGACATAAACACACTGGTCAGTCTGTGAGGACAGACATAAACACACTGGTCAGTCTGTGAGGACAGACATAAACACACTGGTCAGTCTGAAAGGACAGACCATAAACACACTGGTCAGTCTGAAAGGACAGACATAAACACACTGGTCAGTCTGAGAGGACAGACATAAACACACTGGTCAGTCTGAAAGGACAGACATAAACACACTGGTCAGTCTGAAAGGACAGACATAAACAGACTGGTCAGTCTGAAAGGACAGACATAAACACACTGGTCAGTCTGAAAGGACAGACATAAACAGACTGGTCAGTCTGAAAGGACAGACATAAACACACTGGTCAGTCTGAAAGGACAGACATAAACACACTGGTCAGTCTGAGAGGACAGACATAAACACACTGGTCAGTCTGAGAGGACAGACATAAACACACTGGTCAGTCTGAGAGGACAGACATAAACACACTGGTCAGTCTGAAAGGACAGACATAAACACACTGGTCAGTCTGAGAGGACAGACATAAACACACTGGTCAGTCTGAGAGGACAGACATAAACACACTGGTCAGTCTGAAAGGACAGACATAAACACACTGGTCAGTCTGAAAGGACAGACATAAACACACTGGTCAGTCTGAAAGGACAGACATAAACACACTGGTCAGTCTGAGAGGACAGACATAAACACACTGGTCAGTCTGAAAGGACAGACATAAACACACTGGTCAGTCTGAAAGGACAGACATAAACACACTGGTCAGTCTGAAAGGACAGACATAAACACACTGGTCAGTCTGAAAGGACAGACATAAACACACTGGTCAGTCTGAAAGGACAGACATAAACACACTGGTCAGTCTGAAAGGACAGACATAAACAGACTGGTCAGTCTGAAAGGACAGACCCATAAACACACTGGTCAGTCTGAGAGGACAGACATAAACACACTGGTCAGTCTGAAAGGACAGACATAAACACACTGGTCAGTCTGAAAGGACAGACATAAACACACTGGTCAGTCTGAAAGGACAGACATAAACACACTGGTCAGTCTGTGAGGACAGACATAAACAGACTGGTCAGTCTGAAAGGACAGACCATAAACACACTGGTCAGTCTGAGAGGACAGACATAAACACACTGGTCAGTCTGAAGGACAGACATAAACACACTGGTCAGTCTGAGAGGACAGACATAAACACACTGGTCAGTCTGAAAGGACAGACATAAACACACTGGTCAGTCTGAGAGGACAGACATAAACACACTGGTCAGTCTGAAAGGACAGACATAAACACACTGGTCAGTCTGAAAGGACAGACATAAACACACTGGTCAGTCTGAAAGGACAGACATAAACACACTGGTCAGTCTGAAAGGACAGACATAAACACACTGGTCAGTCTGAGAGGACAGACATAAACACACTGGTCAGTCTGAGAGGACAGACATAAACACACTGGTCAGTCTGAAAGGACAGACATAAACACACTGGTCAGTCTGAAAGGACAGACATAAACACACTGGTCAGTCTGAGAGGACAGACATAAACACACTGGTCAGTCTGAGAGGACAGACATAAACACACTGGTCAGTCTGAGAGGACAGACATAAACACACTGGTCAGTCTGAGAGGACAGACATAAACACACTGGTCAGTCTGAAAGGACAGACATAAACACACTGGTCAGTCTGAGAGGACAGACATAAACACACTGGTCAGTCTGAGAGGACAGACATAAACACACTGGTCAGTCTGAAAGGACAGACATAAACACACTGGTCAGTCTGAAAGGACAGACATAAACACACTGGTCAGTCTGAAAGGACAGACATAAACACACTGGTCAGTCTGAGAGGACAGACATAAACACACTGGTCAGTCTGAGAGGACAGACATAAACACACTGGTCAGTCTGAAAGGACAGACATAAACACACTGGTCAGTCTGAAAGGACAGACATAAACACACTGGTCAGTCTGAAGGACAGACATAAACACACTGGTCAGTCTGAAAGGACAGACATAAACACACTGGTCAGTCTGAAAGGACAGACATAAACACACTGGTCAGTCTGAGAGGACAGACATAAACACACTGGTCAGTCTGAAAGGACAGACATAAACACACTGGTCAGTCTGAAAGGACAGACATAAACACACTGGTCAGTCTGAAAGGACAGACATAAACACACTGGTCAGTCTGAAAGGACAGACATAAACACACTGGTCAGTCTGAAAGGACAGACATAAACACACTGGTCAGTCTGAAAGGACAGACATAAACACACTGGTCAGTCTGAAAGGACAGACATAAACACACTGGTCAGTCTGAAAGGACAGACATAAACACACTGGTCAGTCTGAAGGGACAGACATAAACACACTGGTCAGTCTGAAGGACAGACATAAACACACTGGTCAGTCTGAAAGGACAGACATAAACACACTGGTCAGTCTGAGAGGACAGACATAAACACACTGGTCAGTCTGAAAGGACAGACATAAACACACTGGTCAGTCTGAAAGGACAGACATAAACACACTGGTCAGTCTGAAAGGACAGACATAAACACACTGGGTCAGTCTGAAAGGACAGACATAAACACACTGGTCAGTCTGAAAGGACAGACATAAACACACTGGTCAGTCTGAAGGACAGACATAAACACACTGGTCAGTCTGAAGGACAGACATAAACACACTGGTCAGTCTGAAAGGACAGACATAAAACACACTGGTCAGTCTGAGAGGACAGACATAAACACACTGGTCAGTCTGAAGGACAGACATAAACACACTGGTCAGTCTGAAGGACAGACATAAACACACTGGTCAGTCTGAAAGGACAGACATAAACACACTGGTCAGTCTGAAAGGACAGACATAAACACACTGGTCAGTCTGAAAGGACAGACATAAACACACTGGTCAGTCTGAAGGACAGACATAAACACACTGGTCAGTCTGAGAGGACAGACATAAACACACTGGTCAGTCTGAGAGGACAGACATAAACACACTGGTCAGTCTGAGAGGACAGACATAAACACACTGGTCAGTCTGTGAGGACAGACATAAACACACTGGTCAGTCTGAAAGGACAGACATAAACACACTGGTCAGTCTGAGAGGACAGACATAAACACACTGGTCAGTCTGAAAGGACAGACATAAACACACTGGTCAGTCTGAAAGGACAGACATAAACACACTGGTCAGTCTGAGAGGACAGACATAAACACACTGGTCAGTCTGTGAGGACAGACATAAACACACTGGTCAGTCTGAGAGGACAGACATAAACACACTGGTCAGTCTGAAAGGACAGACATAAACACACTGGTCAGTCTGAAAGGACAGACATAAACACACTGGTCAGTCTGAAAGGACAGACATAAACAGACTGGTCAGTCTGTGAGGACAGACATAAACACACTGGTCAGTCTGAGAGGACAGACATAAACACACTGGTCAGTCTGAAAGGACAGACATAAACACACTGGTCAGTCTGAGAGGACAGACATAAACACACTGGTCAGTCTGAAAGGACAGACATAAACACACTGGTCAGTCTGAAAGGACAGACATAAACACACTGGTCAGTCTGAAAGGACAGACATAAACACACTGGTCAGTCTGAAAGGACAGACATAAACACACTGGTCAGTCTGAGAGGACAGACATAAACACACTGGTCAGTCTGTGAGGACAGACATAAACAGACTGGTCAGTCTGAGAGGACAGACATAAACACACTGGTCAGTCTGTGAGGACAGACATAAACACACTGGTCAGTCTGAAAGGACAGACATAAACACACTGGTCAGTCTGTGAGGACAGACATAAACACACTGGTCAGTCTGAAAGGACAGACATAAACACACTGGTCAGTCTGTGAGGACAGACATAAACACACTGGTCAGTCTGAGAGGACAGACATAAACACACTGGTCAGTCTGAGAGGACAGACATAAACACACTGGTCAGTCTGAAAGGACAGACATAAACAGACTGGTCAGTCTGAAAGGACAGACATAAACACACTGGTCAGTCTGAAAGGACAGACATAAACACACTGGTCAGTCTGAAAGGACAGACATAAACACACTGGTCAGTCTGTGAGGACAGACATAAACACACTGGTCAGTCTGAAAGGACAGACATAAACACACTGGTCAGTCTGAGAGGACAGACATAAACACACTGGTCAGTCTGTGAGGACAGACATAAACACACTGGTCAGTCTGTGAGGACAGACATAAACAGACTGGTCAGTCTGTGAGGACAGACATAAACACACTGATCAGTCTGAAAGGACAGACATAAACAGACTGGTCAGTCTGAAAGGACAGACATAAACACACTGGTCAGTCTGAAAGGACAGACATAAACACACTGGTCAGTCTGAAAGGACAGACATAAACAGACTGGTCAGTCTGAGAGGACAGACATAAACACACTGGTCAGTCTGTGAGGACAGACATAAACACACTGGTCAGTCTGAGAGGACAGACATAAACACACTGGTCAGTCTGAAAGGACAGACATAAACAGACTGGACTGGTCGAGCTCATTTCAGTCGGTCAGACAAGAACTTCATCGTCACTTCATTGTATATTTATTTATATACATTTTGCCAAACTTAAAGACACAGAATTGAGGGTTATTGCAAAGTAATGGAGTCACAATGATAGAGAAATGTTTTTAACTGTTGACTCTTTCTTTCCTTGTTTTATTATTGTTTTATAAACTTTAGGATTTAGCGTTTATGAATGTTTTATGTAATAATGTTAAATCTGAGCTGGTCGTTACGATACGTTTACACTTGTATCGTTTTGCCTGAAGCTTGAAGCAGACTTATTTACTAGTGCTGTGGAAGAAGCTGAGGGGAGATGGAATAGTTTTGCCTTGGTATAAAACTCTGTGAATGCTATGAAAACAGAGGTTACAGGCATGTGGCGCACAGGGAACATTCAGTGCTCTGCACCGCCCTCTGGTGGTCAGGAGGGATGAAATAGAACTCTAGTTGTACCAACAATAAATAATAATAATAATAATGTCTTCTGCTGTAACACAATCACAGACTCCACATCTTCAGTGTAAGAATAAAAAAGACCAACCCTTTCTCAAGAGCATCCAGGTCCCACTTCATAAACGCCGCCACCTTGAGAGCGAGGAGTTTGAGGGTGCGATTTCTCCTGTTGTCGACCGGAGGCTGGACCTGGTTCTGTTCATTCAGAGAAGGCTTTGAGGCTTGCTCCAAAAACTGCACAATCAGCTGAACGGGAAGCGGATCTGAGGGAAGGAAAACCATGTTACAAAAGTTTATGACTTCAACATAATATTTTGGTTTTGTTGTTTAGTGTAAGGGCTGACCTGGGTTTTGTTTCTGCAGATGTTTCTCCAGTAAAGTTCCATCTAAAAGAAACTCAAACCATGAGGTCTGTGGCGGAGTACTGGGCCGACTGTTCACCGCCGCCACACGGTCTGCGGCCTCCACACTCATCCTCCCCTGAACACACACAACACACACCATTATACACAAACTGACAGTAATAATTTACACTTTATGAATTTAATGCTCAGACTAGTAGTAACTAATACCGAGCAAACAAACAGGATACATAACGCTGGCACTTGCACAGGGCCATCTTACTGCTCTTGCATGAGTTACAAACATGTGGTAATGAAGGGAACCATGGAATCCTACAGAAACATCTATTTAAGTTCAGGCCAAGACTCCAATGATACTGTATAATCTACTAAGAAGATTCATCTTGTCTTCTTAGTGGAATTAAAAGTATTGGGTTGTGGTATAGAAGAACTAAAAACGTTTAATTGTTTAATCTTCCATTTATTAATTCTTTGCACAATGTAAACCTGCTTTTCCTTTGCCAAACCCCTTGGACTGTGGATGAAAAGGACCGAGTAGCTTTGTCCAGTCCATACAATATGTTTATTGTGGCATGTCCCTGCCAACTAAATATTGTATTTTATTATTTAAGTCCTGTTCAAATAAAGGTAAATCAATCTAGATATTTAGAAGCATTTTCACGTATTTACCATAAGGGTGTTTATTATCTGAGCACACTTAGACAAGAGTGAAATATTGGACTGTGCAGTTTTCTTCAGACTACTGTTATCATGAGTTTAGGTTAACTAACATCAACTCTTTCTAACCCGGTGATTATTTATCTTTTCACATATTAATACTGCAAAGTACTATTACTCCTGATACAGGTCAAAAACTATAAACCGTTCAGGAAGTGTCATTATTTCTATTATTTGTGATGCATTTCGAACCGATACTGGCTCAAATGAGTATTATTATTTCATATGATATTATTGATCCTCTTGACAGCCCTGGCTCACACACACCTCTCCCATCTGCTCCTGTGTTGTCTGATGCTAACCACTGATGCTAACCACTGATGCTAACCACTGATGCTAACCACTGATGCTAACCACTGATGCTAACCACTGATGCTAACCACTGATGCTAACCACTGATGCTAACCACTGATGCTAACCCAAACAAAGCTAATGTTCCATGCTAACTGCTCACATGAAACGCTGCAAAGCATGAAAGAAACAGGACTTTCTTACCTCTCTTCAAACGTAAAACCAGATGAATAAAACCACAATAAAGACGAATAAACCTGTAGTTTTGACAGGCTACAAAATCTGATCAATGCTCACTCTGCGGCTCATTCTGCTCCGTTTCCGGTTCCGCTCCGTTGTCAAGGAGACGCACTAACGCTTTAAATAAATTTATTATATACATTTTTTATTCTAATTATTTGACTGATTTACACTTTTTATCCCTCACAGTACCATACACTACATATATATATTAGACATTTGGTACACTGACTGATTGTTAATTATTATGCAATAATTATTAAATAATTACCATTATTTTTCAAACCAGAAAGTGGCAAAAGTCTTTGGGATTTTATCTGTATTCCTGTCCGGAGGTTTGTATTATAGATTCCTGACTCTTTAATCAATGAAAGTCTCAGCTGTTATAGATCCATGGACGTGACCTCAGGAGTTAGTAATTCTACTGATTTTTTCTTGTTGCAATTTTTAACACAATTACTGTTTCCTAATGAATTTTATTTGTTTGTCATTGTACTATAATAATAATGATAAAATCATGGAGGTTTATCGACACTGAAGACAGACATGTGACACTGTTTTATTGTTGGACCTGCATATATCCAGTCAGTCCCTTCTCACTACATGGCCGTTTGCAGAGGACGGCTGCACCAAGAGCAACAAACACTTCATGTAACAGCAAAGTATAGACAGATAAAAGGCAATGACAGACATTTAGAAGAGTAGCTTCAGAACCAGCAGAAAGTACTCTGAAAGTTTTTTCATAAACATGTGTCCAGCTACAACACGAGTAACAACATAAACTGTGCGAAAACTTGTTTTGATTTAAATCCATAAAATACTGAATACTAGAATATGCACCCAGGGGTTACTCTTGCACAGGTATTCCAATGTGGTTTTACTGCAAATGGCAAATAAACCTAATCTGATTCTTTTTAAAAATATTATCTGAGATTATGCATAACAACAATATAATCTAATGTCTGCAAAAGGCCGATAGAGCTTCGTTTTGCTTAAGGCATTAAAGGCGTCATTTAGGTGAAAGAAATTCAGTCAATATTACTATTTACTCTAATCTTTCTAAATAGTTTACATTTCACTTTCATCTTTCAGCCAAGTTACTGCACAACAACATTTCAACATAAAACAATGGAACTAAAACAGTCACATATAAAGGCAAACAAAGGTTGAACTCTTTAAAAACAGCATAAACCCAAAGTAAGTTTTGCATATTGTGAGAACGTATGGCTTATGACAGAACAGAGACTTTATGGCATAGTTTATATTCAGTAAAATGCAGAGTATCTGGAGGCTCAGTATTGAAACGAGATGACGGAGTTGACTTTATAAACGTGGTACGACCGGTTCCAGAAAACTCGAGTGAAATAGTTTGTGTACGGAGAATAGTTCATCTTGATCTCATTGCAGAATCTCCCATGTTTGGAAAAGGAGTACATCTCGCCTTTGTCATACACCACCTGGAAGAAAGAAACACATTACGGCTCGTGTTCATGTGACATCACATCGTTCCCAGGATCAGATATTGCTTTGTTCGTCTCACACATCGTTGCACTTTACAGCAGAAAGATGAAATAAAACTCAGACGCACACATCAGAGTCTATTATTATCTGGAGCTATAATGGCACTTGACTCAGCAGTATTTACAGATGTGTATATTGTTCTTAAGCAGCAGAGATTATGAGCAGAATAAACAATAGTAATAATATCAACAGGTAAAGTGACTAGTGGAAGTATCAGATGGATCTGTAATGATGCAGTAATAACAGTAACAGTACTGGTACAATATCAAACCCAATAGAATTTGAAATCAATGGCAAATTAGCAATCTAAGAGTTTCCTAAGATTGAAGCTGGACAAGGTGATGTTTTCTTACGTGTCCATTGGAGATGTCCAGGAGGTCCTTGATCCTGCAGCCTCGGTTCAGACTCAGCTCGTTGCAAATGGCCTCTTCGATGATGACGTAGTTTGTCTTCTGACTGCTCAGGATCTTGTAGACTTCTTCAGGCGACCGCATGGCATAGACCTGGAACGGCTAAAGAGACACATGACGATAAGAACCCGTATGTTTGCAGTGATGGAGCTTTCGTAAAGCTCACGTCCTCAGTCCTTCGCAGCAGGGTGATGTCGGAGTAAAGCGGTAAACTGGTCACGATGGAGCCGGAGCACATCTTCACCGTGCCCAGGAGCAGAGGGCTGCCGGCGAACACCGCGGCCATCGGAGCCTGCGTCCTGCAACCAAACAGTAAGATACACTCAACTCTTCTGCAGAGCGGGTCTGGGACTTTAGCTCGATAGATACTTTATGGGTCATTGATACTTTATTACTTAATTATTCAGGTCTTTTTATATTTTTAACAAGAGCAAAAAGGATAGTTTTTCTGTCACCAGGAAGTGACAGAATTTGCACAAAAAAATGGGACATAAAAACTAATTAATAAACTATATATAAATAAGAAAATGGCTTCCCAGCGGGTCTACAGGTGTGAATGTAGTTCTTAATCTTTAAACTTTAGCCTCATTCTTGCATCGTTTCTTTAATCATGATGAAATAGACACAGATTAATTTAACCTGTTTTTAAACATTACTTAGACCTTAAATGATCAAATATATACTTTATTGTATTTTATAGTGATTATTTATTCTCAGATTTGTGATGAGCTTTTTTATCACAGTATAAATAAATCATACATCTTAAAAAATGATCTAAAATAAACAGACTTGATCCAGTTGATGAGTTCGACGGTGTCGGGATCGTAAAACTCCTGAAGATCTGCCAACTCCGACACGACGCGAGGACAGTGCTGCAAACACAAACAGTTAGACTATGGTCCTTACAAACTCAGAACAAAGAAGCTGAACGCAGTTTAGACTCTAACAGTGCAATACCAGTGCAATACCAGTGCAATAACAGTGCCATGACGGCGCACTGACAGTGCAATGACAGTGCAATGACAGTGCAATGACAGTGCAATGACAGTGCAATAACAGTGCAATAACAGTGCAATGACAGTGCAATGACAGTGCAATGACAGTGCAATGACAGTGCAATACCAGTGCAATGACAGTGCAATGACAGTGCAATGACAGTGCAATGACAGTGCAATGACAGTGCAATGACAGTGCAATGACAGTGCAATGACAGTGCAATGACAGTGCAATGACAGTGCAATGACAGTGCAATGACAGTGCAATAACAGTGCAATAACAGTGCAATGACAGTGCAATGACAGTGCAATGACAGTGCAATGACAGTGCAATAACAGTGCAATAACAGTGCAATAACAGTGCAATAACAGTGCAATGACAGTGCCATGACAGTGCCATGACAGTGCCATGACAGTGCCATGACAGTGCAATAACAGTGCAATAACAGTGCAATAACAGTGCAATGACAGTGCAATGACAGTGCAATAACAGTGCAATGACAGTGCAATAACAGTGCAATGACAGTGCAATGACAGTGCAATAACAGTGCAATGACAGTGCAATGACAGTGCAATGACAGTGCAATGACAGTGCCATGACAGTGCCATGACAGTGCCATGACAGTGCCATGACAGTGCCATGACAGTGCCATGACAGTGCAATGACAGTGCAATGACAGTGCAATGACAGTGCAATGACAGTGCAATGACAGTGCAATGACAGTGCCATGACAGTGCCATGACAGTGCCATGACAGTGCCATGACAGTGCCATGACAGTGCAATGACAGTGCAATGACAGTGCAATGACAGTGCAATGACAGTGCAATGACAGTGCTATGACAGTGCAATGACAGTGCTATGACAGTGCCATGACAGTGCAATGACAGTGCAATGACAGTGCAATGACAGTGCAATAACAGTGCAATAACAGTGCAATGACAGTGCAATGACAGTGCAATGACAGTGCAATGACAGTGCTATGACAGTGCAATGACAGTGCTATGACAGTGCCATGACAGTGCAATGACAGTGCAATGACAGTGCTATGACAGTGCAATGACAGTGCTATGACAGTGCAATGACAGTGCAATGACAGTGCAATGACAGTGCCATGACAGTGCAATGACAGTGCTATGACAGTGCAATGACAGTGCAATGACAGTGCAATGACAGTGCTATGACAGTGCAATGACAGTGCTATGACAGTGCAATGACAGTGCAATGACAGTGCAATGACAGTGCAATGACAGTGCAATGACAGTGCAATGACAGTGCAATGACAGTGCAATGACAGTGCTATGACAGTGCAATGACAGTGCAATGACAGTGCAATGACAGTGCAATGACAGTGCAATGACAGTGCAATGACAGTGCAATGACAGTGCAATGACAGTGCAATGACAGTGCAATGACAGTGCAATGACAGTGCAATAATAACAAGTATAGGATGATATTTACAACAGATATAAACATGTACTAGAGTATTTACATTAGCACAGCGTTAGCATGACCTACCTCTCTCCACAAACTAAAGCAGATGATGGTGGGAACAGCGGTGCTCAGAGTTAAAGACTGTGAAAGACAACAAAAACAATCCTTAGTTTGTTATCTATAATTTTCATGTTTTGACTGAAAAGTGACTCTCACCAAAACCACGGGGTCCAGGGACTTGAGGTTCAGCCATTTAAACAAAGTCATCCAGAGTTTGGGAGAGCAGACCCCAAAGGCAGTGAACATACAGACGTGCGGGGTCCACAGGTATTTAGTGCTGCAGGAGACACGGACTTACAAAGGATTCATTTGGTTTGAAATCATAAGTATAAACTAGAATCCATTACAATGCACTGTTCGCCTTGTTCGGATCATAGAAAAGACGTTAACTTAAATGTTTTCATATTTAACGGACTATTTTCATTTTGTCAAAGGCCATACTCACTCTTCACATAATAAGAAATATGAAACCACAGATATTTGACATGTCAATCCAGACAGTTTGGCAATTCATGTATTAGAATGTGAAATTATAATAATAAGAACAAAAAGATTGGTGCAACACCCCCATCTAGTGGTAGAAGATGGAAATTACACTGTGCTTTTAAAATGGTGAAAGACACTAATCTGTAGAAATAAGTTCGAGGATTAGTGATTGTGAAACAGATAAAATAGCTTTTGTGTTCAGTGCTGATTTTTGCTGGAGATCCTGGTTTAAGTCAGATACTTTATGGTCCAGATTGTCCTCTGCATTTGGCCCATGGCTCAGACCACTCAGGGCTCTTGTCCGGAGCAGTGGTGAGACATTAGCATGGATGGAGCTAAAAACAACGGCCATTTGGACTTTAATGAGGGAACACTGCTGTAATATGCTTAAAGTGCAGGTTTGTAATGTGTCCTTAAAGCTTCTACCGTCACTGACCCATCAAAGAGCAGCACCAAGCCTCCAAACAGAAGAGTGTGGAACACGTGGTAGGTGACTTCAGGGTGCTCTCCTATTCGCCCATCTTCAAGTCTGAGCTTTTCTTTCACTGGCTGCCCACTGAGGAGAAAAGTACAAACGTTTAATAACTCATGAAGAGAGAGGATCAGAAAGAACCACAGCAGCGGACCGCAGTCTCCTGTAGATGGACTCCAGGGTGGACAGAAGACAAATGGCCAGAACCAGGAGGTAAAAGGGTAGAACTGAAGCCTGCGTGAGTCTGAAGAACAGGTCCTGCCCTGGACTCTGGAAACCGTCTTGGCACAGGAGGAAGTTGGTCACAAAGTCTCTGAAAAACAAAGGACCATAAATGCCTACATATATTTAAACAATACAGAAATATCACACATGGTTTTATCCACTAAACATAATAAGACCGTTTACTTTGGCAGTGAATGTTTTCATGTTTGGATGAAACGATATGAAGCAGGTATGGAGCAAACAAAACAAATGCCTGTAACTCTCTGTGCTACCACCACATGGAAATTAAATTGTTTTGTTTATTTTCTTTCTTGAAATGAGCCGTCTATAAACAAAGAGACATTTCCAAAACTCATTTAAAGTCACTCCTTTTGTTTAAAAATGCAGTAAACTGAGGGTGACGTCATAATGATAATATAAACTTTATTGATCTCACAATGGAGTGGTACTATGACATCACACAGAAGGGGCGGAGCTACATGTGTGTGCCAGGAGTTCCTGATATGAGCATGGAAGGATCTAAAACCAACTCCAGGTGTGTTTTGGGTGTTTGTCTCCTAAATGCCTGATCCAGTGCAAATGCTAATGCTATCGCTAATGCTAATGTTTGTCGATGTGTGTGACTCACGTCGTTGTGTTGAGTCCTAATTTTGCTTCAAGAAACTTCAATATGAAGTCGTTCTCAGTCGCAGGTAACACTTTCTGTTCATTAAAACATAAATTATATATTAGTACAGTTTCACAGCAACAAAGGAGTAGAATAAGTTTAAACAAACCTTAACTAAGTAGTTGAAGGTGATGCTTGTTGTGAAAACGAGATAGAAGTGCAGACAGAGTTTGATGATTCTGGCCACGACTGGACCTCGCTTCATATTTTGCTGAAAAACAAACAAAACAGGATCAATGCCAGACTCCAGTCACTTCACATTCAACATAATTCATATATTCAGGATGTGACTCAAAATAGTGCTCACTTTTGTCTAGTTTTTAAAGTGAGTGAGGTTTGAAATGATACTTCCTGGTTGGACACGGGCTGCAGATGTGACATCACTTCCTGTGGACTTCCAAGCATTAGCTTCAACCCTCTCTCACAAACTGCCTCTTCATTTAAAACTACTTTGAACAGTTTCATCCAAGAGGCAAAGGTCATAACAGGAGTGAAAGTGCGGCCCCATGACGGTACCTGGAAGTACCGGGCCAGCCGGGCCAGCGTGGATCCGAACAGTACCTGGAAGTACCGGGCCAGCGTGGATCCGAACAGTACCTGGAAGTACCGGGCCAGCGTGGATCCAAACAGCAGACAGAGCAGCGGCGAGCTGAGCAGCGCCGGGTTCTGGAACTGACACCAGTACGTGGCCAGAAGACACGACACGTACAGCTTATGCATGTCCGCCACCTGAGATGCACGCACACACACACGCACACACACACGCACACACAAACGCACACACACACACGCACACACACAGAGAGGCACACACACAAAATGAAGGTATTACAGTCTAAATTTAACCACAGCTGCTGTTCTAGGTGTGAACATAACAGTGAACAACACATGGACCATACACACACAACAACACAACACATGGACCATACACACACAACAACACAACACATGGACCATACACACACAACAACACAACACATGGACCATACACACACAACACCACAACACATGGACCATACACACACAGCAACACAACATATGGACCATACACACACAACAACACACAGCAACACAACACATGGACCATACACACACAGCAACACAACACATGGACCATACACACACAACAACACAACACATGGACCATACACACACAACAACACACAACAACACAACACATGGACCATACACACACAGCAACACAACACATGGACCATACACACACAACAACACAACACATGGACCATACACACACAACAACACAACACATGGACCATACAGACACAACAACACACAGCAACACAACACATGGACCATACACACAAAACAACACAACACATGGACCATACACACACAACAACACAACACATGGACCATACAGACACAACAACACACAGCAACACAACACATGGACCATACACACACAGCAACACAACACATGGACCATACACACACAACAACACACAGCAACACAACACATGGACCATACACACACAGCAACACAACACATGGACCATACACACACAACAACACAACACATGGACCATACACACACAACAACACAACACATGGACCATACACACACAACAACACAACACATGGACCATACACACACAACACCACAACACATGGACCATACACACACAGCAACACAACATATGGACCATACACACACAACAACACACAGCAACACAACACATGGACCATACACACACAGCAACACAACACATGGACCATACACACACAACAACACAACACATGGACCATACACACACAACAACACACATTAGTGTGTGTAGTTTAACACATTAGATGTTATGAATCCTACAGGTGTTATCCTTCTACAGGTGTTATCCTTCTACAGGTGCTATCCTTCTACAGGTGCTATCCTTCTACAGGTGTTATCCTTCTACAGGTGTTATCCTGCTACAGGTGTTATCCTTCTACAGGTGTTATCCTTCTACAGGTGCTATCCTTCTACAGGTGCTATCCTTCTACAGGTGTTATCCTTCTACAGGTGCTATCCTTCTACAGGTGCTATCCTTCTACAGGTGCTATCCTTCTACAGGTGCTATCCTTCTACAGGTGCTATCCTTCTACAGGTGTTATCCTTCTACAGGTGTTATCCTGCTACAGGTGCTATCCTTCTACAGGTGTTATCCTTCTACAGGTGCTATCCTTCTACAGGTGTTATCCTTCTACAGGTGCTATCCTTCTACAGGTGCTATCCTTCTACAGGTGTTATCCTTCTACAGGTGCTATCCTTCTACAGGTGCTATCCTTCTACAGGTGTTATCCTTCTACAGGTGCTATCCTTCTACAGGTGTTATCCTTCTACAGGTGCTATCCTTCTACAGGTGCTATCCTTCTACAGGTGCTATCCTTCTACAGGTGCTATCCTTCTACAGGTGCTATCCTTCTACAGGTGCTATCCTTCTACAGGTGCTATCCTTCTACAGGTGCTATCCTTCTACAGGTGCTATCCTTCTACAGGTGTTATCCTTCTACAGGTGCTATCCTTCTACAGGTGCTATCCTTCTACAGGTGCTATCCTTCTACAGGTGCTATCCTTCTACAGGTGTTATCCTTCTACAGGTGCTATCCTTCTACAGGTGCTATCCTTCTACAGGTGCTATCCTTCTACAGGTGTTATCCTTCTACAGGTGCTATCCTTCTACAGGTGTTATCCTTCTACAGGTGTTATCCTTCTACAGGTGCTATCCTTCTACAGGTGTTATCCTTCTACAGGTGCTATCCTTCTACAGGTGCTATCCTTCTACAGGTGCTATCCTTCTACAGGTGCTATCCTTCTACAGGTGTTATCCTTCTACAGGTGCTATCCTTCTACAGGTGCTATCCTTCTACAGGTGCTATCCTTCTACAGGTGCTATCCTTCTACAGGTGTTATCCTTCTACAGGTGCTATCCTTCTACAGGTGCTATCCTTCTACAGGTGTTATCCTTCTACAGGTGCTATCCTTCTACAGGTGTTATCCTTCTACAGGTGCTATCCTTCTACAGGTGTTATCCTTCTACAGGTACTATCCTTCTACAGGTGCTATCCTTCTACAGGTGCTATCCTTCTACAGGTGCTATCCTTCTACAGGTGCTATCCTTCTACAGGTGTTATCCTTCTACAGGTCCTTCTACAGGTGCTATCCTTCTACGGGTGCTATCCTTCTACAGGTGTTATCCTTCTACGGGTGCTATCCTTCTACAGGTGTTATCCTTCTACAGGTGCTATCCTTCTACAGGTGCTATCCTTCTACAGGTGCTATCCTTCTACAGGTGTTATCCTTCTACAGGTGCTATCCTTCTACAGGTGCTATCCTTCTACAGGTGCTATCCTTCTACAGGTGCTATCCTTCTACAGGTGCTATCCTTCTACAGGTGCTATCCTTCTACAGGTGTTATCCTTCTACAGGTGCTATCCTTCTACAGGTGCTATCCTTCTACAGGTGCTATCCTTCTACAGGTGCTATCCTTCTACAGGTGCTATCCTTCTACAGGTGCTATCCTTCTACAGGTGCTATCCTTCTACAGGTGTTATCCTGCTACAGGTGTTATCCTTCTACAGGTGTTATCCTTCTACAGGTGCTATCCTTCTACAGGTGTTATCCTTCTACAGGTGCTATCCTTCTACAGGTGCTATCCTTCTACAGGTGTTATCCTTCTACAGGTGCTATCCTTCTACAGGTGCTATCCTTCTACAGGTGTTATCCTTCTACAGGTGCTATCCTTCTACAGGTGTTATCCTTCTACAGGTGCTATCCTTCTACAGGTGCTATCCTTCTACAGGTGCTATCCTTCTACAGGTGCTATCCTTCTACAGGTGTTATCCTTCTACAGGTGCTATCCTTCTACAGGTGCTATCCTTCTACAGGTGCTATCCTTCTACAGGTGCTATCCTTCTACAGGTGTTATCCTTCTACAGGTGCTATCCTTCTACAGGTGCTATCCTTCTACAGGTGCTATCCTTCTACAGGTGCTATCCTTCTACAGGTGTTATCCTTCTACAGGTGCTATCCTTCTACAGGTGCTATCCTTCTACAGGTGTTATCCTTCTACAGGTGCTATCCTTCTACAGGTGTTATCCTTCTACAGGTGTTATCCTTCTACAGGTGCTATCCTTCTACAGGTGTTATCCTTCTACAGGTGCTATCCTTCTACAGGTGCTATCCTTCTACAGGTGCTATCCTTCTACAGGTGCTATCCTTCTACAGGTGTTATCCTTCTACAGGTGCTATCCTTCTACAGGTGCTATCCTTCTACAGGTGCTATCCTTCTACAGGTGCTATCCTTCTACAGGTGCTATCCTTCTACAGGTGTTATCCTTCTACAGGTGCTATCCTTCTACAGGTGCTATCCTTCTACAGGTGTTATCCTTCTACAGGTGCTATCCTTCTACAGGTGTTATCCTTCTACAGGTGCTATCCTTCTACAGGTGTTATCCTTCTACAGGTACTATCCTTCTACAGGTGTTATCCTTCTACAGGTGCTATCCTTCTACAGGTGCTATCCTTCTACAGGTGCTATCCTTCTACAGGTGCTATCCTTCTACAGGTGTTATCCTTCTACAGGTGCTATCCTTCTACAGGTGCTATCCTTCTACAGGTGCTATCCTTCTACAGGTGCTATCCTTCTACAGGTGTTATCCTTCTACGGGTGCTATCCTTCTACAGGTGTTATCCTTCTACAGGTGCTATCCTTCTACAGGTGCTATCCTTCTACAGGTGCTATCCTTCTACAGGTGTTATCCTTCTACAGGTGCTATCCTTCTACAGGTGCTATCCTTCTACAGGTGCTATCCTTCTACAGGTGCTATCCTTCTACAGGTGCTATCCTTCTACAGGTGCTATCCTTCTACAGGTGTTATCCTTCTACAGGTGCTATCCTTCTACAGGTGCTATCCTTCTACAGGTGCTATCCTTCTACAGGTGCTATCCTTCTACAGGTGCTATCCTTCTACAGGTGCTATCCTTCTACAGGTGCTATCCTTCTACAGGGCGGCAGTAGCTCAGTTGGTAGAGTCTTGGCCTTTGAGCCAGAAGGTTGTGGGTTCAAGCCCCGCTCAAGACTTTCACCATCAACTCCCACTGACTACTGTCGTTGTGTCCTTGGGCAAGACACTTAACCTCTGGGAACAGCAGCCACAGTGGGGCGGCTGCGGCTGTAAAGTGCCAAACTGCCGTTGTGTCCTTACGCAAGACACTTCACCCCCATTGCCTAGAATAGTCTGGTGTGTGTGTGAACGGTTGGTGGTGGTCGGAGGGGCCGATGGCGCATACTGGTTGCCTCGCTTCTGTCAGTGTGCCCCAGGGCAGCTGTGGCTACAGTAGTAGTTTATCACCACCGTGTATGGAGTGAATGAATAATGACACATGTGAAGCGTCTTTGAGAGTCAAAAAAAGTGCTATATAAAACCGATGCATTATTATTATTATTATTATTATTATTATAGGTGTTGCGCACCTTTCTGTGGGGCACCAGGTCGAAAGAGTCGAGCAGGAACAGACACAGAGCCTGGACAAAGAGCACGTAGTGACTGTGGTCCCAAACCAGGAGGAAGATGAAGGAGCTCGCACTCATCAGGAGGAAGCACAGCATCTACGAACACAGTCACAGGAGTCACATGTCACAGGAGTCACATGTCACAGGAGTCACATGTCACAGGAGTCACATGTCACAGGAGTCACATGTGGCGCTGGAATCTAATCCTTTCTCTACATCCAAACATTACTAACATGTTTAAATCCCTAAACTTACAAGCTTCAAACTCCTTCACCAAATACAAATGAGGAAACAGAAAAGAAGGGCAGGATCTTGTGTAATGTAATTGTTGCAAGTCTAAAGCAGGCAACGTGAACAAAATCTAAAGATTTTTAGGTGGATCCGAGGAAACAAAGTTACTCAGTCGATTACTCAACTTGAAAGGAGCCAGGTCTGATCCTAACAACGTTTTCAAACTAAGTATTTTATAGATGTGACCAAAACTGCTTCCAAAAAAACCACATGCTAACCCTAACCCAGTGTGCTGACCCAGTGTGCTGACCCAGTGTGCTGACCCAGTGTGCTGACCCAGTGTGCTGACCCAGTGTGCTGACCCAGTGTGCTGACCCAGTGTGCTGACCTAGTATGCTGACCCAGTGTGGTGACCCAGTGTGCTGACCCAGTGTGCTGACCCAGTGTGGTGACCCAGTGTGCTGACCCAGTGTGGTGACCCAGTGTGGTGACCCAGTGTGCTGACCTAGTATGCTGACCCAGTGTGCTGACCCAGTGTGCTGACCCAGTGTGCTGACCCAGTGTGCTGACCCAGTGTGCTGACCCAGTGTGGTGACCCAGTGTGCTGACCCAGTGTGCTGACCCAGTGTGCTGACCCAGTGTGCTGACCCAGTGTGGTGACCCAGTGTGGTAGCAGCCGCTCACCTCGGTGCCGGTGCTGATGCTGTTGCAAAGAAAGCCGGTCAAAGCTGCCACTTGAATGGAGAAATACGGCAGGGCCCAGTTCTCTCTGAGCGGGACGGCTTCATCTACTCTGGTGGTGTCGGGTCTGAGCACGGCATGGAAACAGACCGGTTAGACATTACTGTAACTGGAATGTTGTTTAAATGATCATTTTAATCATTCATATTGTGGCTGGGTATATTGTAAATTATATTGTGAAATAGATTCATCTCAGGCTTCAGGAGGTCTGACTCTATGTTAAATACCAAGAGGAAGAGGCTTTGAACATGCTAATGAGGAAGGTCAATGTTCTTTGCTCTTCCTTTCCTGTCTGCATATGGAGCTGTGTCTGACTTCATCTAAAGAGCTGGTTCTTCCTTTCCTGTCTGCATATGGAGCTGTGTCTGACTTCATCTAAAGAGCTGGTTCTTCCTTTCCTGTCTGCATATGGAGCTGTGTCTGACTTCATCTAAAGAGCTGGTTCTTCCTTTCCTGTCTGCATATGGAGCTGTGTCTGACTTCATCTAAAGAGCTGGTTCTTCCCAAGTCAATTGCGTGTCCCGCTTTTTTCACGTTCCCAGATGTCTATTGTATCTAATATGTATGGGGGATTGGCTTGAAGCAATATTGTATCGAGCCAGCAGGTGGCAGCATTTCTCTCTGAATGGTTTGAAAACAGCTAGATGCACATGTTGTGCCTCTTTTTTCTCAGCTTTTTGGTGATTTCAGTGAAACTTCACTCTATTCGACGGAGGATTACAGGGGAACGAAGGGGAAGTAGACAGTCAATTCTTTCAGAATATGGTTTTGGATTTCAGATAGTCATTGTACACAATATTCTGTGGGTCTTGAAAAATCTATAAAAATCATCAGAAACGGCCGGCAATATGGAAGTACCTGTTCTGAAATAGGCTGGCAGTCAATGAGTTAATAATAGAACCTGTTGGATGTGTGCAACCTTCTGCTGTAATGTGCAACAAAGACATTTCAATCTCCGCTCTGAGGCTGAATACAGGTTTATCTTCTCTAACATCAGGCTAACACAACAGAAGCTAAGGGTAACGTACCGGTTGATGACGTACCAGGCCACCGCTAACATCCCGGCAACCCAGGTCCTGCTCAGGACCCAGCTACTGACGAACAGAGCTGAGACATAGACCGCCTGGAGCCCGAACACCATCCCGATGTAGAAATAGATGGGCTCCACCAGGTCCTGAAACAACCATATCCAAAATGTACAAGGACCAGTGTTCAAAAGTCTACACCAGTCGTTTGAACTGAGACAGATGAGATGGATCCAACTACTCTCACTCTCTAAGGGTTGTCCAAAGGAAGAATCAGATATTCATCTCAAAAATAAACACCAATTTCAGAAAACAATCAAAGAAAATCCATTACAGGAAAAAATAATCTATAATAAATAATTTCTTTGGGTAGTTTTTCGAAATTAGAGAAAAACCTTTGGATTATCACCTTCTCTCTAAAAGTACAATAATGTTGTGTTTAGGGTTGGAAACCTCAGGGTACGATACGATACAAAGCTCACGATAACGATTATATCACGATATATTGGTCAGAAATATGCCAATTTATGGCTTAAATAAAAGAATAATGTTAAGTGAAAAAACACTTTATTTTATGATAAATGGAATGGAGATGAGTAATGTAGACATATATTGAGCATTGATACTAATCAAAAAAAAGAAACTAAACAATTAAAAAAAAAAATCTCAAAACCGATGCTTGGCAAATGCATATCGATAATCGATCACAGGAGAAAGTATCACGATATATCGTCACACTCCTAGTTGCGTTATGTGTAGTTTTGCAGATCATTGTCAAAATAAATGTTTTAATCAAGTCCGTATTTAAGTTAGACATTTTAGTATCGTGACAACACTATAGCTTTCTAAAACCTAATGCAGCAGTTTTATAAAAGAACGTTCTCTTTGAAATGTTCAAAACCAAGAGATTAAAAAGTTCAGAGCAAAACAGGGCCTGAATTTGTTGACCTTTATTTACCCAGAAAGTCTGACTTTAGGACCATTCTTTAAAGACGATTTCGAGAGGAAAGACGACGCCGTACAAAAGCATTGAGTAATTCTTATTCCGGGTACACCCCCACCGGCCTGGAGTGAGATTGTAGCATGTCAGCGCCTGTGCTCAGGGACCTTTTGGAGCTGGGACCCGCCCACGCTGGGACCCGCCCACGCTGGGACCCGCCCTCGCTGGGACCCGCCCGCGCTGGGACCCGCCCGCGCTGGGACCCGCCCGCGCTGGGACCCGCCCTCGCTGGGACCCGCCCTCGCTGGGACCCGCCCTCGCTGGGACCCGCCCGCGCTGGGACCCGCCCGCGCTGGGACCCGCCCTCGCTGGGACCCGCCCTCGCTGGGACCCGCCCACGCTGGGACCCGCCCTCGCTGGGACCAGCCCTCGCTGGGACCCGCCCGCGCTGGGACCCGCCCGCGCTGGGACCCGCCCGCGCTGGGACCCGCCCGCGCTGGGACCCGCCCGCGCTGGGACCCGCCCACGCTGGGACCCGCCCTCGCTGGGACCCGCCCGCGCTGGGACCCGCCCGCGCTGGGACCCGCCCTCGCTGGGACCCGCCCTCGCTGGGACCCGCCCACGCTGGGACCCGCCCTCGCTGGGACCCGCCCTCGCTGGGACCCGCCCCTGGACCCCCCGGGACCCGCCCGCGCTGGGACCCGCCCGCGCTGGGACCCGCCCTCGCTGGGACCCGCCCTCGCTGGGACCCGCCCTCGCTGGGACCCGCCCTCGCTGGGACCCGCCCTCGCTGGGACCCGCGCTGGGACCGCCCCGCTGGGACCCGCCCTCGCTGGGACCCGCCCTCGCTGGGACCCGCCCTCGCTGGGACCCGCCCTCGCTGGGACCCGCCCCGCTGGGACCCGCCCCCCGCTGGGACCCGCCCCGCCGCTGGGACCCGCCCTCGCTGGGACCCGCCCTCGCTGGGACCCGCCCTCGCTGGGACCCGCCCTCGCTGGGACCCGCCCTCGCTGGGACCCGCCCTCGCTGGGACCCGCCCACGCTGGGACCCGCCCTCGCTGGGACCCGCCCTCGCTGGGACCCGCCCTCGCTGGGACCCGCCCTCGCTGGGACCCGCCCACGCTGGGACCCGCCCTCGCTGGGACCCGCCCACGCTGGGACCCGCCCACGCTGGGACCCGCCCACGGGACCCGCCCACGCTGGGACCCGCCCACGCTGGGACCCGCCCACGCTGGGACCCGCCCAGACTGGACCAAACACATCAGAACCACTGACCTCACTGTCGAAGAGTTTGTAGGTGATGCTGGTGAGAAGCTCCGGATACAGAGACAGACGCTCCACTGCGTTTATGGTCTGTCCCGACACCGTTCTGTTATCTACGGTTAACTCATAGAACCCTTTGGACAAAACATATAATATAAATAATCATTACTTTAAGTCCATTATATGCATGTGATAACGTGTGACTACCTCTCTGAAACGAAGGAGCTGCTAACATGTGCTTGTAGTAATAATAATACATTCCACTGCCAGCCTGGAACGTGATCTCCCTCTCCAGCTCCTGAGAGACAAAAAGGCATCAGACTAAAACATAGCAGGAACTAGAACTACTGTATTCTATTTATAGCAACATTAACTTCAACCTGTCGAGCTGAAAACCAGAACTTCCTGTCGTGATAAGCCGACAGATAAGCCGCGTAGAGGATGCCACAGGCCACAGCTGCCACGGAGCCAGAAACCCCCCGCACCAGGCGCTGCACGAGGCTGGCTGTGACGAGAGGCATCGGTTCATTTCAGTAAAACACAAAACAACTTGACTGGTTTTATTTGAAGTAAAGAATCACAATCATTGGTTTGATCATGTGAGAGTGAAGTGTGTATCTATTTGTCAGAGCATGTCATCAAAACACAACCGGACCGACGATATTCACAACACATTTGAATACAAGATAATATTGTAAATACTTTTATGATACTTTTAAAAGGGCAGCTTCTGGCTCTGGTTGAGGAGGAAGGATAGGAGTTGGGGAAAGTATAGCTAACCTCAATGACAGCTGCGGGGGATAACATTCTCCAGCTGCAGGGAGTGACAAGGAGACGTCCTTGTCACTGCTCCGCCACCATGAGACGTTCCAGGATTAAAGGGGCGAAACGTTGGTGATTGGTGGTTCCTGGCTGATGACCCTGCAGCTGACCCTGCAGCTGACCCATGGGCACCGGAGGAGGTGCGACAGGCAGCAATGCTAAGCAGGAAATTACATCCACCTGTATACATCAACTGATGATCTGGCAACCCAGTGACTACTGTGAACAGGGCAGTTGGAGTCCAGGGAAGACTGGAGGACAGCCAGGAAAGTCTGGTTGACAGCAGGGAAAGACCGCACTGGGAGTGGGCGGCTAGTTACCCAACCCACTAGTCTCTTGGAAAAGAGACACCCATGCCTAACTACGAAGAATCTTAAGAGAAAACAACCCGCAGGCCCTCCGAGAGGCGGGATGAAAGATGGGCCTAACAGGACGGACCACACGGCAACGACAACTGCAATGGAAAAGGACAACGAAAGCACCAGAAACTCAGACAGAGAGGAGAAGGTCCTCCGAAAGTGTGCTTGTGGATGGGAGAAGGTAACGACGTTCAGGGGGTTGCGAATCCATCAGGGAAAGGCGAAGTGTGGCGGGAGAGGCCAACAGCAACCTTGCACTGCAGCAGCGGGTAAGACAAGAGGGACCACGAGCCGGGTCGAAAACCACAGTGCCAACGGACCTAATGCAGCTGAAGGCATAGGAGAAACAGAGAAAGAAGTCCCTTCCATGGACCCGGAGCCCCCTAGCGAACACCAAGACCCCACTCAAGCCATCCCACAAGGAAAAGAGCCACCAGCAGAGACCAGGGGACCAGCGAGAAGGAACACACTTAAATGGCCGAAGTCTAACCAAGCAGAGGCATGGCAAACACTGGACGCAGACCTGATCAAGATCCTAGAGGGTAAATTGCGTGGAGGCGTCGAAGTCAAGCTCAATCAGTTTGGAGATGCCATATACCAGAGCTGTAAGGACAGATTTGGTGACATTATCCCCAAACGACGGTCTGCCCCATGAGTGAAGGGGAGGAGGGAAAAAGAGATCACAGAGCTTGTTCAGAGACGACGACAGCTCCGCAAGAACTGGAGGAAGGCAGATTATCAAGAGAGAGAAGGCATGAAAGTCCTTTGGGAAGAAGTGAGGCAAAGGCTAGCAAGACTCCGCCGAGCTGAACGCATCCGCAGGCGCAGTAAGCGGAAGCAAAAGGAGCGATCCAGCTTCTTCAAGGATCCCTTCAAGCATGCAAGACGGCTGCTAGAGGAGAAGAAGTCCGGAAAGCTCGAAGCCACTAGGGAGCAAATAGAACAGCATGCTAAAAGGCAGTACAGTGACCCGCTGAGAAACGTCCCTCTAGGAACACCAGGGTATGTGCCACGGCCTGGGCTGCCAACAGTCATGTTCAACACAATGCCCCCCAAGCTCAGCGAAGTCAGGCAAGTGGTGAGCAAGGCAAGGTCATCATCAGCACCAGGCCCCAATGGAGTTCCCTACAAGCTCTATAAAAACTGCCCTAAGGTACTAGAGCTACTGTGGTGCCTAATGAGAACAGCTTGGAAAAAGCAAATCATTCCATCAGAGTGGCAAAGAGCTGTAGCAGTCTTCATTCCTAAAGAGGAAAACTCCAGAGACATTGGCCAATTCAGAAACATCGCCCTGCTGAATGTTGAAGGGAAAATCTTCTTCTCTGTACTGGCCGAAAGGATGACCGAATTTCTGCTAAAGAATGGCTATATTGATACCAACTGTCAGAAAGCAGGAGTTCCAGGGTTCCCAGGGTGCATTGAGCACTCGTCAATGATCTGGAACCAAATCCAGAGAGCCAAGAGGGAGAAGACCGACCTGCACATCGTCTGGCTCGACCTCGCCAACGCGTATGGATCAGTCCCACATCAGCTGATCAGCTACGCTCTGGATTTCTTCCATATGCCCCTCTGCATCAGGAACTTGGTAGCACTGTACTTCAGTGACCTGCAGATGTGTCTCGCCCTCCAGGACTTCACTACTGGGTGGCAACAACTGCAGGTGGGAATTGCTATGGGATGTGCCATTTCACCAATTCTGTTTGTCGCAGCCTTTGAGATCATTCTCATAGGGGCAAGGCAGATGGTGGGAGGGATCAAACTTCCATCTGGCCAGAGGCTTCCCCCACTGAGAAGCTACATGGACGATGTCACTAGTCTCCTCCAAACAGCAGCATGTACATCTAGGCTGCTAAAAAGGTTTGACGAGTTGATGTCATGGGCCAGGATGAAGGTCAAGCCCGCCAAATCCCGTAGTTTGTCACTCAGAAGGGGAGTCATAAACAACAGCACCACCTTTGTCGCCGGGGGAGAGAGAATCCCTCTTCTGTCTGAACAACCTATCAGAAGTTTGGGGAGGGAGTATTCTGCAGAGCTCTCTGATAAACAGATGGGGAGGACCGTCATGAAACAGCTTTCAGACGGCCTGGCAAGGATCGACCAAAGCGAGCTCCCTGGGAAATACAAGGTTTGGTGCTACCAATTCACACTCTATAGGAGACTGATGTGGCCCCTGAAGATGAGTGAGATCCCCTCATCCACCGTGAGGAAGATGGATGGAAAAGCCAACGCCTCCATCAGAAAGTGGTTGGGGCTACCACGGTGCCTCTCTGACTCTGGCCTCTTTCGGAGGAACGCGCTGCAACTGCCACTGCAGTCCCTAAGTGTGGGCTACATGCAAGAGAAGGCCAGGCTGGTTCTCGAGCTGAGTCAGTCCACCGACGAGTCTGTAAGGAATGCAAAAGCCAAGGTTCCCACTGGCCGAAAGTGGAACGCAGAAGCAGAAGTGGGCCATGCGGTTAGCAGGTTGCAGCATCGAGAGATCGTGGGCAGAGTCCAGGCAGGAAGAGCAGGTCTAGGGTGGGGAGAGGCACCACGGTTCTGGTCAAAGGCCACTCGCAAGGAGAAGAAGGAGATGGTGGTGGCAGAAGTGACGAGGATGGAGGAAGAGCGCTATAAGATCAAGGCCGTCTCACAGGGCCGGCAAGGAAGATGGACAACTTGGGAGGGAGTTGTCGACCGCAATATCAGTTGGTTTGACCTGTGGAAGATCCCGCAGGCGAGGCTCAGCTTCCTTATCCGTTCAACCTATGACACGCTTCCCTGTCCTCGTAACCTGCACCAATGGTTTGGCAATGAGGAATGCTGCTCACTCTGTAACGCTCCCAACGCAAGCCTTCAACACATCTTGTCAGGCTGCAAGATTGCGCTCTCCCAGGGACGCTACAGGTGGCGCCATGACCAGGTCCTGGAAAGGTGCAGACAGGGTAACAAACAGCTACCACCAGCAAAGAGCCACACCAACTTTGTCAGGGAAGGGGATGGGCAAAGTTACACCAGGCCAAAAGAGACATCGCGGCCCTTTGCCCCCAACCAGGAGTGGGACATGAGGGTTGACCTTAACAAACAGCTCCAATTCCCCACGGAGATCACCATCACATCTCTCCGCCCTGACATTGTGGTTTGGTCTTCAGAGGCAAAAGTGGTGCATCTCATTGAACTCACAGTTCCACCAGAAGGGGAGATCGAGGCTGCCTACGAGCGCAAGAAGGCCAAGTATTCCGAGCTGGCTGCAGAGTGCCGGGAGGCTGGATGGAAGGCCGCCATCTACCCTGTTGAAGTTGGCTGCCGAGGCTTCGTGGGGCTGTCAATGATACAGCTCTTGAGGGATGCAGGAGTCACGGGGGGAAAGCTGCGCAGGGCCACAAGAGAGCTTTCGGAGGAGGCGGAAAAGGGCAGCTTCTGGCTCTGGTTGAGGAGGAAGGATAGGAGTTGGGGAAAGTATAGCTAACCTCAATGACAGCTGCGGGGGATAACATTCTCCAGCTGCAGGGAGTGACAAGGAGACGTCCTTGTCACTGCTCCGCCACCATGAGACGTTCCAGGATTAAAGGGGCGAAACGTTGGTGATTGGTGGTTCCTGGCTGATGACCCTGCAGCTGACCCTGCAGCTGACCCATGGGCACCGGAGGAGGTGCGACAGGCAGCAATGCTAAGCAGGAAATTACATCCACCTGTATACATCAACTGTAACTACATCAACGTTTACATTACAGCAGCATAATCTCAGTATGGTACATGTTCCATTTCTCCATTTCATTAGATTTCATTAGCTGAAATAATAAACAGAATTGAGCAATATTTAACCAAGACACTGGATTATTTACACCACACAACTGGAATCATTTATTTCATCAGATATTGAGTCATTACACAAGTTGACAGCCCAAAAATGGTCAGGGGTTTCTCAGCTGATTCAGACTAATGTTGGTGTTCTGGGTTCTATCAGGTCAACTGTGTGAGATACAGCCACAGTGTTACGGATTATGTACGTCTACGTTATTATGAATTCTGCTTATCAAATTTGATGGAGTAAATACAAACTGAATGACTTTGGATACGTTGACTTTTATTTCTTGAGGAAAACGGAAAAAACGTCAAAGGTTTCTCAGCTGATGATCCGCAGAAATTAGTTTTTTTACGCAAAATCGATTAAAAAAAAAATTTCTGTAGCAAAAAATCCTGACCTGATTGAGCAAAACCAAGGTCATCTTCGGACTCAGAGCATCAACATTAGTTCAGCTGGAAAACCCTGGACTATTTTCAAAACATATTTTTTGTTACCCAGTGCTATAGGTTCCTAAACTGGTATAAATAGTTCCTCCCTCCGTCTGTGAACTTCCTGAATGCTTTCCAATGTACGTGGGTCAGGAGCTAGTTTTTCTTTTTCCAATTTGAGCTGATCATTTGTAAATAAAAGCATTTTGTAAACATGTCATGGTTAATGCTGTTCAATATTGCTTATATGTATTTTCATATTTCTATTTATGCTCAAATGAATGAATAAATGCTGTGTATCAGACTGTTATAAGATTCCCCAACTATTACACAATTACAATCAGTATCAACTTGAAACAGTGGAATGAGGACAACAATAAGAAATAAGGGTGACATCATGACTTACATCTTCTGCATTTCTTCACTGGCTGTTCAGGGACTTCTGGTTTTAGAGAACCCTCTGCCTCTTTGTCTGGCTCTTCACTTGTCCCTTCATTTTCCTCTTTTGAAGCAGTAGAATCTGACAATAAGAGAAAGACAGGAACATCTTTAAGTTCTAAATGCCAACAGCAGCTCTCTAAGAATCAGACAGCTTTCAATCCTCTGAGTCTGATCAATATTTCACCTTCATTTCTTGTCTCGTCCTCTTCATCATGGACCTGATCCTCTTCTGCAGCTTCATCCAGAGCCTTCCTGCATCTGAACTCCGTCATGACTTGAATAATCTGTTTGTTATGATACCAACATGCTAGCTAACATCACAGCTAACTGACCGAGCTTCCCACACGTCTGCCTTTCACCTGTGGCTCCGCCTACACGTCTGACCGGAGGATCACGCCGTCTGCCGGGTCTGATGGTGTGTTTCCTGCAGTGACATGACGTGGTTTTGGGGGTGGTCTGTGTGATGTTTGCAGGAGCAGAGAGGAGCAGAGAGGAGCAGACCCGCCGAGGCTGAAGCAGGCCGGAAGTGGAGGCTGTAAACACCGGCGAAGGAGAAGACACTTCCTGCTAACGGTTACTATGGAAACCAACTGACAGATGGATAACAAGATAGATTAATTGATCCCCAGCAGCAGAAACACATCCATCCATACAAACAAATGAATACATAAAGATAAACATGACTAACAATAGTAGGACATTTTGATAAATGTGACACATATTTTTCAAAAGGCAAAAGTATTCATAAAGTCTGCTCTAGTCTCTGCTTATATAAAAGTATGTGTATGATTGTTTCATGCAACGATAAGTCTAGACTAGAACGGTCCAAAGGTCACAAAACACTGTTAAGAATGTTCAAGATTAGACACTTTTCATATTTTTATGTTCATAATTTCACTTTCTGGTTGAAATGACCCAAACCACCAGGAACAAAATGTATGTACTTGAATTTAGTAAATCCTTTAAGACGGTGGCTTCATCTTTCACTTTACATATAGTCATTTCCACCAAAGTTATATTTAAAAAGTCGTAAAAAGCCACATTTTCAATTTCCAAATATTATATATTTTGTGACCATAAATGTATGAGAATGAACAATCGCAGCTTTATGCAGATTACAACATGACCATGTAATGGAGAAACACAAGGGTTAAAAGAGTAGATTTGAAGAATGGAACCAGACTGTTGTGACTGATCAATAAAACTGTCGATGCAAGAGTCGAGGAGACTTCAGCGAGTCTGGTTCAGGAGAAATGGCCTCATGGGAAACCAAACACATAAGACACTAAACAAACACAGTTAAACAATTGAACAACAGTTTATTGTGTTTTATCCACTACAATAACCATAACAAAATAACAGTTTTTTTCCAACAGGGGCAAAGATAAAAAGCCATTAAATAATTGAAAATAAAATGTTCCAAGTGTGAACAATAAAAACTGTGCAAATAACAATCGTAAAGGAGTCAAAGGTCAAATTCATGAAACCCAAAAATATAAAATAGCAATAAATATGGTTAAATTCTAAAAACAAATGTTTCAAGCCTAACATTTCATTTTGATCGTCTGAAGAAATCCATATCATTCTCATTCAGAGGATTCAGACTCTTCTGTTCTTTTCTCTGCAGACTTAAGCTTCTGTGTGAATTAAGAAAAGATCATTAATACAGTTATCGCATAAACATTTATAATTCTCGTTTCCAGGATGTAATCACCTTCCACATCACATCTGTCCAGAATAACCTTTATTAATTTCTTTATTTCGATGTGGTCAGCAACTCTCACTACGGCAGCATCACCTGCACAAGCTCTAGTTAGTCTCATCGCTCAGAGAGAGTAAGACATGTTTAATTATATAGCACATTTTTACAGACAAAGTGCTTTATAATGTTCAGATAGATTTCACTCTCACTGTATTCAAGTTACAAAACAGGTCATTCTTGTCATCTACAGTAAACAGAGTAAGATATCTTGTCCATAATAACACTTTATGAATAAATATTAAGAATTGTTGAAGAAATAACAAAATAATCAGCCGTTTCAGTCCTTTGTAGCAGCACTAACTGAACCAGGACCAAACATGACTGCACCTGCCACAAACGGGTTCCACGGCTCCTGGAAGCTCTTCTCTCCGTCGGCCGCAGATGATTTCTTTGTTCCTTTCTTTTGCACAAAGTTAATCAGTGGCTCATCGTCATCAGAGCTTTCACTTTCACATTCTGAGCCAAAATATAAATAACATATAAGAAGTGAATATCAGTTACATATGCGTCCACACGACCGACAGAACTCACCCGGTTTGGATTTAGCCGAGCGGCGTTTGGCTGGACTGGAGTTTTTCTTTGCCGGTTTGGATGTTGTGAGTTTTGCTAAAGGAACATTGTCGTCTGAGCCTTCACTGGACTCGTAATCACCTGGAACCAGAACAATCTGTTTAAGGAAAGAAGCCGAAGACACCGACAGATCCACTGTTTCATGCTCTACACATTTACCTTGTTTTGATTTGGCCGCTGCTTGTTTCTTATTTACAGCAGATTTTGTTGTTATAAGTTTTGTCAAAGGAACATCATCCTCTGAGCTGTCACTAGACTCCACATATTTGCCTTGAAGGAAAAAAATACGGTGATTCTAAAACGATAATACTTGTAAATGTTAATAATGCTTTGGTTTTATATCTCTCTTCTTTGGACACTCAAGTCCTTCATCCCACACCAGACTCAAACTCAATGCGTGTCTTGCCCAAGGACACAGTGATGTTCTCAGAGGTCTCTCATCACGGCTGTTACCAGGCCCTGCCCTGCTTAGCGTCTGAGATTTGACAAGATCCAGCTTTGACCATCACACATACACACCTTCTCTAACTAATACTGACCTTAGATATTGACCTTAGAGTTACTGCTACAATACACTGCTGTTATAAATGGGGTGAGTAATGTTTATTTATATAGCACATGTTACAGACCAAGGTACAGACCCAAAGGTACAGACCCAAAGGTACAGACCCAAAGGTACAGACCCAAAGGTACAGACCCAAAGGTACAGACCCAAAGGTACAGACCCAAAGGTACAGACCCAAAGGTACAGACCCAAAGGTACAGACCCAAAGGTACAGACCCAAAGCACTTTCCAATGTTCAGAGTCAGATATTGTTCCAATCCTTCCACACACGGTGATGACAGAAGCGAGTCCAGAACACACTGGACCATCAGCTCCAACACCATCCATTCACTCTCTCATTTACATTCAGACCTATTGTGCATGTTTTTAGTGGTAGGGGAAACCGGAGCACCCGGAGGAAACCTACACTGAACATGCAAACTCCACTCAGAAAGGCCCCAGGACCGTCTATCCACTAAGACTCCCCTAATGCTCAGTTTGATTCACAGATAATTTATAAACACAATCTCACTGTTTGTCCTAAAATTGCTTCACATTTTTCCAAATCCCTCGTTGCTGGAACCGTCACCTGTTTCCAGCTGGAAAAGGGATTTAGCACAATAACAACGTCTAGACTGCACTTCTGAGCACCGTGGTGTTTTATGTTAGACTTTTCTGAAGGCGACCACAGACTTTGGAAGAGTAGTAAAAGCTTCATAAGAACAGAACACATGTCCTCACCTGGTCTGGGTTTGGCAGCGGCACGTTTGGCTGAAGAGTTGGATCCTTTAAGATTTGCCAAAGGTTCATCGTCTTCTGAGTCCACAGCTTTAACATAAAAACACTAGATTTGTTCCCAGACTTCCACAGTGCTTTTAAACGAGCCAAACAGACGTACTTGGTTGAGCTTTAGCTGCTGGGCGTTTGGCGGGAGACGACTTCTTTGCAGGAGCTTTGGCTGCTTTTGGTTTCACAAAAGCGTCGCTGTCTGGGCTCTCGCTCGGGATGTCCTCAAAATAAACTTTAGAAAACAAAAGAATAATAATAAGAAAAACTGTGGCTTAAAAGATATAAAAGCAAAACCATACCTGGTTTTTGAGCTGCGGCTCTTTGGGAAACGCGAGTCTTGTTTTTATTGACTTTTCTTTCCCTCAGAGGCTCGTCGTCAGAGCTGTCACTGTCCCACACTGACAACAGAACATTAGATCCAATCATCGACTGCAAAGCTGTGTAACATTATAATAACACTGAACTACCCAAACTACAGTAGTTTACAGGAAAAAGCATCTCTGACTTTTAACTAAAACTAATAAAATCCAGTTTACAAGACACAGTTTACTTCATACTGCGGATTTAGATTCAAGGATCAATACTTGTCTAAAGTCCTCAAGATAAACACTTTACTCAGAGTTGGTGGGACTAAGGGTTACTGCTTTTGTTCAAGTTGGATCTTTAAATGTTTACTCAAGCTTTAGGTTAGTATTTTTTAAACTAACAGACTTTAATTCAGCTCATTTTGTGAATCAACATGAAAGAAACAAAGATTAAAGGAAAGAATCCACAATTATTTGAGACAAAGTGCCACAAGTCAATTCAGACAAACAGAACTCTGATCCGAGCGTGGGACCTTCTTAATGAGAAGGGAGTGCTAACCACTCTGCCACCACGCCCTCTCTTAACTGATGTCCGTTTGCACAGTTTCAGGGAGAAAAGCCTAAAACCCTGATCCGCTGCTGGATCAATGGTACATTTAATACAGTCAAAAGTTTCACCTTCTTTCTTAGATTTTTTTGCTGAATTCCTCCGAGTGACACTGGTTCTTTTCTTTCCTATAAAACAAACTATGAAATCACCAGAGAATCATCAAATCTAATAATTAAGGATTTGTAAAAACACCTTGTTTCTTCTCTGCTCCTCTTGTCTTTTTCCCCGTTTTGTTTGATGAAGACGTCTTTGTCTTCTTCACGAGCGGTTCGTCATCAGAGGATTCTGTGACATCAGCAGAAATCACTACTTTATGTCAGAACAGGACATTCGAGTCAGTAAATTAAAAATATGTGTTATTTATATTCCTGTGTCCTTTCAACAAATATGTATCTTGGTATTTCATGTTTTAGCTGCAGCTGGAACATAACCATGTAATGACATAGGAGATGAGTGACAGGCCGCCATCTAGTGGTTATAGTGGGAAATACATTACACTATAGTTTTATAGTTTTGTGTAATTATTATGACAGAACTTAGATAAAAAAGCCCATTATTAGAGGTCTAGAGTTCTCACCGCTCTGCTCTGAGTCTGTCTCTGGTTTAGACGTGTTTCTCTTTCCCTTTTTCTGAGTTACAATCTTTGACAAAGGAACGTCATCTTCAGAGTCTTCTTTATCTGAAAACACAAACATACATTTAGATCTAATACTTTTTATTATAAATGATTATTATTGCTGTATGTATGTGACTGTGGATCGCACAGGAACAGGACATTTAGACTCTAGACTATGGCTTTTATAACCGTCTGCTTTGTTTTGTAAAATGATCTACAAACGTTCTGAGAGGTGAATGAACCGTGCTATACAGATAAACTTGCCTTTCTCACCTTCCGAGTCAGCTTTAGACTTTTTAACAGTTTTCTTCTTGGTCGTGAGTTCTGAGAGTGGAACATCATCTTCAGAACTGTCATCTTTAAACAAACAGGATTAATTTACAACCTGCTAAAATACACCGAATTTATTATGATTCATTAAATAACCTTTATCCTCACCTTTCTTTTTCATCATACTGGATAGCGGCACATCGTCATCTGAGCTGGAGCCTTTTCCTTAGTAATTTACATGAAAATAGAAGAACTTGGGTCAAAAACATAGAAAATAAACAAAAATCTTGGACCACATGCACACATCCTCTGCTAACGCGGGCTAGCTCCTTAAATATTCATGTTCACCTTCGAGTTTCTATCTTTAAAATGTTTTGGAATATATACCCACATTCAGAACACCCTAAACACTGACATTCAGAACCATAGAAGCATTTTCTACAGCTGTAACCTAACCCATGTCTAAAGCCAAGAGAAACACAGCAGCAACAAAACTATTGTCATTTTTTACATTTTTACCAAAGACTGAGAAAGATCCTTAAGTCTTTACCATTTTGATCTTTTTTCGAAGTTGTTTTTTCAGTCTTCCGTGAGTTTCTTTGTCTCTTTGTCGCCAACTTAGACAGAGGAGCCTCTTCATCGGAGCTGTCCTGGTCTAAAGACAGGTCATTGTTACGCTTTGTCCTGGTATAACACAACACTCATGACAGTCTCACCATTTTTACTTTTGTTCAAAGCTTTCACACTTCTGTCCTTACTGTTTTTGACCAACTTTACAAGAGGAACATCTTCATCTGAGCTGTCTGTACCTGTGTTAAATACAAAAGTTCATACATTTCTTCCAAACAGAATCAGACATTTTATAGACAACAGCCCCATTTCAGTCCTGTCTACTTAATAATGTCTTTCACAGAGCTGAGTCACAAAGCGCTTTACAATTGTTGTGGGCATTTAGATAAAGATATTTTATTGATCCGTGTAGGAGAAATTCAGGAGTCCAGTAGCAGCAGAAACACATCCAAACAAACACAACTAATGGTATTACATTTGTCCTCTCGCTCACAGAGATTGGAGTGGAGCTGGCATTCAGGAGGCGCCATACTCTACTCTCACCTGGTCTCCATTACGCTGTAGTATCTGGTACCATATCCTAGCAACCGACCCACAACCTACTAATACTCAGGGAAGCTCACTGGTAACCATGGCTTTCTGCTCCAGTCAGTTATAACACTTCAGTACCAGCTTGGCTTGGATAGAACCAGGGCCAAGGTCAGAAAGGTACTAAAAAAGTATCAGGTAACGCTTACACAGGCCCAGTGGAAATGCTCCCAATAGGAGAAGAGTAGAGTAGAGTAGGGCTGAGTAGAGTAGAGTAGGGCTGAGTAGAGTAGAGTAGGGCTGAGTAGAGTAGAGCAGAGCAGAGTATGGCTGAGTAGAGTAGAGTAGGGCTGATTAGAGTAGAGCAGAGCAGAGTATGGCTGAGTAGAGTAGAGTAGGGCTGATTAGAGTAGAGTAGGGCTGAGTAGAGCAGAGCAGAGCAGAGTAGGGCTGAGTAGAGTAGAGTAGGGCTGAGTAGAGTAGAGCAGAGCAGAGTAGTGCTGAGTAGAGTAGAGTAGGGCTGAGTAGAGCAGAGCAGAGCAGAGCAGGGCTGAGTAGAGTAGAGTAGGGCTGAGTAGAGTAGGGCTGAGTAGAGTAGGGCTGAGTAGAGTAGAGTAGGGCTGAGTAGAGCAGAGTAGGGCTGAGTAGAGTAGAGTAGGACTGAGTAGAGTAGAGCAGAGCAGAGTAGGGCTGAGTAGAGCAGAGTAGAGTAGAGTAGGGCTGAGTAGAGTAGAGTAGGGCTGAGTAGAGCAGAGTAGAGTAGAGTAGGGCTGAGTAGAGTAGAGTAGGGCTGAGTAGAGCAGAGTAGGGCTGAGTAGAGTAGAGTAGGGCTGAGTAGAGTAGAGCAGAGCAGAGTAGGGCTGAGTAGAGCAGAGTAGGGCTGAGTAGAGTAGAGCAGAGCAGAGCAGGGCTGAGTAGAGTAGAGTAGGGCTGAGTAGAGTAGAGTAGGGCTGAGTAGAGTAGAGTAGAGCAGAGTAGGGCTGAGTAGAGTAGAGTAGAGTAGAGTAGGGCTGAGTAGAGTAGGGCTGAGTAGAGTAGAGCAGAGCAGAGCTGGGCTGAGTAGAGTAGAGTAGTTCTGAGTAGAGTAGAGCAGAGCAGAGTATGGCTGAGTAGAGTAGAGCAGAGCAGAGCAGAGTATGGCTGAGTAGAGTAGAGTAGAGTAGAGTAGGGCTGAGTAGGGTAGAGTAAAGTAGGGCTGAGTAGGGCTGGTGGAAACAGGGCTTATGGGTGGGCAGCAGCAGTGATTTTCAAATGGGATTCTTTGTATTTTAAAATAGACGTGTTTCTAAAATCATTTTCCAAAACCTCACCTTTTGAGTCAGTTTTTTTTGGCAGTGACTCTTTAACAGTTTTCTTTGTGAGCTCTGAAAGTGGAACATCGTTCGCAGAGCTGTCATCTCCACCTAAACAGGTTACAATTACATTTAATACAATATACTAATTATTTCATATTATTTATAGTTTCCCACCTTTCTTACTGCTCTGCGTTTTCATCATATTAGACAGAGGCAAATCGTCCTCGGAGCTGGAGCCTTTTCCTTAAGAATTCAGATCAAAAACACAAATTAATCTTAGTAAATGTTTGTGTGAGGGCAACACACGCTACACAAAGACAAGCAAGAAGAATAAAATAAATGGACAAACATTATTAATATCAAAGTATGACAAAACAAAAGAAGTCGGTGCAGTCCCATTTCAACCCGGGTCAAAAAAGACTGCTGAGTAAAAAGGTCTCGTGAAAGATTGATAGTCTTTACCTTTTTGATCTTTCTTCAAAGGTCTTTTGGCTGTTTTTCGTGAGTTGCTTCGTTTCTTTGTCGCCAACTTAGACAGAGGAGCATCATCGTCTGAGCTGTCCTGGTCTAAAGACAGATCACACCGTTACTGTTTCAAATCATAAATACAACACAGTAATCACACTGTTTATTCCATTTAAATCATCATCTGAGCTGGAGCTGCTTCTTGTAAACATGAATGACTTGGCCTGGAGCATATGGACAAAGATGTATCAATAATATTTAGAGTTGGCCGATGGAGTGAGTGTCTTTTCAAGGGGGGTGAAACAAATCTATATATATTTGGTCGTTATGACATAATTACTGCTTCTTACAACATCGATTGTGTGTTTCTATGTGTTTTGGTCAAAGTTATTAGAAAACACACTGTATATTCTCAGCAGGACTTGATACTGGGAGATAATTTGGTGGTTTGAGGATTAAGTGACAATAGCTACCAGTGTACTTGCCACACACGTGTTCAAATATACCTTAATTTATCCTATTTTAGACTTTTCAACATTTCTTTAATGGCATTAACTCAGCTGCAGTTCCTGTGTTCCTGCAGGACCATCTGTGGGGCATTGGGTTTTCAGTTTAACCAGTGACAGGAGATATTTAGAAGAATTATGTGCATTTAATGAGTTTGGGAACAGTAATAACCTTCCTATAATATTTATGTAACAGTCTTTACCATAAGCACACATTAGGAGTGTGAGGTTATAACCAGCAGGGCTCCAGTGAACATGGTCATAACAGCTGGTGTAAATGTGTAAATGTGTAAATGTGTAAATGTATAAATGTGTAAATGTATAAATGTGTAAATGTGTAAATGTGTAAATGTGTAAATGTGTAAATGTGTAAATGTGTAAATGTGTAAATGTGTAAATGTATAAATGTATAAATGTATAAATGTGTAAATGTGTAAATGTATAAATGTATAAATGTGTAACTGTGTAAATGTGTAAATGTGTAAATGTATAAATGTGTAAATGTGTAAATGTGTAAATGTGTAAATGTGTAAATGTGTAAATGTGTAAATGTGTAAATGTGTAAATGTGTAAATGTGTAAATGTGTAAATGTGTAAATGTGTAAATGTGTAAATGTGTAAATGTATAAATGTGTAAATGTATAAATGTGTAAATGTATAAATGTGTAAATGTATAAATGTGTAAATGTATAAATGTGTAAATGTGTAAATGTATAAATGTGTAAATGTGTAAATGTGTAAATGTGTAAATGTGTAAATGTGTAAATGTGTAAATGTGTAAATGTGTAAATGTGTAAATGTGTAACTGTGTAAATGTGTAAATGTGTAAATGTGTAAATGTGTAACTGTGTAAATGTATAAATGTATAAATGTGTAAATGTGTAAATGTGTAAATGTGTAAATGTGTAAATGTGTAAATGTGTAAATGTGTAAATGTGTAACTGTGTAAATGTGTAAATGTGTAAATGTATAAATGTGTAAATGTGTAAATGTGTAAATGTGTAAATGTGTAAATGTGTAACTGTGTAACTGTGTAAATGTGTAAATGTATAAATGTGTAAATGTGTAAATGTATAAATGTGTAAATGTGTAAATGTGTAAATGTGTAAATGTATAAATGTGTAAATGTGTAACTGTGTAAATGTGTAAATGTGTAAATGTGTAAATGTGTAAATGTATAAATGTGTAAATGTGTAAATGTGTAAATGTGTAAATGTGTAAATGTGTAAATGTATAAATGTGTAAATGTGTAAATGTGTAAATGTGTAAATGTGTAAATGTATAAATGTGTAAATGTGTAAATGTATAAATGTGTAAATGTGTAAATGTGTAACTGTGTAAATGTATAAACGTATAAATGCAGGAGAAGAATATAAATGTGGCCGTTACCTGAAGGGTTCACTGTTTTTCGTGAAGGTCTCATGTTTTAGATTCACAGTAAAGTGATTATTATTATTAAAGTGAGAGGAGCCAATGGCGCCAAAACCGCACGAGCCGAAACTGGAACACGGAAGCGACAGGATTAACCGACTATAACCGTTATTATTATAGATCCATGACATTAATGATAAAATAAAACAAATAAAAGATGGAAGCTTCAGATGACACTAGAGCAGAACAGAGCGGGTTTCAGGATGTTTGGGTGAAAAGAAACTGCGTCGATTGTTGATGACGTACCTCAACAACTTTTTTCACACATTAAAGCTGAGGTACCTAATTTTCTGCCTCATAAATATATATATACTACCATCGATCTATTATAATAACGTATACTACATGTTTTTCCTCAACGGAAATAGTTTCAAAGTCAAATGTTTTGAATCTGACCACAATATGCTTCTTCAACCTAAAAAACATGTGAAAATATGTACAGTCTATGGTGAAAACTCGTGATAGAACCAAACCGTTTGGAGAAGGTTCCGCAGCATTTTGTAATATTATTTCTAATCATTTCTGTAAACATTTTATTTTGCATTTGCAAAATTGTAATTGAACGGTACAATTATACTATATTTGTGTGCCAATATATCAGTTTAGGAATGAGCTGGATGTGTTTATTCTTTAATAATAGATTTCACAGAGCAGTCCAATTGCAGGATTTTAGTTTTGAAAGTGTAAGTACTTGGTGTATGTATTTTAAAAATTAAATCAACTTGTATTTTAGAAATGTGAGTAACATACTATTTATGTGCTACCTGTTAGCAAACTGCTTATTCAACCATGTAAGCCTTTCCTAGGAATACGTCAATGTAAAACCTTAAACAACTTAAAGATTAATACATTTCTTACTTAACTGAGGGAAAAATCACATATTTTTAGGGATTTTTTATATCTGATGGATTTGGGAGCAAAGTGCTCTCGGAGTTCTGGCAGTTTCAGAATCCTGGGTTTCCTGGTGTTAATTAAGGAAATCATGCACAAAGGGCTTATGATGTATTAGCTAATAATAAATATTAGTAAAAATATGAAGTCTGTTTAGGTTGGCAGTCAAAGCAGAGTTTATTACACACAGAAGTCAAATACTTTATCACAGAATTTAATTAGGACATACTCAAACAGATAATTATTCAAATCATTACAAAATACCGTTGTGTTAGGAAACGCACCAATCACGATTTAGTGTTTTTGTATCAAAGAGTTTTTTATGCCCTGATCTTACCCTGAGAGTTGAGGCGAGTCTACTTTAAACAAACTACCAACGTCAAAAAGTGTTCTAGCTCATAGTGCCATCGAGAACCTACTTTACCAACTCATGAACACATAGACAATAACAATACACACAATATTTAAGGTTGTGTAAGTGTTTGAAACAGAAATGGCCATAATAGATTAAATCACTCCAAAAGAATGAATGAGCTTCCATGCATTACACTATAGAGCAATTTATAGTTGAAGTCCCACAACTTATGTTTAAGTAACATTACTCTCCTCATGTGAGTGAAAGCAGAAAGTCAACACAGAAGAAACGGATTTCTTCAAATAAATTAAACACCGGTATTCTCCAAGCCCTTGTGAGCCGAACACGACTCAATCACGACAGAAACAGGTCACAGTGGAATCAATGTTCAAGTGAAGAGGATGTGATTTCTCAGTTTGAATAACAGTCTTTAGTTTAGTTTAGTTTAGTTTAGTTTAGCTGGGGCCGATGGACAGAGGTGCTGGTGACGGAGAGTCGTGGATTCACATGGCGGTCATTTTGCTGGCCTCTCGTACTCCGCTCAGATACGCTCCAGTTACAGTCTGTGGGAAATGTCTGTTGGTGGCCTGGGAACAACAACAACAACATAACAGATAAATGGTCTTTGGAGAAGCAGTCTAATGCAAACTTATAAGAGAGAAGAATACGACTGTTGCCACAGCCGCTCAAGCCAGACTCTGTGGATGCAAAGTGTCGCCAATGAGGAAATAACTAATAAAAGTTTATCTTTCACATGAACAGCACATTCAAACAAGCCAATGTGGCAAGGGTTTGGGTTAAAGCTGGGGTTCCTAACATTCCTCTTTCTGTTTGAACCTATCACTAGTTTTCACCATGCATGTATATTTGGCCTCTGTCACATCTACAGATCAGCTTTGTCCAGACAGAAAGGTCTGCTCCCAACCCAAAGAGTCAACCAGTAACTCACTGGGCTCTTTCTTACTGCTAATGTCCACAGGACACGTTACATTTGTCCATGTTAAACAATGTGGATATTTACACTACTAGTGTTATACGAGCGTATGACGGACGAATGACGGACGTGTGACGGACGTATGACGGGCGTATGACGGACGAATGACAGACGTATGACGGACAAATGACGGACGTGTGACGGACGAATGACGGACGTATGACGGACGTATGACGGACGTACAACAGACGCATGACGGACGTACAACGGGCGTATGACGGACGTATGACGGACGAATGACGGACGCATGACGGACGTACAACGGGCGTATGACGGACGTATGACGGACGAATGACGGACGTACAACGGACGTATGACGGGCGTATGACGGACGTATGACGGACGTACGACAGACGTACGACGGGCGTATGACGGACGTATGACGGACGTACGACAGACGCATGACGGACGTACGACGGACGTACGACAGACGCATGACGGACGTATGACGGACGTACGACAGACGCATGACGGACGTATGACGGACGTACGACAGAAGTATGACGGACGTACGACAGACGCATGACGGACGTACGACAGACGCATGACGGACGTACGACAGACACATGACGGACGTATGACGGACGTACGACAGACGCATGACGGACGTATGACGGACGTACAACAGACGCATGACGGACGTATGACGGACGTACGACAGAAGTATGACGGACGTACAACAGACGCATGACGGACAAACGACGGACGTACGACAGACGCATGACGGACGTATGACGGACGTACGACAGACGCATGACGGACGTACGACGGGCGTACGACGGGCGTATGACGGACGTATGACGGACGTACGACGGACGTACGACAGACGCATGACGGACGTATGACGGACGTACGACAGACGCATGACGGACGTATGACGGACGTACGACAGAAGTATGACGGACGTACAACAGACGCATTACGGACGTATGACGGACGTACGACAGACGCATGACGGACGTATGACAGACGCATGACGGACGTATGACGGACGTAGGACAGACGCATGACGGACGTATGACGGACGTACGACAGACGCATGACGGACGTACAACGGGCGTATGACGGACGTACAACGGGCGTATGACGGACGTACAACGGGCGTATGACGGACGTACAACGGGCGTATGACGGACGTACGACGGACGTATGACGGACGTACAACGGGCGTATGACGGACGTACGACGGACGCATGACAGACGTACAACAGACGCATGACGGACGTACGACAGACGCATGACGGACGTATGACGGACGTACGACAGACGCATGACGGACGTACGACAGACGCATGACGGACGTATGACGGACGTACGACAGACGCATGACGGACGTACAACAGACGCATGACGGACGTATGACGGACGTACGACAGACGCATGACGGACGTACGACAGACGTACGACAGACGCATGACGGACGTATGACAGACGCATGACGGACGTATGACAGACGCATGACGGACGTACAACGGACGTATGACGGGCGTATGACGGACGTATGACGGACGTACGACAGACGTACGACGGGCGTATGACGGACGTATGACGGACGTACGACAGACGCATGACGGACGTACGACAGACGCATGACGGACGTATGACGGACGTACGACAGACGCATGACGGACGTACAACAGACGCATGACGGACGTATGACGGACGTACGACAGACGCATGACGGACGTACGACAGACGTACGACAGACGCATGACGGACGTATGACAGACGCATGACGGACGTATGACAGACGCATGACGGACGTACAACGGACGTATGACGGGCGTATGACGGACGTATGACGGACGTACGACAGACGTACGACGGGCGTATGACGGACGTACGACGGACGTACGACAGACGCATGACGGACGTATGACGGACGTACGACAGACGCATGACGGACGTATGACGGACGTACGACAGAAGTATGACGGACGTACGACAGACGCATGACGGACGTACGACAGACGCATGACGGATGTACGACAGACACATGACGGACGTATGACGGACGTACGACAGACGCATGACGGACGTATGACGGACGTACGACAGACGCATGACGGACGTATGACGGACGTACGACAGAAGTATGACGGACGTACGACGGACGTACGACAGACGCATGACGGACAAATGACGGACGTACAACAGACGCATGACGGACGTATGACGGACGTACGACAGACGCATGACGGACGTATGACGGACGTACAACAGACGCATGACGGACGTATGACGGACGTACGACGACGACGACGAGCATGACGGACGCAACGGACGTACGACAGACGCATGACGGACGTATGACGGACGACGGGAGTACGACGGACGTACAACAGCTTGACGGACGTATGACGGACGTACGACAGACGCATGACGGACGTACGACAGACGCATGACGGACGCATGACGGACGTACGACAGACGCATGACGGACGTATGACGGACGTACGACAGAAGTATGACGGACGTACAACAGACGCATATGACGGACGTATGACGGCGTATGACGGACGTACAACGGGCATGACGGACGTATGACAGACGCATACGACGGACGTATGACGGACGTAGGACAGACGCATGACGGACGTATGACGGACGTACGACAGACGCATGACGGACGTACAACGGGCGTATGACGGACGTACAACGGGCGTATGACGGACGTACAACGGGCGTATGACGGACGTACAACGGGCGTATGACGGACGTACGACGGACGTATGACGGACGTACGACAGACGCATGACGGACGTATGACGGACGTACGACAGACGCATGACGGACGTACGACAGACGTATGACGGACGTACGACAGACGCATGACGGACGTACAACAGACGCATGACGGACGTATGACGGACGTACGACAGACGCATGACGGACGTACGACAGACGTACGACAGACGCATGACGGACGTATGACAGACGCATGACGGACGTATGACAGACGCATGACGGACGTATGACGGACGTACGACGGACGCATGACGGACGTATGACGGACGTATGACGGACGTACGACAGACGCACGACGGACGTACGACGGACGTACGACAGACGCATGACGGACGTATGACGGACGTACGACGGACGCATGACGGACGTACGACGGACGCATGACGGACGTATGACGGACGTACGATGGACGTATGACGGACGTACGACAGACGCATGACGGACAAACGACGGACGTACGACGACGCAGCGGACGTATGACGCATGACGGACGGACGTATGACGGACGTACAACAGACGCATGACGGACGTATGACGGACGTACGACAGACGCATGACGGACGTATGACGGACGTAACAGACGCATGACGGACGTATGACGGACGTACGACAGACGCATGACGGACGTATGACGGACGTACGACAGACGCATGACGGACGTATGACGGACGTACAACAGACGCATGACGGACGTATGACGGACGTACAACAGACGCATGACGGACGTATGACGGACGTACGACAGACGCATGACGGACGTATGACGGACGTACAACAGACGCATGACGGACGTATGACGGACGTACGACAGACGCATGACGGACGTATGACGGACGTACAACAGACGCATGACGGACGTATGACGGACGTACGACAGACGCATGACGGACGTATGACGAACGTACGACAGACGCATGACGGACGTATGACGGACGTACGACAGACGCATGACGGAGGTATGACGGACGTACAATAGACGCATGACGGACGTATGACGGACGTACGACGGACGTATGACGGACGTACGACAGACGTATGACGGACGTATGACGGACGTATGACGGACGACGGACGTATGACGGGCGTATGACGGACGTATGACGTGAAGCTGCGCCCAATTTAGGCCCCGACTCCACCGGGCGCGTAAAACGGACGACGGATCCGTCCAAACATGTCTGTTTCATCTCCGTCTCCGTTATCTCCATGAGGGTGAATGGAAGTGGCTCCACTGCCTCCAACAACCGTCTGACTGACGCACGTCGGACGTATTCCGTTAACGGAGGGTGCAACGGACGCGGACGGACGAAATAGAAACAATCCTATTTGTTCCATCGACGAGTGTCGGGTCCGTTTTCCATTGAAAATACAATGGAATAATATATTTACCACATTATTAAACATGTATTGATATATGCTGTAGTCCTTGGTTATAAGTATTTGTTAATGACAATGATTATTAACAAACGTGTGTAATTTTTTTCATGTATTAATTTAAATAATTGTTTCGTGATCGTAAATCTACCATTTATTTTTCGCCTAATGTTAATACGCTAAACTTTACGTACACCTCGCTCTTTTTTCTCTCGCTCTGTCCCGTCTACCTGCGAGGCGCTCTCTCCTCACACACACACGCACACGCACGCGCACGCGCACGCACACGCGCAGGAGCAGCAGGTTTTACACTGATCCTCAACAATGTTTTTTTTCATTCATAAAGTCTGGCGTCTGGCCAAACCAGCACAGAGACCATGAAGACAAACACATGTGATTTGTGTTGCTCTACATCAGTCGTCTGTACTGTCCTCTGCACTGCTCCACAGACTACACAGAGACAGCATCAGAGGCTGCAGACCTGCGCACACGGCCAGTGTAGATACACCCAAATAATGTTACGCACTGTTAACGCCTACTGTGTAAAGTAGCTGTTACAAATATGCAAAAGAACATGTTTTCTAATAAGATGAAGACAGCTGTTAGGACAAACAGCATGTGTTATTTATGAACAAACCCCCAGGCCCCGTACTTCTGAGATCCTCAAATCTGTTGTGATTTAGGGCTATACAAAATTATTTTAATCTGCAGGTGTGGCCTTAATGTTGATTGTGATTATTCTGTTCAAAACTTTACATTAAAGTATGGGTAAAAGTACCCATAGTACCATTAAAGTCACTTTCACCTCCTCTTTCCAAGTTTAGAAGTGTTTAAGAAGAGCTACCTCTCCAGCAAAGAAGACTTTCCCCTGTATATCTTCAGCCAGGATGTCATACGCCTCGCCGCTGCCCCCTGTCTTCACGTAACTGTATGACATCTGGGCCCACATGTCTCTGCTCCAATGTGTCACAAAGAACTTGAGAGGATCTGGGACTTCCTGAAAAAACAAAACCAGTTACAGTAAAGAAAGTACTGCCACAAGCTCACGTTAAAGATGGAGGAGAGCGCCACCTGTTCTTTGAAGAGCTCCCGGAGGATTTTCATACACATGTCAATCACCACTTTTTCATCCATTTCTCTGACCGCGGCCACAGCGTCTCCAGATATGATGGACATGAGCACAGCCTGCTTTCCCTGTGCATAGAAACAGAACATGGTTTACTCTACATGTAGTCTACAGGCTGCAGACTGAGCTGCAGTTATAGAGAGAATATAGAGACAGGCATCTGTGGCCAACAGATTAAGATTAATCTACTGCATCTTTGGTCCCACAGAGGAAATGTCAGTGTTGCATCAGCAGATGCAGAACAGTAGGAATGAGGAGCACACAGCAGAGAGTAAATGAATGAACACAGCTCTTTACTAAACTATAGTAAATAAAATATCATAAAAACATATATTTATTAGTTTTGTTGGATGTGTTTCTCCTGCAGGGATCAGTAAAGTGTAATTACTGCTCCTCTGCCTGCACACTGGGTTATTTAACTGAGTCTATTTTCATCAGAATTCTTAGTCTTTACAAAGTGCGTGACCTGAGGTTGTTTTTACACAGAGAGTTGTTTGTGTGTCGTTGTTGACAACTGTGTACTCGAGTAACATCAAATCTACATTTACAATTAAAAGATTGTTTATGTTCTGAACGAGTGAAAAGCCTAATAAGCCACGCCCACACTAGCCTGGTCGTACCACACCATAGTACTAACTACATTGAGCAGAGTGTACGGATGGCTCCGGCCACGCCCACACCGTTTTATTCTAAAAATAACACTAAACACAACAAGTCAATTCATGAAGCTCTGTGTTTTAAAGCTTGTTTGTGTAAATGTCTTTGACTTTAGCCCTAACAGTCTCTGTTGTTATTGATGACTCCCAAGAGCAGATTGTAGAGAAGCAAGTCTCTGGGTTTGACTCTGACCTGGAATGGGACAAAAACACCCTCAGGTCGTTAAGAAGCTCGTCAGTTTCTGTGGAAACTTAGAGATTTTTTTCTTGCTGCACCATCGTTGGTTCTTTCCACCAGCTGCTGTCAGTGTAAACGTTAATGATCTAACTTACTGAAACTGTTTTAGTTTGATCCATTTCACAACGATTCTTTTTTAGACAGTTTCATTTCTGTATTTGTAAATGTATTCCACTGTGGTTTTACTGCAGATGGCAAATAAATGAATCTGAATCTTTTTACCCGCCTGAACTCACGACTGCAGAGTTTTAATAAAATATTATAACTCTGGACAAATGTAGTTATTTAAGTACTTTTAACTCCTTTAATCCTAAACATGCTGTGGCCCTTAAACAGGATCTTGACTTTATTCACTGCTGTAAATGTTTTAACGAGTTTGAAGCAGACAGAGGTAAATCTCTGGATAATGAACCTGTGGATTCATGTCGTAGAAGACCCCAAACATCCCTCTGTGGTCGGGACTCGGGGGGATGTGACCAAAATAATCTGCTCCTTGGATTTTACTGTCCCAGAATCTGAAAGGGAACTGCAGAGCCACCTGGGAACATATGGAAGAATAATGATTACATCTTTAAAATACAGATCAAAAGAAATGTGGCGTTACCTTCTCTATGATGCCGGCTCCAAGGCTGTGGATGGCTTTCATTTTTCTTTCAGAAAGTGGAGGCTTGAAATGAATGTAGTTTTTCTGAAGCAACGTGAGTGGGATGCTCACCAAGACCTACGACAGAAAAGAGAAACAGATTTGAACGACATCAGTCAGAGTTAAATGAGAAGGAAACTTATTCTAACCAGTGACATTGTTATATTAAATGGACTGGACTTTAAAGGTTTGTGTTTTTAACCATGTTACAACATTGTTCCCTCATCAAAAACAGCTAGGCTTGTTTTTAGTTCAATCAACAAAAATATCAGAATCTTCTGGCACAACCATGTCCCCCCACCCCTTCTGTCTAAATGCTCCTGTCTCAAACCTGATACGCTGTGACGTATTCTTACATAATTATCATTTAAAAGCAACATATCCAACAATAGTTTGGAAATTTCACAGGTGAAAACACAAAAATACACTTTTACATATATATACATTTATATATTTCTAAAACAGAAAACCTTTTTGAAGGTGGCGAGGGAGATGCTTTTTCTTTGCTGGGATCTTAAATCAGTTTTAAATGATTAATCGTCTGTTTCCAGTCTGTATTGTTACCTTCTGTGCTGTCCACTGAGATCCATTGGTGGAAGTAACTTTGACCAGGTCTCCAGTGTAATCTATGGATTTAACCTGTGATGAAAAAATGAAATGATCACAAACTTGTCTTTACCTTTTCCAGACTTCACCTTTGCCCAAAACAGCCTACCGGACACTTGGTTCTGATGTCCAGGCCCTCGGCCAGTTTGTGCAGTAACACAGAGTAACCTTTGGTGAGAAGAGTGTGGTCTCCGGAGAACTGGGCAAAGAACTCGTTATGGTCCCAGGATCGAGCCGAGACCTACACGACCGAGATGCACGTTATTGACTGGATCCAAACCCACTGCTTTTACAGATGAATGATAATTACTATAAAGTACCATCCAGATTGCAGATATTGTTCAAAGTATACCATTGTCTGGTCAGTACAGTATGTGTATGTACCACTGCCAACTGCATAAATAAATGATATATATATTATATATAAGATCATATATTGTGATAACGTGTGAAGGACTTTGGAACGTGTTCATAAACAGTGCATATATAACGAAGTGGGTTTGGATTTGTTTGCTTTACATACAATTAATTTATTATAAATGAAGAGTTGATGAAACTATGAGCAGAGGTCCAGACCTGGCCCAGAGGACTCCCGCAGGCGAACTCCAGGTTACTGAGGTGAAACTGAAGAACCTTCTCCTCCAGATCACTGAACTGAACCCCAGACTCCTGCAGGAAGTTCTTCTTCACTTCTTGAACTTTTTCTTCAAGATAAAGGCAATTGGAATAAAATGCATTATGTAAACTTTTGAACCACAGAAAATGTAATAGAATAAATCTAACTCAATCCTCGCTCAGTTTGGTACAATCATCAGTTTTCACATCATTAGATCAGCTTTTTCAAACAGAACAGTGAAAAAGAGGACCAAGTTTGATTCGCCAATCAGCTCTCAGCCCAAAGGGTCAAATAGTGACACTTTCTCCAGCTTAACCAGGACAAAACTGAGGTTTTAGTCATCGGCCCTGAGGCCCAGAGAGAGAAACTTTTATCAAAACTCCAATCACACTCTTTTAATCCATCATCACAAGTGAGAAACCTGGGCGTAATCTTTGACTCTGAGCTGACTTTTATTCCTCACATCAAGAACATCACAAAAATAGGTTTTTATCATTTAAAGAACATCGCCAGAGTCCGCCCCATTCTCTCTCGGGGCAACACGGAGACGCTGATGCTTTTATCACCAGTCGCATTGACTACTGTAATGCCCTGCTCTCTGGTCTTCCCAAAAAGAACATTTCAGGTTTACAATTACTTCAAAACTCGGCCGCACGTGTCCTGACTAAGACCAGGGGGCGTGTCCTGACTAAGACCAGGGGGCGTGTCCTGACTAAGACCAGGGGGCGTGTCCTGACTAAGACCAGGGGGCGTGTCCTGACTAAGACCAGGGGGCGTGTCCTGACTAAGACCAGGGGGCGTGTCCTGACTAAGACCAGGGGGCGTGTCCTGACTAAGACCAGGGGGCGGGGCCTGACTAAGACCAGGGGGCGTGTCCTGACTAAGACCAGGGGGCGTGTCCTGACTAAGACCAGGGGGCGTGTCCTGACTAAGACCAGGGGGCGGGACTACATTACAGCGGTTTTAGAAGACGGTTGGGGTCCAAGCTGAACTCTACCTCCCAGTGGTGTGTCCTGGCTCTGAGACTTGTCCTTCCTCCACTCAGAAACCACGTCCAAAATGGCGTTAAAGTGAAAATCCATGCGTTTGTCGATGGACGGATCAGTGACCTGCCCCCCCTCCTGGAACAGGTCACAGCGGTCTCCCAGTTTATGCATCTTTATCCCCATCTGAAAACACACAACACAAACCTGTAATGTAAGAGCCAGTTTATGATTGTAGATGTTGTGTCGGTGAAGTTACCTGCTCACACATGAGCGCTATAGGGTTGTTGATGCAGCCGTTTACGATCTGAGCTCCGTGTCCGACAGTCACCCCCATGGAAGTGTTGTCCCAAACCCGGCCTCCGATCCTCTCCCTCGCCTCCAGCACCATCACCTGCAACAATAACAATAATAATTATAATAAAAATAATTATTATTGGGTCTAAAGGAGGACTTTTGGGGAACTGTGGTTTCTGAAAATGTGAGACAAGCCTCTAATGTGAGCGTGTTTAAATCCAGGTTATACACTAAACATTTCTGCTGTTTTTACAAATATTAATTTAATCTAAAGGTCGAGTACGTTTACAAAGCATCAAATCTATGTATACATAATAAATGTTAACCTCATAATAAATGTACAAATCTGAATGAACCGAGAATGAGCCTGAACCCATGGAGTCTAAAAGAGGATTGACAGAAGTACCTGTGTGCCAAAGTTGTGCAGTTGTCGTGCTGCCGCCAGCCCCGACGCTCCGGCTCCGATAATTATCACGTTTTTCTGCAAGTAAAAACATGCTTTTAATGAGATACAAATGATGCCTGCTTTTAATGCTGCGTTTGTATCGTTCTCAAACTCTGCCTCTGAGACAGATGAAAGAGGATGAAAGATGGTCAGACTTTGTGAAGCGCTTTGGGTCACTACACTCTGTAAAATGTACTATATAAATAAACTGACTTACTAACACAAGCTAACACTAGCACTAATATGTTCAGAGCACACTCAGAGGCGTTTTTAGTCAAAGAGCTGCAATGGTTCAAGATAAATGCCACACTGAGGCCACACTGAGGCCACACTGAGGCCACACTGAGGCCACACTGAGGCCACACTGAGCCCACACTGAGGCCACACTGAGGCCACACTGAGGCCACACTGAGGCCACACTGAGGCCACACTGAGGCCACACTGAGGCCACACTGAGGCTGGTCCCTCACTGCAGCTGACGCGCCTTTAACCAGAGGTGTTTTATAACTTACTGTAGCTACATCTTTCAAGTCGGAAAATGTTATGACCGTGGCATAGATACCCGTAGATTACAACAGCATATTCTTAACAGGAGTTGTCCATGTTGTAGGATTCTATTTTAATTGGAGGGAGAGAGGCATTTACTGAAGGAAATGTTGAAAAATAAAATGTTCATACATTTTCCCTGATCATTATTTGATCATGATTTTAATCCTAAACCTGCCATTTTATTCTGAAAGACACCTTTATGTGACGTTGTGAGTCATATGGCAAATGAAAAACAGTAAAGTTCAGCTGAGTGAGGTCTTACAGCGCGGTGTGTTTCCGGCAGCAGCGGCCGGGACACGGACAGCGCCCCGGTGTTGATGAGGCCTTTCCGGGTCATAAACTGAAGCACTCGGTCCATCTCCTGAACACAGCGGATTCTCACCAAACCTCGGACGATGACGTGCAGGGCGCATTTCTCACTCGTCAGCACCTCCTGCACACAAACGTTACACACACATTCACCGTTAATGTGTGTAGTCATGGATTTGAAGAACATTCCCCACTTTACTTTACTCACTTAGAGGTCACAAATGTCTACGTTACATCTTACGTCACTTGAATCATGAGCCACATGATTCACATTCATCTTAGACACAAAAACACAAGCCATTCTCAAAACATACTTTTTGGAAAATCACAATCATCTCAATCTAATCCTGGGGTGTCAAACCAGTCCTCAGAGGCCTGGCTGCAGGGTTTCATTCTAACCAAGCAGGAGCCGACCAGACTCCACACATTCCTTAAGTCAGTCCAGTCTTAAACCTGAAGACTTGAGGAAATGGGTGGAGTCTGGTCTGCTCCTGCTTGGTTAGAATGAAACCCTGCAGCCACACAGGCCTCTGAGGACTGGTTTGACACCCCAGGATTAGATCTACTCAGTCTAGTTTACAGAGATTACATTCAGTTTTTTCGTTTGTTCTGACGTAACAAACGTATAAAGTAAAACACATAATCATTATTTTGATGTTTTCTTCTGTAAGAAAGATCAGTCAAAGGAACTTGTTGATGTTTATTACACATGGAACAGAGTCAGATGCATTATTGTCCTTTACCTTACAGTTTCGGTGCCACAAAGCTAAGATCAGGTTTCTCAGAGCCAGGTACATCGTTGGGTCTCGGGAAAACTCAGGGAATTCATAAAGTTCGTCCAGCTCCATCATGTCCGGCCGCACGCACAGAGCTTTCCCACATTCGTTTGGCTGATAGAAGGGCTGGAAGTACGGACACAGACCTGGGACTGCGGAGAGACAGCAGAGAGACAGGAGAGAGACAGACAGCAGAGAGACAGCAGAGAGACAGCAGAGAGACAGCAGAGAGACAGGAGAGAGACAGGAGAGAGACAGCAGAGAGACAGCAGAGAGACAGCAGAGAGACAGCAGAGAGACAGGAGAGAGACAGGAGAGAGACAGCAGAGAGACAGGAGAGAGACAGGAGAGAGACAGCAGAGAGACAGGAGAGAGACAGCAGAGAGACAGCAGAGAGACAGGAGAGAGACAGCAGAGAGACAGCAGAGAGACAGCAGAGAGACAGCAGAGAGACAGCAGAGAGACAGCAGAGAGACAGGAGAGAGACAGGAGAGAGACAGGAGAGAGACAGGAGAGAGACAGCAGAGAGACAGCAGAGAGACAGCAGAGAGACAGCAGAGAGACAGGAGAGAGACAGGAGAGAGACAGCAGAGAGACAGCAGAGAGACAGAGAGAGACAGAGAGAGACAGCAGAGAGACAGGAGAGAGACAGGAGAGAGACAGGAGAGAGACAGCAGAGAGACAGCAGAGAGACAGCAGAGAGACAGCAGGCAGAGAGACAGCAGAGAGAGACAGCAGAGAGACAGGAGAGAGACAGGAGAGAGACAGGAGAGAGACAGGAGAGAGACAGGAGAGAGACAGGAGAGAGACAGCAGAGAGACAGAGAGAGACAGGAGAGAGACAGCAGAGAGACAGCAGAGAGACAGGAGAGAGACAGCAGAGAGACAGCAGAGAGACAGCAGAGAGACAGAGACAGAGAGAGACAGCAGAGAGACAGAGAGAGACAGCAGAGAGACAGCAGAGAGACAGAGAGAGACAGGAGAGACAGAGAGAGACAGGAGAGAGAAGACAGAGACAGAGAGAGACAGCAGAGAGACAGCAGAGAGACAGGAGAGAGACAGGAGAGAGACAGCAGAGAGACAGGAGAGAGACAGCAGAGAGACAGCAGAGAGACAGGAGAGAGACAGGAGAGAGACAGCAGAGAGACAGGAGAGAGAGACAGCAGAGAGACAGGAGAGAGACAGAGAGAGACAGCAGAGAGACAGGAGAGAGACAGAGAGACAGAGAGAGACAGGAGAGAGACAGGAGAGAGACAGGAGAGACGAGAGAGCAGGAGAGAGACAGCAGAGAGAGACAGCAGAGAGACAGGAGAGACAGAGAGAGACAGGAGAGAGACAGCAGAGAGACAGCAGAGAGACAGGAGAGAGACAGCAGAGAGACAGGAGAGAGACAGGAGAGAGACAGGAGAGAGACAGCAGAGAGACAGGAGAGAGACAGGAGAGAGACAGGAGAGAGACAGCAGAGAGACAGCAGAGAGACAGACAGCAGAGAGAGACAGCAGAGAGACAGGAGAGAGACAGCAGAGAGACAGGAGAGAGACAGGAGAGAGACAGGAGAAAGACAGGAGAGAGACAGCAGAGAGACAGGAGAGAGACAGGAGAGAGACAGGAGAGAGACAGGAGAGAGACAGGAGAGAGACAGGAGAGAGACAGGAGAGAGACAGGAGAGAGACAGGAGAGAGACAGCAGAGAGACAGGAGAGAGACAGACAGCAGAGAGAGACAGCAGAGAGACAGGAGAGAGACAGCAGAGAGACAGGAGAGAGACAGCAGAGAGACAGACAGCAGAGAGACAGGAGAGAGACAGACAGCAGAGAGAGACAGCAGAGAGACAGACAGCAGAGAGACAGGAGAGAGACAGCAGAGACAGCAGAGAGACAGACAGCAGAGAGACAGGAGAGAGACAGACAGCAGAGAGAGACAGCAGAGAGACACAGCAGAGAGACAGCAGAGAGACAGACAGCAGAGAGACAGACAGCAGAGAGACAGACAGCAGAGAGATAGGAGAGAGAGAGACAGCAGAGAGACAGACAGCAGAGAGACAGCAGAGACAGCAGAGAGAGAGAGACAGCAGAGAGACAGACAGCAGAGAGACAGGAGAGAGACAGCAGAGAGACAGGAGAGAGACAGCAGAGAGACAGACAGCAGAGAGACAGCAGAGAGACAGCAGAGAGAGAGAGACAGCAGAGAGACAGGAGAGAGACAGGAGAGAGACAGCAGAGAGAGAGAGACAGCAGAGAGACAGGAGAGAGATAGCAGAGAGAGAGAGACAGCAGAGAGACAGGAGAGAGACAGCAGAGAGAGAGAGACAGGAGAGAGACAGCAGAGAGACAGGAGAGAGACAGCAGAGAGAGAGAGACAGCAGAGAGACAGCAGAGAGAGAGACCAAAAAGAGAGCAGAGACAGCAGAGAGAGACAGCCGAGAGACAGCAGAGAGTGACAGCAGAGAGGGAGAGAGAGAGCAGAGAGAGAGACCAAAGAGAGAGCAGAGAGACAGCAGAGAGACAGACAGCAGAGAGACAGCAGAGAGACAGACAGCAGAGAGACAGCAGAGACAGACAGCAGAGAGACAGCAGAGAGTGACAGCAGAGAGGGAGAGAGAGAGCAGAGAGAGAGAGCAGAGACAGTGGTTTAGTAGTGAGCCTCTCCAATGGTCTAAACACTGTTTAGCTTTAAGCTTCTAGATTTGTTTACCGTTATTCTAACAAGAACACAAATCGCTAAAGGTACAGAATATCAATGAGTCATGTCGAGTCCAACCCAATACTGAACATGACTAAATCCAGAACAACTCGGTAAATACAAATACTATACAATTGTAGGACACTGAGGTTGATACACTTGAAAACAAGATTTAAACATTGGCTCCCTATTTAAGAGGATTTTATAAAGCTAATAATTTAACTTTGTGGTTTGGCATGGGCTAATGTCACATATTAGTAGTTTGTCTAATTTACACAATAGTTATGGCCAGAAATATGAGACCAGGCTTTTTGTTTGTCTGAAAGCTCTCAGTATGTACAAGATCAAATGTTTTCTAAAAAGATAAGGGCAGCATGTTGTGGTCTGATTTGAATAATGTGTTACTTAAAGAAGACTCTTTCTGTTCTGTTGGAAAAACAACAAATGTATTTATGAAACCAAAAGAAGGTTAGGTAGAACGATATTTAAATAGTAATTGTGGATAACTGGTCAGATGGTTTGTGGACTCACTCTGAGGCTGAGCAGTGCGACAGTGCTCTGCCCTCAGCTCAGACGCAGAGGATCCAGCCGGACTCATGCCCACACAGTCTGGGTAGTACGCAGCCAGGAACGGACCGGCCGGACTGTCTTTGAACAGAGGGGGCAAGATCAGCATCGACTGCCACCAGCTCTCAGCCACCTCGGCCACTCTCTACAAACAGGAAGCAAAGGTTAGGGTTAGGGTGAGTGAATAAACATCTGTGTCGTGTTCAGAAATGTACGGCTTAACAACAGATACAGTATAAATCATTCTAATATTGTCAATGAACTCACCATGTCTTCAAGTTGAGAGCAATGGTCTGCCCCTTCAGTCTTAGATAAAAACATTACGATTAGTAACAGGCCTTTTCATGCTTTTAAATAAAGAATGTTTACCTTCACGTTGTTAAACTTCATCCCACAGCGGAACGACCCCCCCAGAGAAGCTGTGAGCTGGATTTCTTTGGTCAGCTGACGCCACTTCCTACAGTCTGGCTTTGTGCACTGAATCTGAAACATATCATTTACAATATTGTACCGTGTCATTGGAGATCTATACAAACAGTTCATGATTTATTTGGACAACATGACGGACTGAACTCACCCAGAACGGGAGTTGCTGGTCAGCCATGAAAGCTTTGAGACTGGGTTCACTTTTGCCATTACTGGTCCAGACCTTTTTCCACGCAGCATAAGTCTCATAGCCATCTTTGTGACTAGAAAGAGGACACGAATTGTACAATTTCAATATTTTATTTATTTATTTATTCATTTATTTGACAGGGACAATGTAGTCATACATAGTTACATTATGAAAATGCAGCTGATGCGACACATACAGGGTGTATAGCTAATGCTAATGTTCAACTCCTGTCCCTGGTTGAGCTTTTCCCTACAGTGCAACACATTATACAGAATGAATAAAATAGGCCTAGCCCTAAAACACATATTTACAACAGTGATCTAAAATTAAGACATTCCCCCGACCAATAACAGCCATATGGACAAAATATTCACAAACGAGAACACTCACACACACACACTCACGTACACACACACTCACACACACACAAAATACTGTTTACAGGTTTAGAAATGGGTGCATGATTGGTTTGTTTTCAGCCACAGCTTGAAGATTCTTCTTCCATAGCTTCTGACAGTCCCAATAGTAACAGTGGTTCACCTTGTTATCATTCAGGCAAGTTTAGCTCAACTGTGGCAGACGACTGACATAAGTAATGATAAAGAGAGACTTGCCTTCTGTAGTAGTGATCAAAACACTCGTTGCAGAAGTGTTCCCCACACGACAGATGATACCAGCGAGATGTGTATCCGTTTTTAGCACACCTACAAAATATCATTGTTATCATTATTATTATTATTAGTATTGGCCTGAGGTGTTGTTGGCAAAATGTTGAGATACCTTTCTGATGCACTTGCGAAACAGACGGGATACGTGGCGGAGCAGCCAGACTTCTCACACCTCCTGTACTTCTTCTCTGACTGATCGTCCTCCTCCTCTGTGTCTGTGGCTTTTCTTTTCATCTGGATTCAAACGGCCAAAACATTAAATCACTTTAGAGACAAGCAATATACACATGCAAGAAATATGTAATAAAATATGATTCATATTTTAGGTAATCAGGTGCAATGCTTCAATTTGCTTCTGTTGCTGACACCGTTAAATTAAAAAAAGAAAAACGTTTACGGTAAACTTTATTAGCAATAATAGATTATACACTACAATACGTAATATTTTTGCTTCTTGTAATAAATATTTAATAATAGGTTCTCACCACATCTGGACCTTTCAAGAAGGATAACGTTCACTGCCTGCAATGTTAGTACTTCTAATATAGATATTTGTACTGTTAAGTTACATAATTATGAAGACAAACAAGTGGATTATCCTTTACAATGACTTACTGCACTTTCCATTGCAGTAAAAATCATATTACTCTGAAAGTATTATTAATTTGCTGGTGCCACAGTAGAACCAGCAGAGGCTAGTTAGTTACCTGTCCTGGTGTAGGAGGATTGCTGGTGCGTTTGACCCGGGCGTTCATCTGTCGTCCTGCCGAGCGAGATCCTTCTCCAGGTGAGTCCCCAGAGCTCCTCTTTCGAACCCGACGGGATCCAGATGCATTCCCCGAGTAGTCTGAAATATCACAGAACAGGACTCTTATGATTGAAGATACACCCTCCATGTAGTAGTGAGCACTAACCCTGTCCCGAAAGGAGAATTATGGAGAAAGGGATGATTAACAACTGTTTAAAGTGTGTTTTTCTGGATATGTGTAGAATTTGGTGACATTTAACCATATGGGAAGGTAGATACACGACTTTTGCAAGATAAATTAAGCACATCTCTTTGCACGTTATAGCCACTGTATATTATTACAGCAGACTGGACCAGGGTTTCAGCTGAGAGACCAGACTGACCATTCATAAGTCCACCCAGCCATTTAAATGTTCTTATGGCAATCTGACACCGAACATATGAATCTAATATCTTACCAAATGTGCAGTGTGTACAAACATATATATAAACTAAAGCATTCAGAGTAACCAGGTTGCAGCTATACACACATGCCTGGCTAAAGCTATTGTCTAATAATAAAGGGTTCTGTTGGTCACATATGTCGCCTGACCTACTTAACCAAACACAAGACACCTGAAAGCAGAACCTAGTGACTTGAAAGTTAATCATTCAGTTTAGATAATAACGTAAGCTGAGGAAAGAAAACATCAGTCATAAAGCAAAAACACAACAACAGTCTCTTTAAAGCAGCTAACTGTCAGAGCAGCACGTACAGGACGTCGGCCGTTGACGCAGCCGTTGACGCAGCCGTTGACGCAGCCGTCACTGACCTGCGTCCGAGAGCATTGGTTACACCCGGGCCCAGGTTCAAGCAGGATTTACACCCTCTTTTCAATTCTGTGTTAAAATGTGCAGTATCTGGAGACCTTTTATTGTTGTGGGTGAAATCAATGCGACGACATGGAATAGAAACCACTTCCTGTTTTAAAAGGAAGAAGGCGTTTCGCGTTTGTCACACTTTTGACCCACGTCGCTTTCTGTAATTCAGTTTATCTTTTTCCCAACACAGCGATACATAACCTTTGTCTTTCTGCATTAGTGACTATACTACATACTGTGGATTAATTATTTATTTTTATAATTATTTTTATTCATTTAATTAGGTTTAGGAATATTTATTTTAGCTGAGGTTTCGCCCGGAGACTATAGCGCAGTCCTGATTGGGAGAAAATACGCCGTGTCTCAGTAGTACATCTGTTACCGTGGCAACGACAGAACGCATATGGACTTTGACAACAACAGCAGATAAATGTGAGAAGCTTTGAAACTCTTTCTTCCGCTTTTTGTCGACTTTCGAGTTTTTTTATTTTGCTTATAAAATTCAAACTTTAGTGTGTGGAATGCAGTCATAGAATCTGTTTTGTTTTTATAGATAAATGTAAGGTTAGTACTGGCACTTTTGGTGCATCAGAAATAAAACAAATGGATTCAGAAAAACTGCTTCCAAGGAGAAAACCAGAATTCCCCACAATCAAGTCAGCACCAAGTAACAGAAAACAACTCGAGGTAAGGTCCTTTTTTTGATTTTTTACTCATATTTCAAGATTGAGGATTAGCAAGAGCTAGCTAACTGATCTATAACTAGCTGTAAATATATTAATATTGTTTTCTTGTAGGTCAGTGCTAGAAATATTGAACTGCGTAAAGTAATTTGTCTTCTCCGAGACCCCTCAACAGTAAGTAAAACTTTTGTACTGACTTTCTCATTATTACGAAGTTGTAATCAAACCACATCTGTTTTTAGGTTCATTTGAAGGAGAGGCATCTCTTTGTTTTGAAGAAAATACTGTCAAGAAATCCTCATGGCTTTGTATCCTTTTTAAACTAATGCATGTGTTTATAATTATTAACCTTATCAAATCTGGCTCTTTATATTACCTTTTCAGAAATATGTATTATTAATGACAGCTGTCTGGGTTTATTATTTCTATCTTGTTTTGACACGGCAAGTGAGGTGACTGCTCTTAATTATCATCTATTTCCCAGTGGTTGTCCCCAAGCAGTGTCATGGAAATATACGTGTTCTCTCTCACTGCGATCACAGAGGCACCATTCCCACAGCTCCAATTTAGACCTGACGCGACTCTCAGCAGTTTTTATGTTCAGAAATAACCTCAGTTTTGATGACAACACTTCTGGCCTCTCCATGGGATTCATGTATTATTATTATTATTGATAACAACAGACCTGAGAATTTCTCCTGAACTATTTTAAGCTTTTGAAAGACCTGAAAGGACTGGCCAGCATATTTGACATATGTGCAGAGAAATCGAAAGAAGATCCAGATTATCTGCCTTTCTTGTGTGAGGCAATTAAATTATGCAGGTAATTTCATAGTATGGTCCACTCACAACTAAAGCCATAAGATAAATGCTTGTTTCATGATTCTACAGGTTTCCCTTTTTAAAGGAGAGGGCCTCAGATGAACCGAACTATGCCAAAGACGTCGTGCATTTTTTGTCTCAAGTCGGTAAGTTATTGCTGCACTTTTCACTCACTGATTGAAATAGTGGTGTGGGTCTTTAGTTAAATATGTCTTTCCTCTTACAGGTTATTTGATGCGAGTGCCGTGTCCAGAAGTGAAAGAGAACATCATTGAGTGTGTGAAGTCCTTCTATCAGTGCGTTTCTCCACAGCCGCTGCCTGATGGTACGCAGTGGACACACAGGACCAGGCCTTTCCTCTCTGAGAGTCGATTTTCTAAACTGCACCTAAGTGAGACTCTGTGGCTCCTGTGGTGGTGCAGTGGTGCTTTGGTGTCGTCTGGTTTTGTATCAGTGGTTATGACCAAAGAAAATACATTTGTATCACTATTACAACAGTCCTAATGTTTCATATGTGTTTAAGAACGGAGGAATACTGCAGTATATTCTTCATTGTCCTCTTGCTTTTGCCAGGACCTCAGCCCACGTCTCCAGGATACAGGCTTCAGCTGCTGGAGCAAAGTGACCTGTCCCAAACACTGGTGTTGGCTTTAGCAGCTGTGGACCATCGGCCCAACATCAAACTCCAGCTGCTGCAGACTCTCAAGCTGCTCTCCAGCTCCTCCGGTCAGTCTCCACTGAATGAACAAACAGGCTGTAGAGAGCTGGAGAAGTCAGAGACATTTAGGTTCCACTATTTTCTAACATGTTGACCAAGCATTGCTTTTAAAGATTGGAATATTTAAAGTGAGTCTGTTGTAAAGAGCAAACAGGAACCTGGACTTTTAACTAAATCATCAACATTTGTGATTGGCACAACAAAGAGAAATCTGTGTTCAGCCTGAAGAGGATAATCAAGGCCACAACAAACTGCAGCTGCTTAATGGTCCTAAAAGGCTCAGGAGCTCCTCCCGCCAGACTTTATTATAGAGAGGTTTAAGGGGAAAAGGATCTAAATATGGACTTCAGAAACATGGTGACGTATTTAAAACTAGTGGAACCGCCCTGTTTGTTGTTGATTAATAAAAGTATCTGAAGAACATAATGGTTTAAGCCTCCTTGAGTCAAAGTCAATGGGTTTGTCCTTAATTACATGTTATATTTTTGACAGACTTGACCTGTGGCTTCATGCTGAAAGCCCAGGGAGCAGAGAGCATCTGTCTCCACATGAACGAACCCGACTCTTTCGGCCGTGTCCTTTTTCATTCCACGGAAATCCTCTGGAACCTGCTCGAGAGCGGGAACAAGCACCAGGTCGTGGCTCAGCTCAGCTCCATCGAGTGCCTCGTGTATGTGCAGTAATATCATTCATTTATGCACTGTATTGATTCATGGCTCTCTAGAAGTAGTCAGCACAGAAAACCTTTTATTTTTTTGTGTTATTCGCTTTCTGTCAGTTTATGATAATTACACACATAAACCCAAATAAAAAAGTGATATATGTATTTGTCAAGCACTTTTGGATAACACAATAACACAGAGAAAAAGAATGACAGAGGAAATGAATAAAAAGGCTTAGGTCAAGAATATATCAGTGGTGAAAACAAACAAGTATATTTGTCCTGCAGATCTCTGAAAGAGGCGTTCCTGCAGCAGCTGCTGACGGCCGTCGACAGTTCAGAGCTGAGACTGAGGAACGATCTCCTCGTCCTCACTTCTCTCATCTCTGAGAACGGAAACACTTTACTCATCGTGAGTTTATCTGAATCTGAGATAAAGAAATAAATACATTTATCTGTGTTTGTTTTGTTCCTCAGGAGAGTTTGTTTGCAAAACTCCTCACGTCTTTGTCCACGTACCCAGAATGTAGGTACCAGGCTGTCTCAACATTCGTTCAAAGGTGTTTAAAGGAAAGTTTCTTCCTCTGTGTGTTTTAGTAAAACCCACCAATCATCTCCTCACCAACCTAAACCTGAGCTGCTCACGTGAAGACCTGAAAATGAAGAAGATGCTTTTAAACCTTTTGTGCTTGATGTCGGTCGATGCGGCTGTTTTGCAGGTAATGTTTTCAAAGATGCACAAATGTTGAACGTTTTTGACCCCTAAACTCACACAAAAATACAAGAAAAAATGATATACCTTAGTTATACTTTTAATAATGATATTGATGCATCAGTTTTATAAAGCGCTTTTCTGAACACTCAGAGACGCTTCACATGTCATTATTTTCTCTCTCCAAACACTGTGGTGATAAACTACTGCTGTAGCCACAGCTGCCCTGGGGCAGACTGACAGAAGAGAGGCAACCAGTCTGTGCCATCGGCTTAGACCCTGTAGATCACACATTAGAAAAAAATAATGTATGGAAATATTTTCCATAACTTGTAAAGTATGTAAAATCTTGATTTGATTCATAAACCTTTGTGTGAACTAATAGAACCATTCATTTTGTTATTTCATGAATGTGAAAGTCTAAAGGCCATCAGGGCCTGACAGACACAACATCATTGTGTGTTCAAATCAAGAAAATAACACTTCCTTGAAGCACTGGTTAAAGTAAAGTGCACGGCTGTAAACAAACACATCGACAACTCTCTTGGTTTTGTCTTGAAGCTTTACAGAGAAGAGAACGTGGTCCTGGCTCTGCTGCTCCTCACCAAACCTGCAGCCGCCCGTGGTCCTCGTCCTCTGTCTGGGTCTCGGAGCTGGTCTCTGGTCCAGACTCAGGACCTGCAGCTGGAGGCTCTGCAGACTCTGTGCTGCGTGGCTCCTCTGCTGCTGGACGACTATCTGTCCTGCCACGGAAACACCTTCGTGCTGCGACTGTTGGACTGGTGCATTCAGCAAGGTCAGTGTCAAAACCTTCATGATTATTGTGACGTATTCAGTCTGTTTGAGCACAAACAACCTCAAGCTTTGGCGTTCCCCGTTCTCAAAGTCTATTCCTCACTAACAGATCAGAGAATCAAGAAGTTCAAACACAGATCATTTAATAATGACAAATACATAGTAGCCTTTGGTCCATAAATGTGAGAAAATGTTAATAAATGTTGGAACAATCCAAATAACCCAAATGCAAAAATCCCTGCCACAAGAATCTATGGAGAAAATGAAATATGCTTTTTGTTTTGGCGTCTAGAACATCTTTAGATCAGCTTTTTCAAACTGGTGAATATATATGGTGATAACTGTTGGTCCAATCAGCTCAAAAGAGGAAGAAAGAACCATCTGTGTCTGACCTGTTCTCAGACCGAGAGGATCTGTGGAGGAAACACAAACAATGAGAGGAACAGATTTGAGGAGTTTTGTAATTTTAGCAAAAAGATGCAGTGATTTAATTAAATATTGATAAATATTATTGCAACAACTTACTTTTGTGTTTTTGTTGTTTCTCTTTTACATAGATCTTATAGTAAGAGTGTGAAGTGAGACAGGAACCTAAATATGAATAAATATGGATGAATAAGTAATATTATATATATATTATATTCTGTATTTCAACAATAATAATAATTACTAACTATACTTTTGTTATAATATGAATAAACTGTTACTGTGTGTGTGTGTGTGTGTGTGTGTGTGTGTAGAGTCTGGTGGAGGCTTCAGTGTTAGTGGAGACGACTTCAGAAAGAGTGTGATGCTGCGGTGCGTCCGACTCCTCACAACAGTCACGTCTGTGGGAGAAGAAGCCGTCAGTCAGGACCTGTGCGACCAGGGCGCCATCGGAGACCTGCTGGGTAAGAGGCCGTCAGTCAGGACCTGTGCGATCAGGGCGCCATCGGAGACCTGCTGGGTAAGAGGCCGTCAGTCAGGACCTGTGCGACCAGGGCGCCATCGGAGACCTGCTGGGTAAGAGGCCGTCAGTCAGGACCTGTGCGATCAGGGCGCCATCGGAGACCTGCTGGGTAAGAGGCCGTCAGTCAGGACCTGTGCGATCAGGGCGCCATCGGAGACCTGCTGGGTAAGAGGCCGTCAGTCAGGACCTGTGCAACCAGGGCGCCATCGGAGACCTGCTGGGTAAGAGGCCGTCAGTCAGGACCTGTGCGACCAGGGCGCCATCGGAGACCTGCTGGGTAAGAGGCCGTCAGTCAGGACCTGTGCGACCAGGGCGCCATCGGAGACCTGCTGGGTAAGAGGCCGTCAGTCAGGACCTGTGGTGCTGGGTACCACTGTAGTACAAATACAACACTTTAGAACGTTCAATACGGCAGGTTTTTATGATTCTCTTTTTCTGTGACAACTGCTACTTCTCTTTTAGAGCAGCTTTGGTCCAACATACAGGATGATTATACCTATTACCTCAGACTTAGGTCGTAATCATTTCCCTAGAACAGCTTTTGACACAATTAAAAACACATTTGATAGTATTACATCCACATTTACCGAAGGAGGTGGTAGATTGTGACACAACTGGCTTGTTTTTAAAGATCGCTTGAGTTTGTGTCTAAGACCAGCTCAGTCCAAGGTCAGTTTAAGCCTTAAATAGTTCCAGAGCTTTGCCCCTGAACAGAGTGTGGTTCTCCTGAACAGAGTGTGGTTCTCCTGAACTGAGTGTGGTCCTCCTGAACAGAGTGTGGTTCTCCTGAACACAGTGTGGTTCTCCTGAACAGAGTGTGGTTCTCCTGAACAGAGTGTGGTTCTCCCGAACAGAGTGTGGTCCTCCTGAACAGAGTGTGGTTCTCCTGAACAGAGTGTGGTTCTCCCGAACAGAGTGTGGTTCTCCCGAACAGAGTGTGGTTCTCCCGAACAGAGTGTGGTTCTCCTGAACAGAGTGTGGTTCTCCCGAACAGAGTGTGGTTCTCCCGAACAGAGTGTGGTTCTCCTGAGCAGAGTGTGGTTCTCCTGAGCAGAGTGTGGTCCTCCTGAACAGAGTGTGGTCCTCCTGAACAGAGTGTGGTTCTCCTGAGCAGAGTGTGGTTCTCCTGAGCAGAGTTTGGTTCTCCTGAGCAGAGTGTGGTTCTCCTGAGCAGAGTGTGGTTCTCCCGAACAGAGTGTGGTCCTCCTGAGCAGAGTGTGGTCCTCCTGAACAGAGTGTGGTTCTCCTGAACAGAGTGTGGTTCTCCTGAGCAGAGTGTGGTCCTCCTGAACAGAGTTTGGTTCTCCTGAACAGAGTGTGGTTCTCCTGAACAGAGTTTGGTTCTCCCGAACAGAGTGTGGTTCTCCTGAGCAGAGTGTGGTTCTCCTGAACAGAGTGTGGTTCTCCTGAACAGAGTGTGGTTCTCCCGAACAGAGTGTGGTCCTCCTGAGCAGAGTGTGGTTCTCCTGAGCAGAGTGTGGTTCTCCTGAACAGAGTTTGGCTCTCCTGAGGGTACTTTCACACTTCCACTGGAGGAGCCTTGTGTGACCCACAGCCTCAGAGGAACTGTGAGAGCCATCAGGACAGCAGGGGGCGCCACTGTGCAGACATTCTCACAATCATTTGCATCTACATTATCAAAACTAATAAAACGGTGTGTTCCTATGAGCGCAGTGCAGGGCTCTGCTGTATATCATTCTCCCTGGTTTGATGGTTTACTCTGTGGCCTGAAACCAGCAGCTGATCCAGGAACTGATCTGAGAATGAACCGTGACGTGTAGAAAGATCTGTGATATGTTAAAGGAGGTCCAAACCTGTCACACACTTACTGTTATAAGAAATCAGAAGTCTGACTCTCCAGTCGGACAGCTGATATGAAACATGACCATGAAAGAGGATTTTACTGAAAACTGCTGAATCTGAATGATATTTTCAATTAGAATTTGAAAAAGCTTGTGCCTAATGTGACTTCCACTTCCACCTCCAGGAGTTTTGATGCAAATGGAGGCGAGTTCTGGCGAAGACGATGCTGTGTCTGTGGAGATGAAGTCAGGCCTGCAGCTCATCCTCTGTGCTCTGTGTGACTCGGACATGCACAGGAAGGTAACGCTGCTGCTGCTGCTGCTGCTGCTGCTGATACTGCTGCTACTGCTGCTGCTGCTGATGCTGATGCTGCTGCTGCTGCTGCTGCTGCTGCTGCTGCTGCTGATACTGCTGCTACTGCTGCTGCTGCTGCTGCTGCTGCTGCTGCTGCTGATACTGCTGCTACTGCTGCTGCTGCTGCTGCTGATGCTGATGCTGCTGCTGCTGCTGCTGCTACTGCTGCTGCTGCTGCTGCTGCTGCTGCTGCTACTGCTGCTGCTGCTGCTGCTGCTACTGCTCCACTAGACTACAGCTCACCACAGTCTTCTGCCTCCACATCCACAGGAGCTGTTTGGGTCTGAAGGAGTAGAAATGGTCATTCACTTCTTGAAAAAGCGAGGAGAGGGGTTTTACAGTGGACTGGGACACAACAAGCTGCTCCTCTCCATCGTGGACTGTGTCTGGTCAGTACAGGCCCAAGAGTAAATACTAACCTTCAGATATTTACTGATGTTTTCACCAGAACTTAACCCACTTCACTTCTGTCTCAGGTCTTGTATCGTTGGCTGCTACACAACAGAAGATTTCTTTTTGGCTAAAGAAGGAGTTTGTCTTCTGCTCGATCTTCTCTGCGTATGTAATGTTTTATGTTTTATTACTCATGTTAAACTGTACTAGTTTTACACCTGATACTGTAAGTTTAAAGTAGGGTCTTGAATCAGACTTTGCGGACTACATCGATGACATTGACTGTGAGACTGTCAAGTGGCAGCTTGTGAGTGTAAAAATGTGGACTTGAATCAGGAACTATACAAGAAGAAGAAGGAATCCTCAGTTGATCACATCCAAACTGACGTCTATAAAAATAACAATGTATTGGTTTTAAAAAGAGCATTTTTTGGAAAGGCATCAATCATTCACTCACACGCACACACAGACACACACACACACACACATACATACACGTTTGTGTTACCTGGTGGGTCCCTTTGACAGGGCCGTTCAGAATGGGACCCATAGACATAATCTTTTTTTACTGGGACTACTTTAAGTAATACAAAACAGTCAATAGAAAACAAACAACTCTTTTAAAGGAATTTTATTTTTGATTTTTTTTTCGAATTGCAGTGATTCTATTTTTGACATAGAATTTAATGCCACTCCATGTCCGATGTCTAAGGTCATCTGGTGAGGCATTAATGCAGGCCAGGCCAGGCCAGGCCAGGCAGTGAGACTTCCCAGGGACCTTTCCAGTCTGTATGAAAGGTGTCATGGTCTTCTCCACAGCCTTCACCTCAGATGCAGACCATGGCTTTCTTACACGTTCTAGGGAGAGAAATAAAAATATATTAGCAATATACACTCCCAGGGTGAGGACCAAGCAGCCTGGCTGTAATCCCCCACCTGGTACACTTACCAGAAGGGGCACTGCCACTACCATGGGGTGCATCTGGATGAATGGTTGAAGGTTCTCCGCTTGAAGTTTCTTTTAGCCCGTCCGTTTGTGAGAGGATCTCTACTGCTCTCCCTGTCGCACAGAAAATAAAAATACAAGTGGCCTTTAGGGGAAAAAAATCATACATATTTTAATAATATCAAGAATTACCTTCAGGCTCAATTTGTATCTGGTCGAGGCTCTTTCCTTCGAATTCCGTCACTCTTCCCTGCTCCATGGCCATCAACACTTTGCTGATTTTGGCCAGCTCCAGTGTCCCCTCTGGTAGTCTGTAATATTGTCTGTGGATGCGAATGTCATGGCCGAGGAAGTTGGCTAGTATGTCCATTTCATTCTCTTTCATATTGAGAACTGTAGACATAGTAGCTATGTGCTTTCTAAGTTTGGTTGAGGATAGCATCTCTGGATGCACCGCACCACATTCTTTGGCTACCTGGCGTAGGGAGTCTGATCCCCTGATGTGGGTGTCTGCGCCCGGGCGGGAAAAGAAGTATGGGTTATGGTCAGAGATGGAACAGGCCCTTCTGTTCTCCACCAGCACCTCCATCGAAGCAATCATTTCAGGAGTCAAAAGAACCGGCACTTTCCGACTTCTTTTCCCTTTAATTTCAATGCGTTGAAAATGCTGACACAGCTTTTTCTCAAGTTGGGACAGTCCCAGAGCAATGTCAGAATGGATCCCAGTCTTACTTCTTAAGGTAAAGGCTGTCAGTGGCATCTTTGAAACCTCACCTTCCCTTCTTCGATTGAAAATGATGACCTCACAAAGAGTCAAAACTGCCAGTTTAGACCAATGCTTAGACGTTGGCTCACTTATTAGGGTTTGCACATATTCAGGTCGACATACCTCAATATGTGCATGCATGGCTCTAACGTCCTCAGTCAGAGGGAGCAGGTCCGGAGTGTTCCACTTGGCTTGCCGGAGGGTCTGTAGGGCAGCAGAAGAAACACAGACGTCCCACCTCTTCTCAAAAAGCAGCCGGCTTCGTTGGAGGTTTTTAATAAATAGTTCATCAACACAATGCTCCATTTTTGAGTCACATTCAAGAATATCTGCTAGCTTTCTGAGGCTATGGCCGAGTTTGAGGGCCAAGGATGGAGTCTTGTATTGATTTGTTTCCTCATCATATCCAGCCACAGACCTGACTGCATCAATCACATGGTTAAAGTTGGAAGGAATAAAGAAATCCTTCATTGTTTTCAGTTTCCCTGCGGTTTTTGCTTCGTTAATTAACCTACCGACTTCTCTCATTTTCTGCCTAATGTAATCATGCTTAGTCTTATCATGCCCGTGTTTTAAGTACAGGTGCTCTCCGAGTCTCAGAATCCCCTTTTCTGCTTTGACAACACCCGTGACCTCATCCTGATGCATTGCCGAAATTAAAGACCACAGCTTTTTGCTGATGCCCTCCGGTACAGGCTGGGCTAGGGAGCAGAGGGACTGGACCCTACTTCTACCTGGTTTAGCCTGGTTTAGCCTGGGCATCTTTCTGTGAAAGCCGGCACCTGGCCACATGCCTCCACAGCCACTTTCGCTTAAGCAATGCCCCACAGTCTATACAGTGCAAAAACTCACTGGATTTAACTGGGGAATTTGGCTGTTTAGCTGGGACTAAAGTTCCAATGCCGGCCTTTAAAACCTCAACATTGTGCTCACGGTTTCCACTATTCCTGATCAAATCAAACTGAAGTTTACGTGCTTTAGATTTCACAGGTAGAGCCAATGCTCTGGCTACGTCACTTTCATTTCCATGTTTTCTAGTCAAATGACGGGACATTTTGTGGCAGGACATTGAACAGTCGACTTCTGAGTGGAGTTTGCATGTTCTCCCCGTGTCTGCGTAGGTTTCCTCCGGGTACTCCGGTTTCCCCTACCACTAAAAATATGTACAATAGGTCTAGCATGCGCCTCCTGTACTGGCGACCCCGCTCCCATCTCTGTGTGGAGTGAGAGGACAAGTGCCCAAAAAATAATAACAATTGTAAACCGCTTTGCGACCCTTGTCTGTGAAAGGCGGTATATAAATAAACATTACTTACTTACTTACTTACTTACAGTAGAGGCAGAAGTGTCTCTTGCTGTAAACTCGCCCCCCATTTTTCTTCTTTTGCAGCTGCATGATAACAATCTTATTTGCCTTTGGTTCGTCACTTTCCGAGTCTTGAAGAAAAGTGTTTTTGATTTTTCTTTAATTAGGGACTCTTGACTAAGCTGCACAAACAACAAATAATTTGTAATAATTCTATATAACAATTTGAAGTCATGACTTGTAGTCAGCACTTACCAGTGGTTTGTAAGCGTGCGCTTCAGTGTGCTGCTCTGTGATTGGCTGCAGCCTAATGAACCACACACTTGCACCTTTTCACCTGACTTCCTCTGTTGTGCTGCTCCATGATTGGCTGCAGCCTCTGTTGTGCTGCTCCATGATTGGCTCCAGCCTCTGTTGTGCTGCTCCATGATTGGCTCCAGCCTGCTGGACTGAAATTGCCCCAGTGTGCCCCTCCTTGATATCCCGCAACCCACCACCAGGGTTCCGACACATGACACACTTTTTTCAGGAAAGTAAACCTCCAGGGGTCCTTTCCATATTTTTACAGAGACTGCATAAGGACCGTTAGAAAAGCATTACCCATTGATTATTAAGCTTGGACCAGTGGGGTCCGGTGTTCGGGCCCCACTACGTAAAACCAGTCCCCATGACGTGAGTGGAATCTCAGGTTATGGAACCCACCAGGATTTGAAAACAAGTGCACACACACACACAAAAACAGACACACACAGACACAGACACAGACAGATTCTAGGTCATGTGGGTGACGAGTCTTGCCCATGGACACAACAACAGTTCCCTCTGTGGCACCTGTTGTTCCCAGAGGTCTCCCATCACAGTATTAACCAAACCCTGTTCTGCTAAGAACAGGGTTTGAAATCTCGGATTCAGGAGGAGCAGTGTGGTTTTCGTCCCGGTCGCGGAACACTGGACCAGCTCTATACTCTCCATCGGATACTCGAGGGTTCATGGGAGTTTGCCCAACCTGTCCACATGTGCTTTGTGGATTTGGAGAAGGCGTTCGACCGTGTTCCCCGGGGTGTCCTTTGGGGGGTCCTCCAGGAGTACGGGGTCCGGGGTCCTCTGCTGAGGGCCGTCCGGTCCCTGTATGACCGGAGTCAGAGCTGTGTTCGCATCAGCAGTAAGTCAGACCTGTTCCCGGTGAATGTTGGCCTCCGCCAGGGCTGCCCTTTGTCACCGGTTCTGTTCACTGTATTCATGGACAGAATTTCTAGGCGCAGCCAGGGGCCGGAGGGGGTCCGGTTCGGGAACCACAGGATTTCATCTCTGCTGTTTGCAGACGATGTTGTCCTGTTGGCTCCAACGAACCAGGACCTACAACATGCACTGGGACGGTTTGCAGCCGAGTGTGAAGCGGCTGGGATGAGAATCAGCACCTCCAAATCTGAGGCCATGGTGCTCGACCGGAAAAAGGTGCCTTGCTCTCTTCAGGTCCTGGTCCTCTTCAGGTCCTGGTCCTCTTCAGGTCCTGGTCCTCTTCAGGTGGGTGGAGAGGTCCTTCCTCAAGTGGAGGAGTTCAAGTATCTCGGGGTCTTGTTCACGAGTGAGGGAAGGATGGAGCGTGAGATTGACAGGCGGATCGGTGCAGCGTGCGCAGTGATGCGGTCTCTGTATTAGACCTTTGTGGTGAAGTGGAGCAGCGTCTGCAGTCAGAGCTGTATCACCGTTGTGGAATAGAGGGAGCTGAGCCGAAAGGCAAAGCTCTCGATTTACCGGTCAATCTTCGTTCCCTCCCTCACCTATGGTCATGAGCTTTGGGTAATGACCGAAGGAACGAGATCGCGGATACAAGCGGTCGAAAGCTTCCTCCGCAGAGTGGCTGGGCGCTCCCTTAGAGATAGGGTGAGGAGCTCAGTCACACGGGAGGAGCTCGGAGTAGAGCCGCTGCTTCTCCACGTTGAGAGGAACCAGTTGAGGTGGCTCGGGCATCTGTTCAGGATGCCTCCTGGACGCCTTCCTGGGGAGGTGTTTCGGGCACGTCCCACCGGGAGGAGGCCCCGCGGAAGACCCAGGACACAGAGGGACTATGTCTCTCAGCTGGCCTGGGAACGCCTTGGGGTCCCCCCGGACGAGCTGGAGGAGGTGTGTGTGGATAGGGAAGTCTGGGCGTCTCTGCTTAGACTGCTGCCCCGCGACCCGGCAACGGATAAAGCGGAAGAAAATGGATGGATGGATGGATGTTCTGCTTAGCGTCAGAGATCAAAAGGGATCTGGCTTTCACCTGCAGGTGGCGTTACAGATGTGTATTTGCATGTTTCTTTCATCCTGTCAGTTTGGTCTTACCACACCATCGTACACATTTCATTTGGTATGGAATAATAATTCCAACGTTGTGTCCTTGGGCAAGACACTTAACACCACTTTGCCCAAAGCCCCCGCTGAAAGATCAAGGCTATGCTCACACTCAGAGAGCAGCCGTCCTCCTGTGGACTCACCACCTGCAGAGGGTCAGTGAGGGGCTGGTGCATCTCTGACTGCCACCCCCCTGACCCAGAAATGGATTAAAGGGTAGAAGATGGATGGATAATAATTGTCCAGAGTTTACGGCTAAGGCCCGTCTAGATTGTTCCTTTTGCCTGAGCAGAATATGGTTCTAGATTGTTCCTTTTGCCTGAGCAGAATATGGTTCTAGATTGTTCCTTTTGCCTGAGCAGAATATGGTTCTAGATTGTTCCTTTTGCCTGAGCAGAATATGGTTCTAGATTGTTCCTTTTTGCCTGAACAGAATATGGTTCTAGATTGTTCCTTTTGCCTGAGCAGAATATGGTTCTAGATTGTTCCTTTTTGCCTGAACAGAATATGGTTCTAGATTGTTCCTTTTGCCTGAGCAGAATATGGTTCTAGTTGTTCCTTTTGCCTGAGCAGAATATGGTTCTAGATTGTTCCTTTTTGCCTGAACAGAATATGGTTCTAGATTGTTCCTTTTGCCTGAGCAGAATATGGTTCTAGATTGTTCCTTTTTGCCTGAACAGAATATGGTTCTAGATTGTTCCTTTTTGCCTGAACAGAATATGGTTCTAGATTGTTCCTTTTTGCCTGAACAGAATATGGTTCTAGATTGTTCCTTTTGCCTGAACAGAATATGGTTCTAGATTGTTCCTTTTGCCTGAACAGAATATGGTTCTAGATTGTTCCTTTTGCCTGAACAGAATATGGTTCTAGATTGTTCCTTTTGGCTGAACAGAATATGGTTCTAGATTGTTCCTTTTGCCTGAGCAGAATATGGTTCTAGATTGTTCCTTTTGCCTGAGCAGAATATGGTTCTAGATTGTTCCTTTTGCCTGAGCAGAATATGGTTCTAGATTGTTCCTTTTGCCTGAGCAGAATATGGTTCTAGATTGTTCCTTTTGCCTGAGCAGAATATGGTTCTAGATTGTTCCTTTTGCCTGAGCAGAATATGGTTCTAGATTGTTCCTTTTTGCCTGAACAGAATATGGTTCTAGATTGTTCCTTTTGCCTGAGCAGAATATGGTTCTAGATTGTTCCTTTTTGCCTGAACAGAATATGGTTCTAGATTGTTCCTTTTGCCTGAGCAGAATATGGTTCTAGTTGTTCCTTTTGCCTGAGCAGAATATGGTTCTAGATTGTTCCTTTTTGCCTGAACAGAATATGGTTCTAGATTGTTCCTTTTGCCTGAGCAGAATATGGTTCTAGATTGTTCCTTTTTGCCTGAACAGAATATGGTTCTAGATTGTTCCTTTTTGCCGGAACAGAATATGGTTCTAGATTGTTCCTTTTGGCTGAACAGAATATGGTTCTAGATTGTTCCTTTTGCCTGAACAGAATATGGTTCTAGATTGTTCCTTTTGCCTGAACAGAATATGGTTCTAGATTGTTCCTTTTGCCTGAACAGAATATGGTTCTAGATTGTTCCTTTTGGCTGAACAGAATATGGTTCTAGATTGTTCCTTTTGCCTGAACAGAATATGGTTCTAGATTGTTCCTTTTGCCTGAACAGAATATGGTTCTAGATTGTTCCTTTTGCCTGAGCAGAATATGGTTCTAGATTGTTCCTTTTGCCTGAACAGAATATGGTTCTAGATTGTTCCTTTTGCCTGAACAGAATATGGTTCTAGATTGTTCCTTTTGCCTGAACAGAATATGGTTCTAGATTGTTCCTTTTGCCTGAACAGAATATGGTTCTAGATTGTTCCTTTTGCCTGAGCAGAATATGGTTCTAGATTGTTCCTTTTTGCCTGAACAGAATATGGTTCTAGATTGTTCCTTTTTGCCTGAACAGAATATGGTTCTAGATTGTTCCTTTTTGCCTGAACAGAATATGGTTCTAGATTGTTCCTTTTGCCTGAACAGAATATGGTTCTAGATTGTTCCTTTTGCCTGAACAGAATATGGTTCTAGATTGTTCCTTTTGCCTGAACAGAATATGGTTCTAGATTGTTCCTTTTGGCCTGAACAGAATATGGTTCTAGATTGTTCCTTTTGCCTGAGCAGAATATGGTTCTAGATTGTTCCTTTTGCCTGAGCAGAATATGTTCTAGATTGTTCCTTTTGCCTGAGCAGAATATGGTTCTAGATTGTTCCTTTTGCCTGAGCAGAATATGGTTCTAGATTGTTCCTTTTGCCTGAGCAGAATATGGTTCTAGATTGTTCCTTTTGCCTGAGCAGAATATGGTTCTAGATTGTTCCTTTTGCCTGAGCAGAATATGGTTCTAGATTGTTCCTTTTTGCCTGAACAGAATATGGTTCTAGATTGTTCCTTTTGCCTGAGCAGAATATGGTTCTAGATTGTTCCTTTTTGCCTGAACAGAATATGGTTCTAGATTGTTCCTTTTGCCTGAGCAGAATATGGTTCTAGTTGTTCCTTTTGCCTGAGCAGAATATGGTTCTAGATTGTTCCTTTTTGCCTGAACAGAATATGGTTCTAGATTGTTCCTTTTGCCTGAGCAGAATATGGTTCTAGATTGTTCCTTTTTGCCTGAACAGAATATGGTTCTAGATTGTTCCTTTTTGCCGGAACAGAATATGGTTCTAGATTGTTCCTTTTGGCTGAACAGAATATGGTTCTAGATTGTTCCTTTTGCCTGAACAGAATATGGTTCTAGATTGTTCCTTTTGCCTGAACAGAATATGGTTCTAGATTGTTCCTTTTGCCTGAACAGAATATGGTTCTAGATTGTTCCTTTTGGCTGAACAGAATATGGTTCTAGATTGTTCCTTTTGCCTGAACAGAATATGGTTCTAGATTGTTCCTTTTGCCTGAACAGAATATGGTTCTAGATTGTTCCTTTTGCCTGAACAGAATATGGTTCTAGATTGTTCCTTTTGCCTGAACAGAATATGGTTCTAGATTGTTCCTTTTGCCTGAACAGAATATGGTTCTAGATTGTTCCTTTTGCCTGAGCAGAATATGGTTTGACGACTCTTTAACTGTTTGTTGTAACTTCTGTCCCCAAAGAACCAAACATGTTCTTGGTTCCTTTCAGTCCAGTCCAAAGAGCGTCCATGACCTCATCTTGGCCATTCTGCTGGAGTTATGTGAAAACCCCAACACTGTGTCCCACCTGAGGAGCTGGAGGGCCGGGGAGGGACCCACCGCCCCCACCGCCCCGGGACTCCTGCTGCAGATGTGGAGGGAGGAGGAGGCGGAGCTGGGAGTACAACGAGACCAGGACGGGTGCCTCACAGGCCAGTCCCACCACAGACCAAGACCAAGACCAAGACCAAGATACTCTTATTACTACGTTACAAGCCCAAGTGATAAATATGCCATTAGCACTTTTATTATCCATGGCTGAGGCTGAAACCATCTCGGTTGTTCTCTTTTCTTGTAATAAGATAAGATAGCAAAAACATTTATTGGTCCCACAGTGGAGAAATTTCAATGTTGCAGCGCACAGACAGGACAGTAGTGAGAGACACAGGGAGCAGACAATATACAAAATAAGTAACTGCTACAGTGTGTTTCTTAGCTGTAAATGCTTCAATATCCATTTATCGATATACATCTAAGTTATACACATACAGAAGAATGATACACACACACACACACCACTTCTGCGCTCCTTTTAGGCAAAGTGGGTTAAGTGTCTTGCCCAAGGACACAACGGCAGCAGACATCAGTGGGATATAGGGCAGGATAGTAAGTAGACAAAGTGACATTCAGTTCACATTCTGAAATGAAAGTATTGTACATTGAACATGATTTACTATTTACACACACATTTACTGCAGCTACACTTTTTTTTAGAGTAGAGTGCATAAAATCTGTTAGAATGACAGTCTCAAAGTGTGATGCTGTTGTGTTGTTTTTGAAGATGCCAAAAAGCCTCTGGTGCACCCGCAGCAGACTGACGGCCAGAGTCTGGAGCCGCCTGGAGCATCCATCCTGGAGCTAGGGGAGAACCTGAGGGCCAAAATCTACCTGATCTTCTGTGCAGTCGGTAACGTCGCCCACACTGAAAACTGAAAACTGAATGCTGCTTTCTGAATTTACAAATAACACAAAAACTCTGTATTGATTTCAGGATTTCAGGACCTTCCTGGATTATCGGCCGAGGACAATGTGACTCTCAGTATTGTCAAGAGATATCTGGATTTTAAGGTACAGACATTTTATCTGTCATTTTGTGGATTGGGGCCTGATTTTCAAAGTTTATTTTGAAATTTGTCAAACTTGTTTCTGTTAATCACAAACACAGACAGGAGCAGTCACATGAGCCACTGAACTGACGTGAAAGCTTCATGACGCACACACAGAACCAAACCAGAACAAATGCACACACAGTTTATCACCTGGATTGATAAATATTGGATACTTCTAACAACATAATATATTTTACCTGGGCCTGTGCAGGTTTCCTCCAAGTGCTCCAGTTTCTCTACCACTAAATAGTCAAATAGTTCAGCCTGATGAGAGTGGGTGTGTCTGTGAGTGTGACTGTGAGACAATGGATGTTCATAAATATGCACTGTCCCACCCAAACAAACAATATAACATGACAAATGAACAGTGTGGAGCAGAGTCAGTTTGAACCTCAAAGTGCTTACAGGAATTCAAGAAAACAGAATTGACTCATCTCTAAACACAAAAAAGTATTCAAAGAGAGGCGTATAATGTTATCTTGGCGATCCTAAATAATAATGTAAGTCAGTATTTGGCACATTTATTCATTTGAAGGTGAGTTGAGTGAGACAAATGGAGATGTGGCGTGACCAGTAGGGGGCGATGTCTGTCCAACCATCATGGAGTGTTCACAGTCTACATGTGACCTTTAAGAATGAAAGAACATACCTGTTTAATGATCTTCATAGGGATTGTCCCTGGAGGAGACAGTCCCAGATAACCTCCCTCCTCCTCTGCTCGCAGGTGGGAGAGGTGTGGGAGGAGGTCTGTGCAGAGCTGGTCCATGACGACATAAGACCCATCACTCCAGACAGAGAGAGTTTGGAAAGAATCTGTAAAATCTCTGAGGAGTCGGCCAAAGGAGTCATGGAGGAGCAGAGGAGCCTCCTGCAGAGACGAGAGGCAGAAGAGCTCCAGCAGGAGCAGCTCCTGTACACAGAGGTCTGAACAACACGCTACATATATACATACATGTGCTACATACATGTGCTACATACATGTACTACATACATGTGCTACATACATGTGCTACATACATGTGCTACATACATGTGCTACATACATGTGCTACATACATGTACCTAGAGAGAACCTGACTGAGGACCTGACAGAGAACCAACCAGAGAACCAACCAGAGAACCAACCAGAGAACCTGACAGAGAACCTACAGAGAACCTGACAGAGAACCTACAGAGAACCTGACAGAGAACCAACCAGAGAACCTGACAGAGAACCTACAGAGAACCTGACAGAGAACCAACCAGAGAACCAACCAGAGCACCTGACAGAGAACCTACAGAGAACCTGACAGAGAACCTACAGAGAACCTGACAGAGAACCAACCAGAGAACCTGACAGAGAACCTACAGAGAACCTGACAGAGAACCAACCAGAGAACCAACCAGAGCACCTGACAGAGAACCAACCAGAGAACCTGACAGAGAACCTACAGAGAACCTGACAGAGAACCTACAGAGAACCTGACAGAGAACCTACAGAGAACCTGACAGAGAACCTACAGAGAACCTGACAGAGAACCTACAGAGAACCTGACAGAGAACCAACCAGAGAACCTGACAGAGAACCTACAGAGAACCTGACAGAGAACCTACAGAGAACCTGACAGAGAACCTACAGAGAACCTGACAGAGAACCTACAGAGAACCTGACAGAGAACCTACAGAGAACCTACAGAGAACCAGAGAACCAGACAGAGAACCTACAGAGAACCTACAGAGAACCAGACAGAGAACCAGACAGAGAACCAGACAGAGAACCTGACAGAGAACCTGACTGAGAACCTGACTGAGGACCTAAAGAGAACCTGACAGAGAACCTACAGAGAACCTGACAGAGAACCTGACAGAGAACCTACAGAGAACCTGACTGAGAACCTGACTGAGGACCTAAAGAGAACCTGACAGAGAACCTGACAGAGAACCTACAGAGAACCTGACAGAGAACCTGACAGAGAACCTGACAGAGAACCTGACAGAGAACCTGACAGAGAACCTGACAGAGAACCTGACAGAGAACCTACAGAGAACCTGACAGAGAACCTGACAGAGAACCTGACAGAGAACCTACAGCTTTCATAAAAATGATATTTTGGAGATTTTAGTGTCTATTTCCAGCCTGAACTTTTTTCTTAAATCCTTTTCTCCACATTTTACTGCCACAAACTTTGCTGGTTTCCTTCCCGCTCTGACTCCGCTCTGGTCAGCTCTGATTGGTCAGAACGCTGCCCTCTGATTGGTCAGAACGCTGCCCTCATCTTCGTGGACTTAATAGTTATAACGTTTGATGTGATTTCTTCCTTTCGAGAGGAAAGAAGTGTGGTAAGAATTGAAAGGATATTTGTGTTCGTCAGGAGTGAGGCTGCAGCTTCTTTTGAACCGCACCAGTATTTTATTTTACGCTGTATTTTATTTGTGTGCATCTTTCTTAGTAATGTCTGGAAAGCACTTTGTGGCAATCATGTCTGGTTTATTTTAAATGTGCTATATAAAAAAACTTGATCTTGACCCTCGACTGAAGGTTCAATGTTTAAAATGGTTAGATGTGTACTGTATATTCTGGACATTTGAACCTCAAAAATAAAAGATAAATAAATAGTGCTGAAGATAGAGCAGTTCCCGCCTGTTCAGATGATGTCATTATTATTATTGTCACTACAACAAAGCTTTGACATAGCAGCAGCGTGTTCCGGCGGCGGTGAAAACCCAGATAGAATTAGATTATCAGATTAATAAATGTCAATATTTCTTATCCATTTTAAATAATTTCTCATTCTTGATATATGTGAATTGTACATTTTGGATTGATCTGTTTAATTTTTGCGACAGATAAAATCTCACTGGAAACAACAAGAACTTGTCAAAAAATCTTGGAGCCATTATGTGTCCCGGACGTCCAACTACGAGGTTCTAAAGGTACAAAGTGTCGTGTTTCTGTAGAATCTGTTCTTCATAAACAACAAACTCTTCTTCAACAGGAGGTGAAAGCTCAGAGGGAACTGTCCAAAACCAAAGCTGAGATCGAAGCGGACGACATTCACCCCATCAAGGTGTTCTGAAGCAGATAAAACGCTTCATAAAATCAGTAATTTCATCTGTTATATAATGTTAATGCTGTTTGAACCTAAAGTCCTCCTCACAACAGCACTAACACAAAAGGACATGGTTCTGGCAGTTTTAAACTTGGTCGTCCTCCGCACAGAAGTGATCTTTGAGACAGATCTGTGATATTGTTCCAGGAACTTTTCACATGTTTTAATAAATATACATCTTTAAACTGGACAAAAGCCACAACGTAGTAGTGTAGTAGTAACATAAGAATTCAGACTGTTCTGGATCCAACCCGGGACAACTTAGCTGTTATCTTTCAGAATGACTGAAAAGACACATGGATACAAGACACTTGTATCCATTTATCCCTGTGCTACTGTGCAATGGGCCCTGTGAATCTGCCTCTCCCTCTGGTGGCAGCTGAGGGAGTTGCAGGCTAATTGAAAACCTACCTTTTATGGATTATTCATTGAGGTATTTTAAATGTATTTTATTCTGTACTTTTGATATTTTGTGAGATATTTTCATTCAATTGTAAAAAAAATTATTATTATTTACCCACTTTCAAGTTACATTCTAAAGAAATCAAAAGTGTCATTATGATTTTTAATGGGCAGAATAATCCCTTCTATTTCTTCATTAAAGTAAGACAGTAGAAAGTTTAACATTTGCAGGAGGAAAGAGATTTGAGAGGAGAGGGTTCAGGTCCCAAACTAGGACATGAAGCAGGAGGAGCAAATGGACGGGTCAAACTGTCTCTTCATCACTGACTCATCCTCCACGTACAGAAACAGAAACATGTTTTACACAAAGTTAGAGAAAAGGATGAGGATTTCCCAGATTGTAATAGTTTATAATCCTGAACTTACAGAAGTATTAAAGAACTGTGTCTCCTGCAGCGCTTCATTGGTCAGGTGATATCTGTGGAGCAGACCGGAGCACAGGGACCAGAGGGAGTCCAGGTGTCTTTAGCCCGAGTCTCCATCCCCTCTGCAGGCCAAGACCAGGTCCAGACCAGTCCAAACCCAGACCTGGAATACTTCAGGCCGGTCTCTGTCAAACACTGAACATAAAACACCCTCAGAGTTTGGGAAAAGCTGAAAGGTGGACGTTTTTATTGTTCATTTGAGAAGAAGAGACTGTGGCTTTGAAAGGACACAATCAGAGCCTTGTTTGCAAACGCGCACGCACACGCACACACACACACACACACACTGAGCAGTCTTTGTGGATCCACACGTGCACAGCTGAAGAGAAATGAACCCAGTGGAAATAACCCTTCCTTCTGTTTGCATTGATAATCATTCACTTAAAAATGTAACTGCCAATAATTTATTCTATAGATGTGTCAACACACAATATATATACATATATATATACATATTTCCCTAATATATATATATATATATATATATATTAGACTCTGTCTGTCTATATATATATATATATATATATATATATATATATATATATATATATATAACATTAGGGCTGTCAAAATTATCGCGTTAACGCACGTTAATTAATTTTTTCATTAATCGCGCTAAAAAAATGAACGCATTTGACGCATGCCCATGCGTCCCATAATAACACTCAGAATGCCGCGGACACATGCGTGTGTAAGACGGGGACAGAGCAGGTCTCTGGGAGTGACCGCGGGGCACTTGTTGTTTCCTGTATGAGCTCTGCATGATGAGCTGCGGGCGCCACAGCGCTCTGGACCGTTCCCACTTCCAGCGGCTGTGATCACGGCGAACGGCGCTGCGTAATGGGATCATATCCAAGACCACGCACAGAACTATTACAGAACTATTCTCTAGTGTGCGTACGTGTCTTTGTGTAACCGATGCACACAATATGTGCAGCGCTGAAGCTGGAGGAGCCTCAGTCTCCTCCGTGTCTTCTCCCGAAGCGCACTCGCTAAATTAAAGCTGAGGTACCTAATTTTCCTTTCGACCATCAGTTCATGTTAGTTGTGCCAAAAAAGTAATGTTGTGAGCAAATCAAACAGATTTAATGACATTCTGCTTCTGACTGTTTTGAAATGTCCCTCATCTGTAACAAACAATGGTTTGGTCTGAGTCTAAACAGAAAGACAGAATGTTAATAATGTTAATTCCATTTTATATGGATTTATTGTTATAACAAACAAATACAGTTCATATGTTCACTAAGCTGTCATTTATCTTTCCATTCAAACAACCATTTACAGAAAAATATGGCATAATTTGCCAATATTTGAAATGCGATTAATTATTGATTAATTAATTTTTATGCTGTAATTAACTCGATTAAAAAAATTAATCGTTTGACAGCCCTAATATATATATATATATATATATATATATAATGTATATATGTATATACGCACATACTATAAGTGTCATGAAGCTGCCAGGAGCAACAACACATCACATGAACACATGTGTTCATGCTTCTCAGATTTATAATGAATATTTATGTTGAGACTTAAAGGAGCAGTGTCTGTGTCTTGATGGTTTAACAGTTACTAAACCATGTGTGTCTTGATGGTTTAACAGTTACTAAACCATGTGTGTCTTGATGGTTTAACAGTTACTAAACCATGTGTGTCTTGATGGTTTAACAGTTACTAAACCATGTGTGTCTTGATGGTTTAACAGTTACTAAACCATGTGTGTCTTGATGGTTTAACAGTTTCTAAACCATGTGTGTCTTGATGGTTTAACAGTTACTAAACCATGTGTGTCTTGATGGTTTAACAGTTACTAAACCATGTGTCTCTTGATGGTTTAACAGTTACTAAACCATGTGGGTTTGTCTTATCGGACCAGAGCAGTCCAGTCTCTGCCCCTAACAGCAGGTCTAGTCTCTGTCCAGTCTCAGTCCGGTCTCAGCCCGGTCTCAGTCTGGTCTCAGTCCAGTCTCAGCTCGGTCTCAGTCCGGTCTCAGCCTGGTCTCAGTCCAGTCTCAGCTCGGTCTCAGTCTGGTCTCAGTTCAGTCTCAGCTCGGTCTCAGTCCGGTCTCAGCCTGGTCTCAGTCCGGTCTCAGCCTGGTCTCAGCCTGGTCTCAGTCCGGTCTCAGTCTGGTCTCAGTTCAGTCTCAGCTCGGTCTCAGTCCGGTCTCAGCCTGGTCTCAGTCCGGTCTCAGCCTGGTCTCAGCCTGGTCTCAGTCCGGTCTCAGTCTGGTCTCAGTTCAGTCTCAGCTCGGTCTCAGTCCGGTCTCAGTCTGGTCTCAGTCCAGTCTCAGTCTCAGTCTGGTCTCAGTCCGGTCTCAGTCCGGTCTCAGCCTGGCCTCAGTCCGGTCTCTAACGGTACATGGACAGTAACAGAAGATAGTTCTGAGTTTGTTTTAAAGAAAACATTCCTTGACGAAGGCCAAGGTTTTTGTGATTCAGACTGAATCTCCTTCAAAAACTTTGGTCATAAAAAACATTTGTCATTTTAAATCAAAACCGTAAATTTGTTTTATTAAGTGTGTTTTTTATTCTTAAACTGTTTAACAAATCTTTATTGCATTACACTCAGTCCCTCCATTTTCTTCCACTTTATCCGTTGCCGGGTGGTGGGTTCAGCAGACACACACTGACACACACTGACACACACTGACACACACTTCCTCCAGCTCATCTGGGGGAATCCTGTCCCTCCTCCTGGTATCCTCCTCCTGGTCCCCTCCTCCTGGTCCCCTCCTCCTGGTCTCCTCCTCCTGGTCTCTCCCTCTGGTCCCCTCCTCCTGGTCTCTCCCTCTGGTCCCCTCCTCCTGGTCTCTCCCTCCTGGTCTCCTCCTCCTGGTCCCCTCCTCCTGGTCTCCTCCTCCTGGTCCCCTCCTCCTGGTCTCCTCCTCCTGGTCCCCTCCTCCTGGTCCCCTCCTCCTGGTCCCCTCCTCCTGGTCCCTCCTCCTGGTCTCTCCTCTGGTCCCCTCCTCCTGGTCTCTCCCTCCTGGTCTCCTCCTCCTGGTCTCTCCCTCTGGTCCCCTCCTCCTGGTCTCTCCCTCCTGGTCTCCTCCTCCTGGTCCCCTCCTCCTGGTCTCCTCCTCCTGGTCTCCTCCTCCTGGTCTCCTCCTCCTGGTCTCCTCCTCCTGGTCTCCTCCTCCTGGTCTCTTCCTCCTGGTCCCCTCCTCCTGGTCTCTTCCTCCTGGTCCCCTCCTCCTGGTCTCCTCCTCCTGGTCTCCTCCTCCTGGTCCCCTCCTCCTGGTCCCCTCCTCCTGGTCTCCTCCTCCTGGTCTCCTCCTCCTGGTCTCCTCCTCCTGGTCTCTACCTCCTGGTCCCCTCCTCCTGGTCTCCTCCTCCTGGTCTCTCCCTCCTGGTCCCCTCCTCCTGGTCTCCTCCTCCTGGTCTCTCCCTCCTGGTCTCCTCCTCCTGGTCTCCTCCTCCTGGTCTCCTCCTCCTGGTCTCTCCCTCCTGGTCCCCTCCTCCTGGTCACCTCCTCCTGGTCTCTTCCTCCTGGTCTCTCCCTCCTGGTCTCCTCCTCCTGGTCTCTCCCTCCTGGTCCCCTCCTCCTGGTCCCCTCCTCCTGGTCCCCTCCTCCTGGTCTCTTCCTCCTGGTCCCCTCCTCCTGGTCTCCTCCTCCTGGTCTCCTCCTCCTGGTCTCCTCCTCCTGGTCTCCTCCTCCTGGTCTCCTCCTCCTAGTCTCCTCCTCCTGGTCTCTCCCTCCTGGTCCTCCCCTCCTGGTCTCCTCCTCCTGGTCTCCTCCTCCTGGTCCCCTCCTCCTGGTCTCCTCCTCCTGGTCTCTCCCTCCTGGTCCCCTCCTCCTGGTCTCTCCCTCCTGGTCTCCTCCTCCTGGTCTCCTCCTCCTGGTCTCTCCCTCCTGGTCCCCTCCTCCTGGTCTCTCCCTCCTGGTCTCCTCCTCCTGGTCTCTCCCTCCTGGTCTCCTCCTCCTGGTCTTTCCCTCCTGATCCCCTCCTCCTGGTCTCCTCCTCCTGGTCTCTCCCTCCTGATCCCCTCCTCCTGGTCTCCTCCTCCTGGTCTCTACCTCCTGGTCTCCTCCTCCTGGTCTCCTCCTCCTGGTCTCCTCCTCCTGGTCCCCTCCTCCTGGTCCCCTCCTCCTGGTCTCCTCCTCCTGGTCCCCTCCATCTGGTCTCCTCCATCTGGTCTCCTCCTCCTGGTCCCCTCCTCCTGGTCTCCTCCTCCTGGTCTCTCCCTCCTGGTCCCCTCCTCCTGGTCTCCTCCTCCTGGTCTCTCCCTCCTGGTCCCCTCCTCCTGGTCTCCTACTCCTGGTCTCCTCCTCCTGGTCTCCTCCTCCTGGTCTCCTCCTCCTGGTCTCTCCCTCCTGGTCCCCTCCTCCTGTTCTCTCCCTCCTGGTCTCCTCCTCCTGGTTTCTCCCTCCTGGTCCCCTCCTCCTGGTCTCTCCCTCCTGATCCCCTCCTCCTGGTCTCCTCCTCCTGGTCTCTCCCTCCTGATCCCCTCCTCCTGGTCTCCTCCTCCTGGTCTCTCCCTCCTGGTCCCCTCCTCCTGGTCTCCTCCTCCTGGTCTCTCCCTCCTGATCCCCTCCTCCTGGTCTCCTCCTCCTGGTCCCCTCCTCCTGGTCTCCTCCTCCTGGTCCCCTCCTCCTGGTCTCCTCCTCCTGGTCTCCTCCTCCTGGTCCCCTCCTCCTGGTCCCCTCCTCCTGGTCTCCTCCTCCTGGTCTCTCCCTCCTGATCCCCTCCTCCTGGTCTCCTCCTCCTGGTCCCCTCCTCCTGGTCTCCTCCTCCTGGTCCCCTCCTCCTGGTCCCCTCCTCCTGGTCTCCTCCTCCTGGTCCCCTCCTCCTGGTCTCCTCCTCCTGGTCCCCTCCTCCTGGTCCCCTCCTCCTGGTCTCCTCCCCTCCTCCTGGTCTCTCCCTCCTGGTCTCCTCCTCCTGGTCCCCTCCTCCTGGTCTCCTCCTCCTGGTCTCTCCCTCCTGGTCCCCTCCTCCTGGTCTCCTCCTCCTGGTCTCTCCCTCCTGGTCCCCTCCTCCTGGTCTCCTCCTCCTGGTCCCCTCCTCCTGGTCTCCTCCTCCTGGTCCCCTCCTCCTGGTCTCCTCCTCCTGGTTCCTCCTCCTGGTCTCCTCCTCCTGGTCTCCTCCTCCTGGTCTCTCCCTCCTGGTCCTCCTGGTCTCCTCCTCCTGGTCCCCTCCTCCTGGTCTCCTCCTCCTGGTCCCCTCCTCCTGGTCCCCCTCCTGGTCTCCTCCTCCTGGTCCCCTCCTCCTGGTCTCCTCCTCCTGGTCCCCTCCTCCTGGTCCCCTCCTCCTGTCTCCTCCTCCTCCTGGTCTCTCCCCTGGTCTCCTCCTCCTGTCCCTCCTCCTGGTCTCCTCCTCCTGGTCTCTCCCTCCTGGTCCCCTCCTCCTGGTCTCCTCCTCCTGGTCTCTCCCTCTGGTCCCCTCCTCCTGGTCTCCTCCTCCTGGTCTCTCCCTCCTGGTCCCCTCCTCCTGGTCTCCTCCTCCTGGTCTCCTCCTCCTGGTCTCCTCCTCCTGGTCTCCTCCTCCTGGTCTCTCCCTCCTGGTCCTCCCCTCCTGGTCCTCCTCCTCCTGGTCTCCTCCTCCTGGTCTCTCCCTCCTGGTCCCCTCCTCCTGTTCTCTCCCTCCTGGTCTCCTCCTCCTGGTCTCTCCCTCCTGGTCCCCTCCTCCTGGTCTCTCCCTCCTGATCCCCTCCTCCTGGTCTCCTCCTCCTGGTCTCTCCCTCCTGATCCCCTCCTCCTGGTCTCCTCCTCCTGGTCTCTCCCTCCTGGTCCCCTCCTCCTGGTCTCCTCCTCCTGGTCTCTCCCTCCTGATCCCCTCCTCCTGGTCTCCTCCTCCTGGTCCCCTCCTCCTGGTCTCCTCCTCCTGGTCTCCTCCTCCTGGTCCCCTCCTCCTGGTCTCCTCCTCCTGGTCCCCTCCTCCTGGTCTCCTCCTCCTGGTCTCCTCCTCCTGGTCCCCTCCTCCTGGTCTCCTCCTCCTGGTCTCCTCCTCCTGGTCTCTCCCTCCTGATCCCCTCCTCCTGGTCTCCTCCTCCTGGTCCCCTCCTCCTGGTCTCCTCCTCCTGGTCTCCTCCTCCTGGTCTCCTCCTCCTGGTCTCCTCCTCCTGGTCTCCTCCTCCTGGTCCCCTCCTCCTGGTCTCCTCCTCCTGGTTTCCTCCTCCTGGTCTCCTCCTCCTGGTCTCCTCCTCCTGGTCTCCTCCTCCTGGTCCCCTCCTCCTGGTCTCCTCCTCCTGGTCCCCTCCTCCTGGTCTCCTCCTCCTGGTCTCCTCCTCCTGGTTTCCTCCTCCTGGTCTCCTCCTCCTGGTCTCCTCCTCCTGGTCCCCTCCTCCTGGTCTCCTCCTCCTGGTCTCCTCCTCCTGGTTTCCTCCTCCTGGTCTCCTCCTCCTGGTCCCCTCCTCCTGGTCTCCTCCTCCTGGTCTCCTCCTCCTGGTCTCTCCCTCCTGGTCCTCCCCTCCTGGTCTCCTCCTCCTGGTCTCCTCCTCCTGGTCTCCTCCTCCTGGTCTCCTCCTCACTTAAGAATGACATTTACACATAATTATACGACAACTTTGCAACATGATATTTTGTGAAACAATGAGATATTGACATTAAATAAGTGTGTTTTCTGATATAACCTCCTGTAACACACAACTTTTGAATAGAATACCACTTTGACCAGCCAAACTGACAAACACACAACAAACGTGTACACATGAGAGTTTAAACATGAAATTATGATCCATGAGTGTGTGTTGTGTGTGTTATGTGTGTTGTGTGTGTGTGTGTGTGTTATGTAAGCGGCTGCAGAGATTAGCACAGATGTGAAGTGGACCGTGCTACACTCCTCCCTCTTCCTTTTCACTGAAGCTTTTGGAGCAGGTCGTCCCGGACCGGTCTGTGCTCCGCTCAAACAGCTCTGGACCGTCGCTGTCCGTTGGCCCGACACGGAGAAGAGAGAGAGGCACAGGTCTTAAAGGTCATAGAGGTCATAGAGGTCATAGAGGTCATAAAGGTGAGGCCGTTTTCATTATAGAAACGTTCAGAAATAAGATCAAGTAAGATTTTGTATTGGTCCTAATTTCTCATCTGGACTGAGTAGAGCTTAGAACGTGGACTGAGTAGAGCTTAGAACGTGGACTGAGTAGAGCTTAGAATATGGACTGCGTAGAGCTTAGAACACGGACTGAGTAGAGCTTAGAACATGGACTGAGTAGAGCTTAGAACGTGGACTGAGTAGAGCTTAGAGACGTGGACTGAGTAGAGCTTAGAACATTAGACTGAGTAGAGCTTAGAACGTGGACTGAGTAGAGCTTAGAACATTAGACTGAGTAGAGCTTAGAACGTGGACTGAGTAGAGCTTAGAACGTGGACTGAGTAGAGCTTAGAACGTGGACTGAGTAGAGTTTAGAACGTGGACTGAGAAGAGCTTAGAACGTGGACTGAGTACAGCTTAGAACATTAGACTGAGTAGAGCTTAAAACGTGGACTGAGTAGAGCTTAGAACATTAGACTGAGTAGAGCTTAGAACGTGGACTGAGTAGAGCTTAGAACGTGGACTGAGTAGAGCTTAGAACATTAGACTGAGTAGAGCTTAGAACGTGGACTGAGTAGAGCTTAGAACATGGACTGAGTAGAGCTTAGAACATGGACTGAGTAGAGCTTAGAACGTGGACTGAGTAGAGCTTAGAACGTGGACTGAGTAGAGCTTAGAACGTGGACTGAGTAGAGCTTAGAACGTGGACTGAGTAGAGCTTAGAACGTGGACTGAGTAGAGCTGAGAACGTGGACTGAGTAGAGCTTAGAACATGGACTGCGTAGAGCTTAGAACACGGACTGAGTAGAGCTTAGAACATGGACTGCGTAGAGCTTAGAACGTGGACTGAGTAGAGCTTAGAACGTGGACTGAGTAGAGCTTAGAACGTGGACTGAGAAGAGCTTAGAACGTGGACTGAGTAGAGCTTAGAACATTAGACTGAGTAGAGCTTAGAACGTGGACTGAGTAGAGCTTAGAACATTAGACTGAGTAGAGCTTAGAACGTGGACTGAGTAGAGCTTAGAACGTGGACTGAGTAGAGCTTAGAACGTGGACTGAGTAGAGCTTAGAACGTGGACTGAGTAGAGCTTAGAACGTGGACTGAGTAGAGCTTAGAACATTAGACTGAGTAGAGCTTAGAACGTGGACTGAGTAGAGCTTAGAACGTGGACTGAGTAGAGCTTAGAACGTGGACTGAGTAGAGCTTAGAACATTAGACTGAGTAGAGCTTAGAACGTGGACTGAGTAGAGCTTAGAACATGGACTGAGTAGAGCTTAGAACGTGGACTGAGTAGAGCTTAGAACATTAGACTGAGTAGAGCTTAGAACATGGACTGAGTAGAGCTTAGAACGAGCTTAGAACGTGGACTGAGTAGAGCTTAGAATATGGACTGCGTAGAGCTTAGAACATGGACTGCGTAGAGCTTAGAACGTGGACTGAGAAGAGCTTAGAACGTGGACTGAGTAGAGCTTAGAACATTAGACTGAGTAGAGCTTAGAACGTGGACTGAGTAGAGCTTAGAACGTGGACTGAGTAGAGCTTAGAACGTGGACTGAGTAGAGCTTAGAACGTGGACTGAGTAGAGCTTAGAACGTGGACTGAGTAGAGTTTAGAACGTGGACTGAGAAGAGCTTAGAACGTGGACTGAGTAGAGCTTAGAACATTAGACTGAGTAGAGCTTAAAACGTGGACTGAGTAGAGCTTAGAACATTAGACTGAGTAGAGCTTAGAACGTGGACTGAGTAGAGCTTAGAACGTGGACTGAGTAGAGCTTAGAACGTGGACTGAGTAGAGCTTAGAACGTTGGCTGAGTAGAGCTTAGAACATTAGACTGAGTAGAGCTTAGAACGTGGACTGAGTAGAGCTTAGAACATTAGACTGAGTAGAGCTTAGAACGTGGACTGAGTAGAGCTTAGAACGTGGACTGAGTAGAGCTTAGAACGTGGACTGAGTAGAGCTTAGAACATTAGACTGAGTAGAGCTTAGAACGTGGACTGAGTAGAGCTTAGAACATGGACTGAGTAGAGCTTAGAACATGGACTGAGTAGAGCTTAGAACATGGACTGAGTAGAGCTTAGAACATGGACTGAGTAGAGATTAGAACATGGACTGAGTAGAGCTTAGAACGTGGACTGAGTAGAGCTTAGAACATGGACTGAGTAGAGCTTAGAACGTGGACTGAGTAGAGCTTAGAACGTGGACTGAGTAGAGCTTAGAACATGGACTGAGTAGAGCTTAGAACGTGGACTGAGTAGAGCTTAGAACGTGGACTGAGTAGAGCTTAGAACGTGGACTGAGAAGAGCTTAGAACGTGGACTGAGTAGAGCTTAGAACATTAGACTGAGTAGAGCTTAGAACGTGGACTGAGTAGAGCTTAGAACATTAGACTGAGTAGAGCTTAGAACGTGGACTGAGTAGAGCTTAGAACGTGGACTGAGTAGAGCTTAGAACGTGGACTGAGTAGAGCTTAGAACGTGGACTGAGTAGAGCTTAGAACGTGGACTGAGTAGAGCTTAGAACGTGGACTGAGTAGAGCTTAGAACATTAGACTGAGTAGAGCTTAGAACGTGGACTGAGTAGAGCTTAGAACATTAGACTGAGTAGAGCTTAGAACGTGGACTGAGTAGAGCTTAGAACGTGGACTGAGTAGAGCTTAGAACGTGGACTGAGTAGAGCTTAGAACGTGGACTGAGTAGAGCTTAGAACATTAGGACTGAGTAGAGCTTAGAACGTGGACTGAGTAGAGCTTAGAACGTGGACTGAGTAGAGCTTAGAACGTGGACTGAGTAGAGCTTAGAACATTAGACTGAGTAGAGCTTAGAACGTGGACTGAGTAGAGCTTAGAACATGGACTGAGTAGAGCTTAGAACATGGACTGAGTAGAGCTTAGAACGTGGACTGAGTAGAGCTTAGAACGTGGACTGAGTAGAGCTTAGAACGTGGACTGAGTAGAGCTTAGAACGTGGACTGAGTAGAGCTTAGAACGTGGACTGAGTAGAGCTTAGAACATGGACTGCGTAGAGCTTAGAACGTGGACTGAGTAGAGCTTAGAACATGGACTGAGTAGAGCTTAGAACGTGGACTGAGTAGAGCTTAGAACGTGGACTGAGTAGAGCTTAGAACGTGGACTGAGAAGAGCTTAGAACGTGGACTGAGTAGAGCTTAGAACATTAGACTGAGTAGAGCTTAGAACGTGGACTGAGTAGAGCTTAGAACATTAGACTGATGCTGAGTAGAGCTTAGAACGTGGACTGAGTAGAGCTTAGAACGTGGACTGAGTAGAGCTTAGAACGTGGACTGAGTAGAGCTTAGAACGTGGACTGAGTAGAGCTTAGAACGTGGACTGAGTAGAGCTTAGAACATTAGACTGAGTAGAGCTTAGAACGTGGACTGAGTAGAGCTTAGAACGTGGACTGAGTAGAGCTTAGAACGTGGACTGAGTAGAGCTTAGAACATTAGACTGAGTAGAGCTTAGAACGTGGACTGAGTAGAGCTTAGAACATGGACTGAGTAGAGCTTAGAACATGGACTGAGTAGAGCTTAGAACGTGGACTGAGTAGAGCTTAGAACGTGGACTGAGTAGAGCTTAGAACGTGGACTGAGTAGAGCTTAGAACGTGGACTGAGTAGAGCTTAGAACGTGGACTGAGTAGAGCTTAGAACATGGACTGAGTAGAGCTTAGAACACGGACTGAGTAGAGCTTAGAACGTGGACTGAGTAGAGCTTAGAACGTGGACTGAGTAGAGCTTAGAACGTGGACTGAGTAGAGCTTAGAACGTGGACTGAGTAGAGCTTAGAACGTGGACTGAGTAGAGCTTAGAACGTGGACTGAGTAGAGCTTAGAACGTGGACTGAGTAGAGCTTAGAACATGGACTGAGTAGAGCTTAGAACGTGGACTGAGTAGAGCTTAGAACGTGGACTGAGTAGAGCTTAGAACGTGGACTGAGTAGAGCTTAGAACGTGGACTGAGTAGAGCTTAGAACGTGGACTGAGTAGAGCTTAGAACGTGGACTGAGTAGAGCTTAGAACATTAGACTGAGTAGAGCTTAGAACGTGGACTGAGTAGAGCTTAGAACGTGGACTGAGTAGAGCTTAGAACGTGGACTGAGTAGAGCTTAGAACATTAGACTGAGTAGAGCTTAGAACGTGGACTGAGTAGAGCTTAGAACATGGACTGAGTAGAGCTTAGAACGTGGACTGAGTAGAGCTTAGAACATTAGACTGAGTAGAGCTTAGAACATGGACTGAGTAGAGCTTAGAAAGCGTGGACTGAGTAGAGCTTAGAATATGGACTGCGTAGAGCTTAGAACATGGACTGCGTAGAGCTTAGAACGTGGACTGAGAAGAGCTTAGAACGTGGACTGAGTAGAGCTTAGAACATTAGACTGAGTAGAGCTTAGAACGTGGACTGAGTAGAGCTTAGAACGTGGACTGAGTAGAGCTTAGAACGTGGACTGAGTAGAGCTTAGAACGTGGACTGAGTAGAGTTTAGAACGTGGACTGAGAAGAGC